GGGGAGCGCTTCTGGTTATTGGCAGCATCCACGATAGTGGTAATATCAGCACCAATGCCGATCACGTTGCCGGCAGCATCGAGACCGTTCAAGGCCTTGTCGCCGGTGGAGGAACCACCATGGCTAGAGCCGTGGCCCTTGGGGGCGCGCTTTTGGTTGGCGGCTTCGGCGATAGTAGTGCCATCAGCAGCAATACCAACCAGGTTGCTAGCGACATCAAGTGCGTTCATGGCTTTGTCGCCCGAAGAGGAACCGCTATGGCTAGAGCTGTGGCCCTTGGGAGCGCGCTTCTGGTTGTTGGCAGCCTCAGCGATAGTTGCAGCATCGGATCCTATGCCAGTGATGTCCGACAAAGCACCAGTCCAAGTCGAAACCTTTTCACCGGTAGAGCCGCCAGAGCTAAGGTGGTGGCCGCCGCGAGGGTCACGGGTCAACAAGTTGGAAGAGCGTCCAGCAATTGGCACACCAATGACAGAGTTGGCAGAGAGGATGGTGGCAAGAGCCACAGTAGCGAGCTTGGAAGTGTCAATATACATCTTGAATGAAGATTGGTTGAGAGCTGAAGATGCTGCAAGGCAAAGAGTTGTAGAAAGCAGGAAGGCTTTGGGATTGGAAGCTTTGTAGTGAAGATTGTTGTGATTGTTGTTGATGATGAATTTGGTTCTGGAACGGATTTAAGCACTCTTTTATAGACCATTCCCTCTGATACATTGTTGTGAAGTTGTATACAAAGATGGCACATGGCCCCCAGGCTGACCAGGCGCACACCTTCATCGCGACGCTGTATAGCAAAGATTGACCTTTGGGGTTCGAGGATTGTGACAGCGCCTGCGCGCAGGATGAACACCAGGATCAGCCAAGATCTCAAGTATTGGGCGAGCTTATTTTACTCTAATGAAGAGTCAATAAGTATGGGCATGTTATTGGAAAATGGTAATGGAGTGGGAACCAACCTGGGGGCCATTTCAATCCTCTGGGATGCATTCAAAATTGGAAAAGCCACATTGCCAAGAGCCGCACTGTTTAAAATTCCAGCGTGCGATCTGAATAGTCTCTGGCCATTTGGGGGTGGCAGGACCCTGCTGAGGCTATGCCGCAGAAATGACAGTTGAAACAGTCTGTGCCTATTTTGGCCTGGATAAGGCAGTTTTCCTCATCTTTCAAGTCTCCTCAGCGTGCATTGTCGAAACACATGGAGAGTTTGCATTCTCTAGGGATCTGTATCGCTTGACCCTGCCGTGAGTTGTATTGTAGAGAGTAGTAGACTCATGCGGTGATAGCGGTGATAGCAGAAATCAGGTCTACCGCTTTATTCTGCCATGTCTATTCTTCCATGGCCAATACAGCAATCGAGTACAACTCCTCGTCCACCACGTATTTTTCTTCGTAAGGCTAATTCTCGATTGTCAACCTCATCTTTGTATCCCATATACTTGAATTCTACGCATGTTCATTCTCAATGGCCAACTGAGTCAGGAACTGGATAGCATCGGACAATCAAATCCTTCGGGCTACCAAGCCACGCCGCAATTTACGGCTTTCTGAGTGGTGGTTAATTTTATGAACAGCTAGTTAAATGAATTTATGCAGCTAACACTAGATGCAGAAGCAATGCGCTAGATCCTGATTTGTGACACAATGAATGCAACAAGGCTATTTCCAATCTAGGGCGGTTTCAATTATATTGCTCACAAATTTGGGGCCATTAAGTGGGATGCGCTTGCTATACCATATCGAGACTGGTTCGGTACTGCAGTGAAATGCGGCTGAAATGGTTCTACCCGCTCGGAATGACGGTCTCGATACCAATTTAGGAATACGATTATACTTGGCCAGCCTTACCCTTGTGCTTGGACTTCATGGAGTGATGACAGGCGAAATCCGCCGTGTTCATGACGAATAAGGAGCTGAATGCATGACAATTTTGATGGACTGAGTTCCTCACTTGATTCTATTTTCTCATTCGGTACCGACCCGGACGTGAAAACACCCTTGCAGACGCTCTCGGTCGACCAACTACTGGAGTACACAAGAAGGATGAATACCGCCAACAGATCATTCTAAAAATAAATTCAGTTGAGCAGTTACTGGAAACTGATGGGCCAGAGGTCAATACTTTGGACCCTTCTCTGTATGTGGTTGACCAAATACTTAAAGCCAACCGGGAGTCCACTGCGGAAGAATACCGTGAGAAGTCTCAGGAGGGAGTGGATGATTGGAATCTACAAGATAGTCTGCTCATGAAGGGAAATCGACTATTCTTTCCGAATGATGATCCTGAACTATGTACCTGGTTGCTTGATGAAGTACATGCACAGGTATCAACGGCACACCCAGGAAGCACAGAAACCCAGCAGCTTATTAAGGCGCGATACTACTGGCCAACCTGGAGACGAGATATTGAGAGATATATATACGAACCTGCTTGAAGTGTCGAAAAGCTGAGAATCCACCGAGATCGCGCCCCAGGACTCCTACAACCCATGCCTATTGCAGAGAGACCATGGCAGCATATAGCAATGGACTTCAGATCCTTTCCACCTGACAAGAATGATTATGACATGGCTTTAGTGATCGTGAACCGATTCAGCAAGAGACACATCAGCATTGAGCATGTCCATGGGCATTGCAAATCTTTCGTACCGTGAAATTGCAGGCCCACTCCATATCTATATTTTGCTGCTTATTCTGCTCTATATTGTTTGATTCGCTGCAAATTGGTTTATTGGCCAGACGATATCTTCGCGACAGAGATTACAAATGGTTACAGAACGCTAAACACTTTGTGGTTGGACTGCCATTCCCATCCAAAAGAACGTTAAGGGACTTGCTCAAAATATTGACCGTCTGTTTTAAGTGTTTCTTCTGTTTATCACTTTTACGTCTATCTTCCGCTCAGGTTTTGTACTTGAGCTTTTTCCAAATCACTGGGACCTCGGTCAAGTTATAGCTTTGACGGCCTTCACACCACCTATTCTGAAGTGCTTCTATTGGTCGCTGTGTGAGTTTCGTTTTTCACAATTCTGTGTTCTTGGCTAGCCATATTAGTCAGGGTCGAGTCGTATTCGGCAGCCCGGATTCCATTACCATACAAAATTGCCAAGATGGACTCCAATCCTTTTGAATCAAATACAATGGTCACTTATAGCGAGCAATTATGATTGAATGCTATGGTATGGCTGAGCAGCTCAGCTAACAATGCTGGCAAGAGATGTCAAAGAATTTCTTCTCAAGATATAAATCCCGGTCCTATATATCAATATAGTTGGTTGGAAGAGTACACTTGGATGCGAAAGCAGTGTCACCCCTAAAAAGAGCATTCTGCTCGAAAGTCTTGCACATACAGGCGGTTTGGGGTGAGGAAATGGATCAGAAAGATTATAGAAGGAGGGACTACCTCGAGTACTCATAGGGACAAGAGGCCAAAACAACAGCTACGAGCCTTGAGTTCGTAAAATATGGTCTGTCATAGCTATAAGGCTCGAAATGGACAATAAAACTAATTAAATAATAATAATAATAGCGCCTGCCAATGAGGAAACAGTCCAGACAGCTGTGAGAACCCCAAGCTTAGGGGGACAGAACCTAGGTCCGATTAGCAAATGTGGACCAAGTATGTGCATGAATACGTACTCTTCCGAACTAAGTCCAATAAATCCGCCCCAAAAGAACCACTGCGCAATCCAGAGAAGGAGCATGCTTATGACCATGGCTGCATACAATCCCACAAATGCTTTCTGGGAAACCAAATGATGTTGGTCTTTAACAGAGAAAGTGCCATACACCTTGTAATCTCCTCCCTCGCTCCTTGTCAACGGTGTTTCTTCTGAGCTCCTACTCTCGCCTATCCAATAATGTGCCGAATCTTCCCTTGACCTTGTGCAAAGTTCATTCAAGCAGACCATCAGATCCTCCACAATTTTTGATAATGTCTGCTTGCCTCTCTGCCGCTTTGGTGGGTTGAGACTACCAGATCCAATCAACCTGTTCATCCTACGCGTGGCCCGCATTGACTGAATGAGCACCAGGCCAACAATCATAAGCCACATGAGTGCTCCAGCGTACATGGTTTTTGCTGATCTCCCTCTCTCCGCTCTTTCCATACCTCCAAAGTAGAAGTTGTGTTCTCGACCATAATTGACGGTCATAACCATGTAATATGATGATAGAAACTGGAGGATCATTTCCGCAAATAACAAAGACGCGGTCGCGGAGAATTTCTTCACTCCAAAGGGTTGTACACTAATCAGCAAAATCGTTAGCCAAGCAAGCCGAGGCATTGAGCACCAGAGAAGCATCAACTGAATAACGGGAACGTCCTCATAACCAGCGGTTCTCTGAACAAAAAGACTGTTGAACCAATTTGCAAGGAGTTGCAGAGCGGCGATCAAAGTTCCCTTGAAAAACCAACACCAAGGGGGTGAGTGCCATAGAAAGCCGCGTGTGATTTGATGTATGCCTGTTCTCTGGCTGAGACATGCTGTAAGAAAAGTAGCTACATTGACGAGAGCAAAGCTCCCGAGCTTCCACTCATTCGAGGCACATGTTTCTGTTGCCCTGATGTGTCCCAAACGGGTGATATAGGCAATGTCTGAATTGTTGGATGGCTTGATAGTCCATCGCCATGGAATCATGTCGATAGGGGTAGGGGCAGCTAATCGGCGCCAATCATCTGGCAGACCGTGCCAGTCCTGCACATTGTCACAAAGATCGTGGAGCCACTTGATATAGTCTATCCGGGTCTCGAATATCTGGCACGAACCTCCACAGGAATCGTAGCTGATGTTGCGGCAAAAGCAAGCCCTGTCAACTGCGCGCTTGACTTTGCAGTAGCCACTTGAGTCGAGCTCACAAGCATCGGTTACACATTGGTCAGTACGCTTGACCACCTGCTTTGGCATATCCGCGACACACATGGGCCAGTGCCAATCTTCGATGGGAATGTACGCGAATTGTGTGGTTTTGAGTCTGTCCGTCCAGTTATCGGGTAACGACGTCGACCCACAGGTGGCATTAATCCAGAGGAGCTCTTTTGTAAAGTCCAATTGTCCTGACTCTGAACAGGGTTCCTTTTTGAGATCTATAGTGAAGGCGCTGCAGAAGCAATTTTTATCAAAATAGTCGCCATCTCTGATGCGACGCCGGACGAGATTGTAGCCAACAGTTTCAGAATCCAGAGTGATCATGGACCTTAGAAATTCACTATATTCCCAAGGACGAGCAGCATTTCCGGTATGTTGGGTAGTGCTTGTGAAACTACAGGACGCCATTACACGTTGAAATGGTTCCATTGATAGAGCAGAAACTGAGCCGGTCAGACATGTTGGTGCATTATAAATCACGTCAACGGCCGCGTACCCTTCAGCTAGGGAGACTGGGGAGAGATTTTGCAGCCCGTTCGCGTCGCCGACATCGACAAACCACGTTCGACCGGTGATGTTACGAACCCATTGATACAACTGCGCTCTGGCGAGTACTGATCTACCACAGTATGGGAGATAACTTCCAATAACGTCGGGGGAAAATGCAATTCTGAGACAGCTGAGCTGAGTCAGCCATTGGTGGTGGGTGCAGATAGCTCCAAAGTGGGAGGTGCATTGTTTGCTGGTGCATTTCGTCATGGTGCTAAGCCAGGTGGACTGGTCTTGCTGAGCTATGCACTGTGGCATAGGAGCCAAATCTTCAGGGTTGACCCAGCCATTGTAGTTGTTTTGGGGTAACAAGGTACTGTCCTCCCCATCATAATTAATGGTAGCGGTGTAGGGCGCTTCTGCAGTATCAGTGTTGTTGCCAGAGATAGATGGAGACCTTGGGAGGAAACTACTTCTCGCATCTACCCCGTAAGCTCCAGCCATCAACAGCACGAGATACGTACTAGATAGTTTCATCTTGTTGACGGTGTCAAGGCGTCTTGTACTTCGAAGTAGTGTGAACGGAACCCGCTGGGGCCTTCTTGATTCGGTTGTGAAATGATATTTCTCCGGAGCGGGGTTGTCGGATTCGGATTCGGATTAACTCATACCCGTCCCAGCCAATCCCATCCATGAGCGGGGTGGTGGTATGCTGAGAATGACAAAAGAGGTTAGTGCTTTCTTGGCTATATCACCCTCCTGTATTCTGGTTCTCTACATTAATCTATTATCTTTTCTTTCTGGCGTTGTGCCTTGTACTATCGAGATAAAAGGTATGGGGACTAATTTGAGGAGTTGAGTATAGTGTATTGTAAATGGTTGGTTACTTGTATACGCAGAGTTCTCCTTGCCAGGGATTCAGCTCCCATGCAGAGAAACCTTGTTCTCTCTTGCCACATACCGGCACCACAATTGACCTCGCTTCAACACGTACACACCATATATTCTTTTATAGTATCTCGCGTGCGAGTCTGCTTGGGTTTTTGGACGCTGTCAAGCAGCAACTTCAGCTTCTTGCGAATTGAAGAGCTTCGTACGTTCATTACCACCATATACAACATACCCAAAAACAGAAACAAAGGGTATTAAAATAAACCAACAGTGTGAAATATAGAAATTATACCAAATCCCACTGACAAACATATGCCCACGCCATCCCCACCCTCCCAGTCAAAGCCCTGAACTCCTCCGCTGTGACACCGCGCGCATCCTTCCGATCTCCAAAGCTCGTCAACACGGCAATCTGCAGCTTCTGCCCAGAAGCCCCTAACATCTGCGCATCGGGGATATCAATGTACCAGACGTCTCCGCCACCACCGGGCGTTGAGCCGCGTACGTGGTTGAACGGGAGACGTTCTTCTTTGCGGCCGTCGATTCCGTGGGTTTCGAGGAGGAAGAGGCCTGGAAGTGCCTTGGAGTGGTGCTCGAAGGTCCAGTGAGGGCAGATGAGGTTGAATTGAACGCGGAGGGGACCAGGGGTGCTGTTGATGGAGATCTGGTTGGTTGCTGGGTAGAAAGAGGAGGGGTCTAGGTTATGTTTGTGGGCGTCTGTGAAAATGAAGGGATGTTTGGGGACGTGGAGAAGGTATTCTTCCCAGGAGATGGAGGGGCGGCCGTCGTCGCGGAAGAAGTGGTCGCGGTTGCTTGGGTAGTGGGATTGGCCGAACTCGTCGTTTGTTTTGGTGAAGTGTGACGGCGAAAAGACCTTGATGTAGGGTTGGCCGTTGCCGTTGACGGCACCAGCACCCCAGCACGCGTCGATGAGTTTCCAGTGTCCATTGTCAATGCGGACGGCGTTCCAGGCGTGGCCCCCTGGGTTGTAAGGCGGGAGGGCAGAGCCTGGGGCTGGGTCAGTGTAACCGGTTCCCTTGCCGTGACCACCAACGACAATGGCCTCGAGACCAGCGTGGGTTGCTAGGGCCGCGAAGAGTCCGGCGTAGCCTTCACATACGGCGAGGCCTGTGGCTAGGGTGCTTTGTGGCGTAGACGGCTTCAAGCAGTTGTTGTAGAGTGCGTAGACATCGTATTCAACGTTGTGATGCATCCAAGTGAAGATTGTCCGGGCCTTGTCCGTTAGCGATGGAAATGGTGCGGTCAGGGCATTCGCCAGCCAAGAGAGGTCCTGCGTTGGCAGCGATTGACGTGGAAATTGCGCCGCATGCTCGTCTGGAGCAGAGAAGTCACGGCATTTCAAGCAAGTCGTAGTCTGAGTCACGGCAGATGAAGACGAAGCATTCATACGAGGTTTCGATGCTTCGATTTTGGAGAGATCAGGACGAGAATCCCGCGGCACCAGTGGTGGAATCCCGTTCGGAGAAGGATGATCCTGGGCAGTCGAACGACCGTTTGCACCGTCACTATTACTCTTCTTCGACCCCCCAAATCCAAGCAGGCGGGGATCAACCGGTCTAGGTGGGGGCGGAAGTCTTCTTGTCGGAGGTCTAGCCTCTCTATTCTGTTGCTGCGTCGCCGGTTCCTGTTCTCTCGTAGGTGTCCGCGGAGGAAGTCGGGGAGGCAGCGCGGGGGCCGGAGAACGACTACCGTTGCTCAAGGTACTGGCATTCGATGCTGGTCGGTGGGGTAATTGTGGTTTTTGGCCCTCGTTTCCATTCGTAGTTCCGTTCGACTGAGACACTGGCCGCGGAGGTGGCGGCGGTGGCCTAGGACTCGTCCCCCGTCTCGAGGGCAAGGGAGGAGCCGTTCTCTCCGAAACGGCAGACAGACATGAAGTGTTGGAGGTAACTGAATCCCGAGAAACTCCCCGCTGTAACGATGACGGTCTGCACGGTAGACTAGGGGGCGCTGGGTCTTGAGGTTGAAGCTGTTGAGTGGACGGCCTCCGTGATGGCAATGGTGGGGGCGGAGGCTTTGCTTTCTTGACACCGTTTCCATTAACACCGTTCTGGCCATTCTCGTAGTTATTACCGACAATTAATCTCGGAGTTTGAGGGACCGGCTGATTGCCGATTGAGCGATCCGCGACGGAGCCGTTGACATTGCTCGGAGGATTATTGACCGTCTTGCTGTGCACTGGAGGTGGGCGCGAGGTGGGTTGTGGACGGGCGCTAGGGGCCAGGGGTTCTGAGGGCTGATTAAATTTGGCAAGTCGCTCTTTGAAGGAGAGGACGGGCGCTTCCTCTGTTTCTGTCATGGTAGAGTATAGTGAGTTGTGGTGTTGATAATCTCCCTCGACGATCGTTGGTCGTGGAGAGCGAATGGGCGTGGCGAATCACCGAAATGATTGTTGAGGGCCGACAGCAGAGAATAAGAGAAGAAATCGCACAAACAAGATAGGGTAATATAGAGAAGGAAAGAAAATAAAGAAGAGTAGAGAAGAGGGAGGATGAAGAGAGGAGGAAGAAATAAAGAGAGCCTCGCAGGGCTGAGCGGCTCCACCTCCGCCCACGGATCTATACAGGAACCAAAAGGGTATACCCCAACACTACTATACAAACAATATACCTACAAACTCGTCTTGAAAGCCTTCTTCACCATAAACCCACTCAGTACAACCGCAGCACACACCACCGGTACTCCAAAAGCACCAGTAAACGCTCCCAGGAACCACGCAGACTCGGCCCCCACACTGAATAAATACTCCCATTCTGGCGAATACCACGGCGCAATGAGACTGAAGCACAAGCCAACCCAGAAAAATCCAACGACCTTGCGCCATATCCCCTGCGGTTGTGGGAGAGCAAAGTGTTGCCAGAAACCTTGAATGGTGATTTCGATCAAGAGGCCCAGGCCGGATAAGCCAAAGAAATGCATTGCCCCCGAAAAGGGAATATTTGCTGACAGGGCACCAAGGATGTGCATCAGACCGGAAAGAAAAAACACATTTACGATGGTGAGATATCGTCTCAGCACGGACGAGCGAGGAAGGTGGAGGACATGGCGAGTGATCGCATTACTAGTCGCTGTAAATGGCAGTCGCATGAATTGATGCCAGCAAGTCCTACACAGTTAGCGTTATAGGCATCATTTGCCTTGGGATACAGACTCACCCCCAAAGATTCCGCAAACTATACAAATCCCAGAAATCCCCAAACAATGGCGGAAAATTCTCCGTCGGGACACCCATCCCAGCATAAACAACCGACACAAGCCGGTACGATATATCAAATCCCAGCCGCCCGATCAGCGCAATCACCAGCATCGACGCTGCCGACGTCGCCCACGGCCCTGGCTGCAGATCCAATGGCCCCAGCTCCCGAGGATTAGCTGGAAACGCTCTCTGACTCGTCCACGTCCGAAACTGTGAGAAGACCAGGTCGAAGCAGAGACATTGCCAAAGCGTGATGACCGTTTGTCGTAGCATGAACGGGCCACGTGCTGGCGGATATGATTTGTAGTATGACGGGAATGACGGTATCCCTCGTACCTGCCACGCCGTACTGACTGCCCGCGGGTCGATGGTCAACCGTGCAGCCGTGATCATGTCTAAATAGCCGCTGCTAGGACCGTCAGGCGGGAATAACGCAGCAGCTGTTCGCATGACCAGTGGTAAAGGCACACAGCCTTGTAGTACTCGATAGAGGACATTCTCATTGTAGTCCGCGCCAGAGAAGAGATTCTCTGGGCTGTAGACCCAGAGCATCCACGCTGTCAGAGCGCTCACGTTCACGGAACGGAGCCATGATCGATTAGGCGTTGCTACCAGGAGGATCCATGTGAAAAGTTGTTGAATCCCATTGACCACCAAGGGATCTTGCAGGGTTTGGTATGCGGTGGTCATGTTCTAAAATATCGATTGTAAACAATGAGCTGAAGCTGAAGCTCAGCTGAACATATACATGCTGAGTCAGAAGGCTTGGCATTTAGAGGTATAAATGGGTCTAGTGGAGAAGCATCTATTCAGTTGTATTAGAAAGACCAGAGAAAGATTCAAAACCGAACTCCAATATCCAGCACTTCAGTTCAGTATTTCCACGATCTGGAAGTGAACAACAATGAAAATTACAGTAGAAGGGAACAAAAAAATAAGCGATAAGTATAAGACACGAAGAAATCCCAAACGCAGCCCAATGCTGAGAAAATAAAGAATAGCAGAAAGAAGAAGCAGCAGGGAATTTCCTAATGATAGGGTCTTCCGTAGGCATCCTCCAGTCGAGGAAGATGGTGAGCAGTCATTAGCATCACATATTCTAATACACAAACTCCTCATCTCCTCGTTCAAACGTTTTTGTACAGGAGCAGCGGTTCGCCGACATTCTCGATCTCGGGAATTGTACATTTTAGGTCAAATGCCTTGGACAAAACGATTTTGAATATCTATCACGTTAGCGCACAGCCTTTCATGTCATTGGCTGAGTGTCATCCTACCTTCTGCACGTTGATACTGTGACTAGTGCTGCTGAAAATCAAACTCGCCTTCATGGCCTTGGCAAATCGTTTGGCCTAAAATGGTTAGCCGTGTACAGTGTTACAGATACCGATTGTCTTACCTGAATAGAAATCTCCTCTTGGTCCTCGCGGGGAAAGTTGACAAAATGATCATACTTTGTTCCAACAAGGAAGGGAATAGCCGTTTTGTTAAACCCACGGCCCTGTCGGTACCACTCCTTGATCGAATTCAATGTGCTCTTCCGTGTCAAGTCGAACATGAACAGAATAGCTACAGCATCGTTGCACACAAGCGGAAGCATGTTGACGAATTCTCGCTGACCACCGAGATCCCAGATGGAGAAGGTGATCTCTGTGTTGCGAATTGAGATGGTCTTTTCCATAAAGTTGACACCTTGACACGGCACGAGTCAGTCTATAATTCTCGTTTCAGGTAAGGAAGCTAACTCACCAAGAGTTTGAATATAATCCTCATCCCAGCTCCCCTCAACATATTTGACCATTAGACTCGTTTTCCCAATCTGAGCATCCCCGACCATTCCCACCTTAATCACCACACTATTCTTCGAAACGGCTTGAGACGACTGTTTCTGCACATCTTGAGACTGCTGCGAATATCCATGTCGTTCCGCCCCACTCGACAACCCGGAACTCGGTCTCGACGACGGCGGCGGAAGTTGTGGCTGGTAGGTACTCAATGTGGGGGACTGGTTGAAGCGGGATTGTTGATCGGCGTCGTATAATGGGGTATAGGAGGAGGAATAATGGGCTCGCGAGTCGCTGCTGTAGCCGTTGTTGTGGTTGTGAACCGTGGTCGCTGTGTCTTCTAGAACCCCGGCAGGCTGTTTCTGCGGCTCCGCGACATTTGGTTCAAGGTACGGCATATCCATCCTGAAACCAAAAGAAATATGTGACTCTCTGTTTCTATGTAGGCGATCTGATGTGGACGTGAAACGATACCGTCAGTTCTTCCAATACGGGACGATACGGATGATGGACATGCGATGGAGATGGCGATGGCGATATGAGCGGCGCGGGGACGGAGAGTCGGCGCTTAACACGCACCAGCGTCTGTCAGGAGAGAGCGACGTTGACTGGCAGACTGGTAATCCAGAATACACAGGTTGTAGCGAGGTTTTAAATGAGCGTAAAGTCTTTTGTTTGGTTTTCGAATCCCCGGTTGACAACACCAACTAGACTCTTCGGAGGGGAAACAATTCGAAGCCGCACGTTTGTTTAGGCTTGGCAGACCGGACAGATGACGTGAGGAACGAGATATGAGTAATATGCAGCATAGAGGTTGAACAATGTGCATACAGCAATTATAGAATCTGTAAAATAGTGATATGCTCTTGGTCTTATGCTGTATTCTCTTTGTACTAGCCCCTCTCCTATTGTAGTCCGTCGTGTTTACTATTTTCTGAAGAGGTCCAGCCGATCTGCGCTAGTCCGCGATAGGATTAGTGCCTATCCCACCTGATTCCGCCCGACAGAAAAAAAAAAAAAGTTCCTGACCACCATAAAGCCCTAATCAGCACGACGTGAGTCGTTGGGGAATTCTTTTTATATTTTCCTTAATTGTTTAAGATTGATCGTCTTATCATAATATCGCACCATGTCCAAGAGAGCAGCTGACGCCGTTGAGGAACATCCTACCTCGCTCAAGGCTGGTGAGCGACCGGTTGCCGACGCCCCTCCGGACGAGATTGGAGAGTTTGAGGACGAATTCGAAGATGAGTTTGAGAGTGAAGATGAGATTCTTGAGGCAGGTGTAGATGGTCGACCGGACGCTGAGCGTGAAGAAGAAGAGAAGGGTAATTCTTATCTATTCTTATTCTATCTTTTGAAAGTGTGCGCCTGGGCTAACGGTAGAATGAAAAATATGCAGATGGCATGGAAGTCGACCAAGAAACGTTTATCCCCGGAAGAACAAAACTGGGCCCCGATGAGATCCTCTCCCCCGATCCGTCTACATATGATATGCTACACTCGATGAGTACGCCGTGGCCGTGTCTGTCGTTCGACATTGTCCGCGATTCGCTAGGCGACAACCGCAAGACCTACCCCGCGACTGTCTATGCCGTGACCGGTACGCAGGCCGACACTGGTCGCGCCAAGGATAACGAATTGATGGTTCTCAAAATGAGCTCTTTGAGCAAAATGGAGAAAGAGGGCGAGAATGATTCGGATAGCGAGTCAGACGACGACGACATGGGCGAGCCGATTCTGGAGTCCAAGTCGATTCCGCTGGGTTCGACCGCAAACCGCATCCGCGCACACCAGACACCGTCTTCGTCTCCCGACAAGCCCGCGCAGACTATCACGGCGACGATGCTGGAGAACGCACAGGTAGTGATCCACGATGTCACGCCGCAATTAACTAGCTTCGATGTCCCGGGTACCATTCTTCCTCCGTCGGCTTCGAAGCCACTGTCGACACTGCGCATGCACAAGTCAGAGGGTTATGCGCTGGACTGGTCGCCCCTGCAGCCGCTGGGCAAACTGTTGACTGGTGATAACGACGGATTGATCTACGCGACGACGCGGACCGAAGGCGGCGGATGGGTGACAGACACCCGGCCGTTCACAGCTCACACATCGTCCGTCGAGGAACTACAATGGTCCCCGAACGAAAAGAACGTCTTTGCATCTGCAAGCAGCGACGGCAGCGTCAAGGTGTGGGACGTGCGATCGAAGTCGCGCAAACCCGCAGTGGATGTGCAAGTATCCAACACAGACGTCAACGTCATGAGCTGGTCGAACCAGACCTTCCACTTGCTCGCAACAGGCGCCGATGACGGACAGTGGGCGGTCTGGGACCTGCGCCACTGGAAGCCTGGCACGGGCTCGGGACCGGGAGGCCAGCTGCAGCCGTCGCCGGTGGCGTCGTTTGATTTCCACCGGGAGCCGATTACGAGTATCGAATGGCACCCGACGGACGACAGTGTGGTGGCGGTTGGATCGGCGGACAACACAGTGACGCTGTGGGATCTGGCTGTTGAGCTGGATGACGAAGAAAGCCAGCGGACAGCAGCGCCGGACGTACCCTCGCAGTTGCTGTTTGTGCACTATATGGATTCGGTTAAGGAGGTGCACTGGCAGGCACAGATGCCGGGGACAGTGATGGCAACAGGAAGCAGCGGATTTGGGTAAGTCACGCCTCTCTTTCCCACTTGTTGCATATTGACAGCTAACGATCTGCAGTGTGTTCAAGACGATCAGTGTTTAGATGTATATACATGAGACGTGACATGATGAATCAATACCTTTCCGTACACTCTGCGACCTGGATTCGGTTTGTATTTATTTAGCATACAAGTAGTCCGTACAAGTTCTATGCACGATGCCGAGGGGTAGTGAAAAAGTGAAAAACAGCAGCAGTAGTTGTGACCAATCAGAAGATGCGTCATTTATTGAGTCATTTCCGGTAATATTGTACTATGGCCAGGTACATCGATGTGTATGGTCAGTACAGTACAGGCGAGGTACTTGTGCATAGTTGCATGGTACAAACTGGTGGAGCAGGACGGAGTACGGAGTATGACATGCATATACTTGTGCATAGTAAACAATAGATTATAGTTTATGCTGGGCAGAATGGTAATAGAGCAAACAATCATACAGTTTCACCCAGGTGTAATAATGCCATTTGCTATTCTGCAAGTACCAGTCTGTAACGGTATCCTAAAGCCTAGTGGAGCGGCAACGGAATAATTCATGCCGTCTTCACTATGTACAAACTGTAGCCTTAATATAGCGGCTATACAATGCAGGCTGATGCCATTGCGCATTCCGGATGCACTTCGGATATTTAACGGATGGATTGCGAACCACACTGATAGCACCAAGTCCTGTATAAATACTCCAGTCTGTACAGAGTACCCTGTACACAACGGAACGCCAAGGTCTTTCTTACTCCAAGCATAGTACAGTAGTAACTCCGTTCCCCTTTCAAACAAAGTTGACGGCAGGGAAATCCCCCACACCCCACATCGCGAGGACGGAATATGCTCCGTGCAGAAAAATCGGGTTTTCCTTATGGAATAAGAACATTCTCACTGGTGCTCCGTACAGCCACAAATCTCGGTTCCTTTGCCACAAAGCTACCATGTCCTCTAAATTAGCCTTCCTAGTTCTATTACCCCGGGCTGCCGTAAATAGTATAGTGGCAGCGTACAGTACAGGTCTCATTGGCCAGTTGGTTGATCGTCAGTCACGAGGTCTGGGGTCGGCTCTATCCTGTTTCGGACTAGCGCCGGAAACTAGACCTACCGAGGCTGCGGATTAGTCAGGAAGTTACATCATTTTTTACGGAAACGGTACTGTACGGTTTGTTTTATGCTCAAGGATGGCTGGTCACCGGTAATAGGATTCAACCCCTGTACGAGGACATGCAAGTACGAATAGAAAGACCTTCCATATAATTGTCTATTGCAATAGAATAGTGAGAGATATTGGAATTGAGATACTCTACTTATCTAATTCAATCCCATTCGATTCCATAAATATACAATTGCAATCATATCTCTGCTATCGGAGGCCATCCGACTGTTGGCCCAAAATAAAACGCGCTATCCCGCAATAGGAAAGTAGAATACACAATACCGTCCGTGCGTCCTAAGCCGGCCGGGTCTCGCCAATCCCGATTTCCGAATTACTGTATTACCAAACCATACCATACAGACCCACCCCCGCTGCCCTGTCACGGGCCATGAGGCCAATGCTTCTTAGTCCACTGGTATTATCAACCAATAAAAACCAACAACTAAGCTAGTGTATACACTAGTCAACGCTAAATGGGTGATCCATACTCAGTACAGGAATGTAACGATCAGCTCACTCCAGACCATACACGGTACCGTATCAACCGTTACCGCGTTTCTGTCGGCCGGAGGCGAAACACTACTCATCTTCTTGATTCTCTGCTGTCTATCGCTATCTTCTTCTTTCTTTTCTTTCTTTTTTTTTCCCCATCTTTTCTTCTCGTCCCTATTCTTTCTTTTCTTTGTTTTTCTTGTAGCCACATATACCTGTACTGCGTGCTACGCTGTATAGAATACAATTGAGCTCGGATATTCCCGGCTTATCAATCGGTTGCCCCATTCTCGCCGTGGGGAATCCACTATCACTACCACTGAGATACTACTAGAGTATCACTATCTTTCGCATCATTACTCTTACCACTCTTCAACACTACTATTGCTACTAAACTACTCTAATCGGTTAATGGTGGCTAAGCGCTCTCGTGTCTCGCCTCCGTCTCAAAGTCAGTCCTGTCTGTTCCTTGGTTCCGCGAACTTTGGAGCTCTCCCCTGCTGATTACGACCACTTCCAGGCCCTCCAGACACGTCTTCCCTCTCTCTCTATCTCAGTCTCTTTATTTGAATTCAATTTTGAGCACCAACTGTGTTCAAATTGCACTGTTGAGATCCGTTCTTTCTACTCTCGTGGCGGTAACTGGTAAGTTCACAAGGCCTCCAGGCAGCATTCCAATTCTGAGACAAATGGCTGACTTGATGTCATTTGGCCGGTTAGTTCTGTCGTGATCAATGCCAACTTGAGCCATTTTTACCGTCCTTTGAGATATAATCGCTTTGAACTTCCCCCAGCTACGCAATGCTACTGGACTCGATGGTCCAAGATCCAAAAACTAGCCCCAAAATGGAGGATCTGGCGAGTATCAGTGAGGTGCCAGCTGGTAGGCCAATCATTGCTTTACAACAATTCCCTACCCAGTTGTCTAATTCTTCACAGCCACCTCTAGAGATACCACGAAAAAGACCGAATCCAACACCCAGACCAATGCCAACATCCCTCCTTCCAAAACCGATAAGCCCCGTCCTCATGTCTGCACAACCTGCAGTCGGTCCTTTGCCCGGCTGGAACACTTGAAGCGCCATGAACGGTCGCATACCAAAGAGAAGCCCTTTGAATGCCCCGACTGTGCGCGCTGCTTCGCTCGTCGTGATCTTCTCCTTCGCCATCAGCAGAAACTACACATGACCTCAACCCCATCTTCGCGGCCCCGGAACGGCCGCAGAGAGAGCACCGGTGCTGCTGGGGTTGCCACCGGCGCTGCGTCTGGCGCCAATCGCGTACGGAAGAATTCCATTGCAAGCAACCCTAGTAACGTCCGTCCCAGAGCCAACACCATCAGCCACATCGACCAGGCTGCACTTGGGATTGTTGGCACCACTGCTCCCTCCCCTGTAGCGCCGCATCATCCGGGTCATGCCTATCACCCGAGTCTTAGCTCGACTTCTCTAGGCTCCCCATTGGATTATCGCCCGTTTAACACGGGTCAGACCCACCCTCCTCCCCATATCAATGGACTAACCAAACTGGAAACGTCGGGGCTGCCAATGGACTTTTCTGGTGGGTTGCGGACTGCCCCCGTCTACGGTAGCTTTGACGCGAACTTCAGCGACATGCTGATGGGCCATGGGAGTACAATCAACCCAGCGCAGCTGCACTTTGGCGGCTCACCACAGGGCTTCGACGAGTCTCCATCTCCTTTTACGCAGGCCGCGCACCACATGCAGCACCCTACTGATCCCATGATGGACGATGAGTTCAGTTTTGATTGGATGATGAACGGCGTCGATCCATCGCTACCTATGGGCAACAACGGTGCCGATTCTGCGGTCGACGAGTCCTCTCCATCGGCCATGAGCACGGGAAGCCAGAGCGGAATCAGTGAAGCCATGATGGACGGCCCGCATCGCCTATCTCTCTCGTCCTCCGCCTGGCACAACCCCTTCCCGCACGCCTCTGCGCCCGCCGCGAATCCGTTCGCGTTTGAATACCCTGCCTTGAACGATCTCGGGATCCCGCCTGAGACTGTCTCCCCCAAGTCCCTGATGGCGCAGAATAATCCCTTTGCTGAAACGTATGCCACCCCTCCGTCCATGACCTCGGTGGGTCAGCCTATGCTGGGAGGACATTCGCAGAGTATGTTTCCATCCTCTATGGCAACAAGCGGAGAATCTCCTAATCCTTTCCACCTTCCTTTCGCGAATAGTGCCCTACGAAGCAACCGTTCCTCAACCTCCACCGATACCTTTACAGACTCCACTCGACAGGCTTTATTAGCAAGCATGGCCCGACCGTCCGCTCTCCATCACCGCAAGTACTCCCAGCCCATCCTCCCGAGCCGCGATCCATCGTCCCGATCCATGTCCGGCTTCAACAGCACCGGACAATTACCCAGCACCCCTGATATGCAACGTTATATCTCGTCCTACATCACTTATTTCCACCCCCACGCCCCGTTCCTGCACATCCCGACTCTGAACTTCCAGGCTCCCGAATATACCAACAGCTTGTGCACCCCGAGTGGCCATCTAAATCTGAGTTCCACCGGCGTGGCCGGTGGCGGCGGTTGTCTAATCCTTTCCATGGCCGCTATTGGTGCTCTGTATGAGTTTGATACGGCCGCCTCCAAGGATCTCTTTGAAGCCGCCAAAAAGATGATCCAGCTTTATCTCGAAGAACGCCGCAAAGCAGACATGTCCGCTGCCTTGAATCGCTCTCACCCTGCTAGAGAAAACTCAGTACACAATACTCCTCTCTGGTTGGTGCAGGCCATGCTTCTCAATGTCTGGTACGGCCACACCTGTGGTGACAAGACGTCTGCGGATATCGCTAGCACACACTGCGCGGCGTTGGTTAGCCTTGCTCGAGCGGCGGAGTTAACCCACCATTTAGAACCTCAACAGCTGCCGAAAGACTACCTGACTCCGGGTCGGAATGGAGAGACAGAGGGCTCTGGAGCGTCATCTAGCCCACCCAGAGAGCGCAAAGAGTGGCTGGATTGGAAGATCGTCGAGGAACGCAAGCGAACTCTCTATACCATCTTTGTGCTCTCCAGTTTTGTCGTCTCTGCCTACAACCATGCGCCTGCACTTACAAACTCTGAGATTCAACTCAGCCTCCCATGTGAGGAGAACGTGTGGTCGGCGGAGTCCCCGCAAGCATGGAAGCAGCTAGGCGGACCCCAGGCGGCGAAGAAGCATTTACCTTTCTCGACTGCGCTGACTTCGCTTCTGACGGCTAGCCAACGGGAACAATCTGGGTCACTTGCCAATCCTCTGGCAGATGATGTAAAACCTAGCACGTTTGGTTGCCTCGTCTTGATCTATGCCCTACACAACTATATCTGGGAAACTCGCCAGCGTCATCTCGGTCGGCAGTGGACGATTCGAGAGACCGATGCTATGCAAGCTCATATTGAGCCTGCTTTGCGCGCTTGGCAATCTTCCTGGGCCAGCAATCCTATTCACAGTTTGGAACGACCCAATCCGTATGGAGCTGGTCCTCTTTCTGCGGATAGCATTCCTCTGTTGGATCTGGCTTATGTGCGGTTGTTTGTCAATTTGGGACGGTGCAAGGAGGCTTTCTGGCACCGTGATTGGAATACCATCTCCGACGAGCTGGCTCGCGGGACGGCCATCTTTAACCACGTGGACGAGATCACCCCAGATGTGCTTGATCCTTCGATCACCAATAGTGAAAGTTTGGGCTCGGTGCATCAGAGACGTGACTCCATCGCGGATCTTGGGGTAGGCGATCTTTCCATTTCCACCACTCCCACGCAGGAGACACCCATGCAAACATTGGCGGGTGTATATCGTCCGGGCCAATCCAAGCGCGAGAAGCTTCTTCGGAAGGCTGCATTTTACGCAGCTGATTCGATCTCCATGTCTAACCGCTTGGGTAATACATATGCTGAGTTTACCTCGCGAGATCTACCGATCCAATGCGCGATGTGTCTTTTCGACTGCTCGCAGGTTCTGGCTGAGTGGGTCACCACAGTTCAAGAGCGTGTTGGACCATACATGGGTGTTTTAGGACGCGACGAGGTGGACACAACTCAAGTGCCTGGTATATTGCTTCTAGAAGACGAGGACTGCAAACTGATTGACAAGGTCAAAGAAATACTGTCCACTGTGGAGGCCAAGATGCAGATCAACATCCAGAACAGCACAACAGTGTCTGCGTTGACTGCTTTACAACGTCTTCCAAGTGTCGTGGAAGGGGGCTACGGCTCCAAAGTGCTGATAGCGGCCTCGAGCCTTCTGGACAGGGCTGGTGTCTGGCCCGTGACAAAACTGATGGCTCATTCGCTGGAGGCGCAGGCTTTGCGGTTGAAGGAGCGTGCAGAAACGTCCTCGGTGATGGGAAGCAGCTAACGATGGTTGCATATGCATTATATGATTTGTCGACCAGTGCCTTATGACGATACCCTAGACAGGATACCCGACAATCTTTCAAAACCGCTCAATTGATTATTTATTCTGCTACTGGAGTTGACGGCCTCACTCAATTAAGTTTCCGCGCTGTTATATTATCTTTGGAGTTTACATCAAGGTTTATGTTTTTTCTATCTTGTTTCATTCAATATCTGGGTGTATGCGATTGATTATTTACGCCCTTCCACTGTGTTTGCAATTAAGATCTCATGCCAACGATCATGCCTCGTGTATGGTGTCCATGGTCAATGAGAACGGCCTATGATTGAAGTGACGAATTGACGTTTGCCATCTTCTACGATGATTGATTTTACGGGCCTTTCAACTTTGCCTTTTGAATCTGTTGCCATTTACCTTTCTCCGTGACTGTCTGATTTACCCCTTCTTATTTTTGCGTGCTATTTTGTGAGGATTATTTGCGCCGAGGACAAGGATACGATACCCCCGATTGGCTATGAAGGGAGGGCAGGGCATACAGCATGGACCGGAGCGTGTCTGCTGTTTGGACTAGAGCAAATATCTGGGTCTTTTTATGTGCATATAGTTTCTGTATATATTTCAATAGAAGCAAGTGCCTTTACATGTTTAAGGGATACGTAGTAGCTATTACTTGATTTTCTCAACCACTTGAACACTTCCCTTTCCATTTTGATGCCCTCGCAGAGATAGTGGGGTAACCTAAAGCTCCCATAGATTCATTTCACTCCAAAGATTCCCCTGTGTCTGGGGAGCATGTTCCTGGCTCTCAAAACAGGATCGGCTGTCTCAGGATCCGGGGACAGTTACCCAGGAGGTGCTATTCTTCTCATGCTCAATGCAATCTAGAATCCCAAGCATTTCAATTTTGCCGTTCCCAAACATGTACAGGGCACCAGTTACACGGCTGAGGGTTATGCCTGGGATTCAGGAAAGCCCTGCGTTGTCCTTGTTACTTCTAGCCCTGGTGTGACCAATGTTATTACCCCCATGCAGGATCCTCTCTGATGGTACCCAGATGGCTGTCTTCCGAGGTCCTAACCATCTTGATTGATGTAGATTCTCTTCAGGAAGCCGATGCTGTGGCATGTCAAGGGCTTGCACAGATGGATTGGCTATTGGTTTGGGCGACGGTGAGCGTGATGCTGAGGCTGAAGGGGCAGTCATGATGGTAAGAGCTTCAGCTGTTAGATTCTGATGTCTTCCGCAGATACAGCGCATATCCGTACAGCCCGGAGATACTTAGCATGCTCAGATGCCGAAGTAACCCGCTCTAATACCTCCTCGGTGGTATCTTTCTCTTGGGTCACATTCGATTGGACAATGGCTTGGTAGGTTTTGGTCATTTGATATAGGAAATTTAGGGGAGGATATGCATACATGTAGAGCTGAGTAGCTACCAAATGTAAATGTGACAGACCAGTGACAACTCATTTTTATCATAGCCGAAGCCCATATTCTGCTACAAAGAAGTTCACCCGTCTCTCACAACAATGATTTTGAAAAGGCCTACTAAAACGTCATATACCAAGCATTCTGCCATGCAAGTCCCATGTCGAATATTGAAATGAGATTCGGAGGTAACGCAGGGGAGAAGGAGTCGATTATCCGGAATGCACAAGGCTATAGGCGAGAAATTTGAATTACATCTAAGTTTTGGTCCCAGTGGTCCTAGAAAATCAAGCTCGTATAGGAACATATATTTCGAGTGCAGAGTAGCAGTGATAGTGATATATAAATACCATTCTTTTAACCGTCTCTAGATACAGACTCCAAGACAAAAACTATAGATAACCACAAGTATTTCAAAAAAGAAATTATACAATAAGCTTCTCAAACGAATACTTCCCAACAGCCTTGCGCCGCAAATACCCCATCTCTCGATGACTCCTATTCTTCACTTCGCCCGTCGACTGCTTCACCTTCGTCTTACCCACATCCGCAGATGCAGCCTTAAGCGACAATGGCAGCATGCGGTTCGCGCCTGCGTCGCCGTCGATGTACCCATCTTCGCCAGAGCCGTCGGCGCCGGCGGCTGTGTAGACGAGGAGGTCTGCGCCGTTGATCTTTTCGTGCCGAATTAGGGAGGATGAGTCGTCTTCTGTGTTTGTGATGGTTTCATCGGTGGGGAGGAGGGCGGTTGATTTGTTGGTGGTGTTTTGTTTGTTGGGCTTGGGAGTTGTAATTGTTTCTGTGAAGCGGAGGTATTCGCGGAGAATGCCCTTCATGTATGTGGCTTCTTGCACGCCTGCCAGAGCGGCGGAGACCTCGGATTTGATGTCTGCGATCAGGCTCTGTTCTTCACCGGTTGGGTTGCCGTCTGCGGAAAGGGACAATGATCCCGCGGCCGCGATCCAGCCAGAGGGTCCGATGGCGTCCACCGCCGCGATGAGCGTGTCTGTGATTGTGGTCAGGGAGAGAGCGGGACGGGTTTGATCCGTGAGGATGGGGACGGGGGGCTTCTCGGTGAAACGCGAGGTAAAGCCGCCTGTTGCGAGGGAGATGCGGAGGTGGTGGATTAGAGAGGTGAGTTCTGGACGGGAGAGGGCGGAGCGGAGGGCTGATGTTATGGCTGGGGCGGGGTTGGCGTGAAGTTTTTGGATGGTGACATTGAGGCCCAGGAAGAGGGTTGCTAGGGGTGGTGCGCTGTCGTTGTCATCGTTGTTTTCAGTGGTGGTGTCGGTGATGGCGGGGACTGAGGAGCGGGAGCGCGCCATATTGAGGAAGTGTTTTAATGCATAGGCGAGTTCGTCTGGGTTCATGAGGACAGGCCCGCGGATGGATTGGATGAGGTTGCGGAGGGATTGGTCTGCATCGATGAGAGCCTGGGCGAATGAGCCTGTGGGCAGGGCGGGGAGGATGCGAGGCTTGAAGGAGCGGCGGAGGGCAATTTCGACGTTGCTCAGAGACAGATGGCTGAGACGGACGAGCCAATCGCAAGTTTGTTTAGGCCAGAGGTTGACGCACAGGCAGAGGGATGGGGAGGCGGAGAGTTTGTCGTTGGTCTCGGTTTCCTTGATTGAGAAGATCTTGGAGAGCAGGAATAGGGCTGTCTCGGGGTAGACGAACTGGCCGGGCGTAGGGAGAGTCTTGGACTTGCCAGTGCCAAAGTAGTCTTGTACTGCGCGGTCAAAGCCTGCTGTGTCTTTGGCTTGGGTGAATTTGTCTAGCTCCGCTGTGAAGTTGTTCCAGCGTTCGACCTGTTCCGGAGAAGTAAGACCCAGTGTAGCCATTGATTCAGTGCGGTGCTTCTTGGACCCTGCGTCCCATTGTGCTGCCGACGAGCCAATACCACGGCCAATGGCATCGATCAGCAGACCGTCTCTAGGGCGTTTGAGAGAAGGCCCTGACGGCGGTTGCGATGTGCTCAGATCAAATGCAAGCAATGTGTTTCCCTTTGTTGCCACGGCAATTCCGAGCTTCGCAAAGTAACCTAGGAACAGGGTTGGTGCTGAACCGCTCGTCGGGGGAACATTGTCCACTGCGATGCTGCGTTGGACAGACTGGTACTGCGTGTCGTAAAGCGCAACCAGCGACTCTCCTGCACCAATAACCGACTGAGGCGAGATGCGCATAACCGATGAGAAGCGTTCGTTGTCGAGGATGAATTTCGATGTCACTGTAGGCGTGTACTGAGAGAGATCAAAGTTGATGAATCCTCGCTCAAAGGACAGGTTCAAACCTGCTGAACCCGAGTGGAAGTTCCACTGGAGTCCGTTACTGTCAAACGTCTCTTGACCGATCACGTCGGGGATGTCGATAGTGAGCAAATGTCTCAATCGTTGGCTCTCGTCAAGAACCCCCCCCGACGAAACAGCGGATGGGACGGAAAACATCTGCACTTTGACATCCTTCAGAGCAACCCGCTCTGATCCAGTGGGATGCGACACGAGCAGCAATACAGACGGCTCATCGACACCGGAACTCGTAAGATCACCTAGGGCCAGGGCTGCCAGATCCTGTCTTCTCTTGAACAGCGCCTTCTTCGCATCCTCGAATTCCACCAAGAAGCAAGAATGAACTTCATGGGTGGAGGCTGTTTTGGCGATCTCGCTGTGCTGAACGTTCCACCGCTGGGTCTTGAGGTCAGACGTCAATCTCCGGATACGGCCATCCTGGTGAACACTCAGGATATCAAACGAATCATTCTCGTCCCCCTCCTTCGAGCCGGATGGGACAATGCCGACGAAGACTGTCGGGCTCTTCGAGTCAGTCACGGTAAAGGACGAGGAAGAAATTTCAGGCGCGCTCGATTCGTTCCCGCCGGTTTCCTCCACAAAAGACTTGATCTGCTGTTCCGGACGGCTGACGGCACCGAATGTCTGTCTTTTCACGGTCGACTTTCCGGGCACTTTTCTGCGCACTGAGCATGGACGGCAAGAGAAGGTAGATTGCGGCGGGACGGCGTAGGAAGTAACAAGTTTAGGGGTTTGGACCTGTAGATGTTAGCCAACACGCGCCAGAAGCAATTGAGGAGGCACACCTACATTGTAGATATTTACAGCCTCTCCGTCAACCGCAACAACCACCTCGTATCTCTTTCGCTTCTTCGACTCGGCCAAGCTATAGACATCACCAATGTGAGTCTTTCCGGTGGACGCATGCAAAGGGCGCGGCAACTGGGCCAGCACCGACGGAGATTGAAGATCCATCGTCGCGAGGAAGAATGTATGCGCAATGTCGCAACTGATAGAACGACTTGAACAGCTTCAAAAATTCCGAATTGAGATCGCAAAATCCGAAAAATTTCCGGCTTTTTGTTTCGCCGACCTCCGACAGCCACTACTTCCCCTTTAGGACTAGATGATACACTAGTGCCGATACGGTAAGATGACGTGAAGAAGGCGGTTTCCTGCGGCAGAAAGGCACGACGCGCGCCTTCGCGTCCTTTTTCGAGTATGAATGGCCGACAGCAAGCATCCTGATTATAAAATCAATTCACCTTTTTCTGTTCATTTATGAGTGGGATTGCTGGTCGCCTCTAGCAGCTCCAAGTGATGAGTCAAAACTCATCATCTTTACATGGCTGCTAGTTCTGCAAGATATGGCGATGGATCAGGGAGAGAAACGGACAATCCATCCGTTCTTCTGTAAAGGTCTGTCTCCGTGACCTTGATATCCTGCTCAATTTACTCATATTGGGACAGATCTCGGAGTTCAGGCCAAATTAACACCTCAACCGACCTCCGTCGCCAATAGCGTTCCAACGCATGACACCTCGAATGGCGCAGTACATTACGATACCGTTAATGAAGATTGTGAGCAGCCTACAGGCAATTCCGAGTCATTGAACAATCCTACGGCGTCTGATACCACGCTAGAAGATGATCCCAACTCGAGTAGGAGGAAACGGCGGAGGACAGATCAGCACGTGTCTGATATTGCGAATAGTATACCATCAGACGCTGAAGAGGGGGGTACTAGGCCAGCAAACCCCATAATTGCCTATAAAGATGTCCCCTCTGCGCCTGGTATCGAGTCCCAAATCCCTACAACCGACAATGCGGATCTTCTGGGGCTGCAAACCTCGGCCATAAACAGTTCTACCTCAATGGACCTTGTGAATGATGTGACAGCACAAACTGAAGAAAGGCGATATCCAGAACGGCAGCGAATACTTAGACTGAATCCAAACGGAAAGCTACTAAGCTCACCTATCGGAAAGCAACCGGAAGAGAAGGAACCGAAGAAGGACAACAAGGGTAAAAAGGGATCACGAAAACCAAAAAAGGATGGCAACAAGCTGGTTATCATCAAATATGCTAGTGATGTAAACGCCAGGGAAAGGATAGGAAAGATAATAGACGAGATTATCAATGGCCGAACAAGACACCAAGCCCAACGTCTTACTTCTAAACCCGCTTCTGTTCCTACACCAAAACCGACTCCTCGGGCTACAGCGAATCAACCGCTTAAGCCCACGCATCCGTTCTTTTCGAAGAAATCTACGCGAAAACCTGACACCCCTACTCAACCCCATGGTGAAGATTCGGAAGCATTTAACCCACTTGCTGAGGCCCCTCGCAGGCCCTTATCGTTGACTCGAGAGAGCTCAGGGGTAGGTTCTACACCTTTCAAACCGCGAGTTTCTAAATTCCCTGAACCCATTCATCCTCTATGGCCACCACGAGATTTCGTTCATGTCCGAGGTGCCGATGCGGACATCAACTCTTATCGAGACCCTCTTCACTCAAATATGGACCAGAGAAAGGCAAAAGGTGTTTCTGTCTGTATCCATGACCAAGAGAATGTACTCCTCTCGGGAACATTCGGGCAGTCTATGAAGAAACAAGCTCCTCAAGCTCTCCGGTTACCAACGAGATTCGTTGCTAGCGGAAAGGTTTTGGGGAAGGCGATAACGAGCCAACTGTCGGAACACTCATCGAGGCCTAAAAATGGTGATACCGTCTTCAAGAAAGACACTCACCCTGGGATTTCCCGACTTTACTCGTTATTAGCAACATCCATGACTGCGTTTGATCGCGGACAGTGTGACACATGCCTCTGGACCCAGAAATATGTGCCTGCTTCCGCAGAGGAAGTTTTGCAGGCCGGAAAAGAAGCACACATGCTACGAGATTGGCTGAAGTTCCTCATCATTTCTGCTGTTGACACGGGCAAGTCGACCAAAGACTCCGAGAAGGCGAAACAAAAATCGGAAGAGAAAAAGCGGGCAAAGAAGCGTCAGAAGAAGGACAAAATGAATGGATTCATTGTGTCAAGTGAAGACGAAGCGTCAGAAATGGGCGAGCTCGAGTCAGAAGAGGACGAGCTAGCTGGCAACGTAACCGTTCCCTCCTCCAAGCGCACTGTTATTCGATCTGGTGATTTAGCGGCCGGGTCAAAAGGCTCTGAGAAAGGCCGGATGAGCAATGCGATTCTACTCAGTGGACCTGCAGGATCTGGGAAAACTGCCTCTGTGCAAGCGGTGGCCAAGGAACTTGGTTTTGAGGTTTTTGAGATCAACTCAGGAAGCCGCCGAAACGGTCGAGATGTTGTCGAGCGCGTCGGTGATATGACCCGAAATCATATTGTGCACAAGTTGCACTTTGGAGATGAGGGTACCGGCCAGCCATCGGACGGCAGCACTGGAGAAGTACGGGAAGATGGAAAGCAGAACAAGTTGATGGGCTTCTTCAAGTCAAAACCCGCCGATACCAAGACAAATAAGGGATCTCCAGCCACCCCCAAGGAGGCAGAGCCGGAGGTTGATACAAAGCGATCTCAGAAACAGTCTCTTATCCTTTTGGAAGAAGCCGATATCCTCTTTGAAGAAGACCGGCAATTTTGGTCGGGAGTCATGAGTCTCATCCAGCAGTCGAGGCGACCAATCATCATAACCTGCAACAACGAGAAACTTATACCTTTGGAAGACATTTCATTCCACGCCATCCTACGATACCGGCCTCCACCTCAGGATCTCGCTGTCGATTATCTCCTTTTGATGGCTGCGAATGAAGGCCATATGTTGCAGCGAAATTCTGTCAGCAATCTTTATCGTGCCGCCGGAAGCGACCTTCGCAAAGCAATTATGGACTTGAATTTCTGGTGTCAGATGGCCATAGGTTCCAACAAATCCGGCCTTGATTGGATGATGGACCGATGGCCACCGGGGAGAGATTGCGATGAGAACGGAGATACCCTCCGAGTACTAAGCCTTAATACCTACCAGCAGTACATGGGGTGGTTTGGTCGCGATATGTTACTCGACGGTACTCTGGATAGCGAAGTTGAGTCTCAAGAGGAATCCCTTCATTGGTGGGAGCGCAGTATCCAGGATTCAGAAAATATAGCTTTCTCGAGTTCTCAAACGCTTTCGCCAGCGAAATCGAAACTTGAGCAGCTTGAGCAGTTACAATACGAATCCGAGTATGCAGATATGAGAAGCGCCTTGGACTTACTGTGCACGGGCTGCTCGGTTGACACCAGATTGGTAGGTTATTACCTTTTCGAGATTTAACATGCATTGATTAACATTTGCAGGATGCTGTCGATCCTTCCGTACCGCCAATCCCCGAGAGACACAAAGCGAACTATATTGAAAGTCACCAACTGCTTCATGCTGATCTCAAACCACAGTACTCGTCACTAGCTCTCGCAATCGGAAGTACTGCGGAAGTCTTAATCGGAAAGACATTTCGGCCGCAAAATGCGGATGTGGAGTCCTCGCAAGCTGCCCAAGTACTTGCAAACACCAATGAGATCCATGCCTCTAACGCGTCTGCCGCCCAATTAACAACAGCCTTTGAGCCAATGATGCGGGGCGACGATCAACTTTCTCCAAGTGCACGATTAGCGCCCTCTTTCCAAAACGGACCGGGCGCTCTTTGGGAGGACCTGGCACCGTACGTCCGCGCAATTGTGGCATTCGATCTTCGTCTCGAACAATACCGATTCAAACTCAGCGGCCTGCTCTCATCCAGCGCCGGTAGTAAGGGAAAAATGCGAAAGACGCGAGCCAGTCGCGCCGCGCTTGAGGGAGGTGATAAGGCACACACTCGACGAGAGCGATGGTTTCCACCCGGCACGAATCCCGCCCGCATCTTGGCCACGGGGAGCAAGGAATGGCAGGACCTCCTTGTTCATAATGGGCATTTTATTGTTGGAGACATGCCGGAACCTGATCAAGAGTCTAGAGGGGCTAGCAGGGAACCCAGCAGGGAAGGCAGCGAGCCGGCATCGGAGAGTTCGGGCGAGGGAGGAATATAAGTTGCATGCATTTGTACTGATACAGTTATTGGATAATGATTTTGGCGTGCACATTTATAGCAGTTAGTATATAGAGACAACTTCAATGAAGTTTTGAATGTAAATTAACAGTTGGTGTGTAGCATTTGTAGGCGTGTTCAAGTAGTCACCGGCGGTGGGCCATAACGACATCACCGGCGCAGCTCAGTTCCAGGCGGCCTTATCAACAACTCCTCATTGCGACCAGCTCCAGCCACCTGCACATGCAGTTCCTTCGCGCTTAATACTCGTCTGAGCATGGATTGATGCTGTTCTTTTTCTTGTGTTTAATATACTCTGCAGTGGCTGGTCTAACTCCAACCAAACTCCGCCATCAACACTTGGGCATCATAACATCACCACCTAAACACCCCCATAATGTCACTCTTCGGCTCCTCCCCAGAAAATTCCACACCCGGATCAGCTCAGCGATCCAAAGCCTCCCTCTTCACCGACGATCCCCTCTCAAGCAGCGGAGCCAATAACACCGGCGCGGCCACCAGTTCCCTCTTCGCCGACAACGACACCAGCTCGCCCTGGACAACCAATGCCAACAAGCGAGCCTCCCGCACCGAACTTGTCAAGACACTCCTCCCAGACACAGATGTACCCGAGAGCTACATCGATGCTTACGATCTGGTTCTGGATGGGGGGGACCGCGTTGGGGCTGGGGTTGGGCTGACGTCCGTGAGGGAGGTGTTAGCGGGAAGTGGTTTGAGCGCGTCGGAGCAGGCGAGGATATTGAATTTGGTAGTTTCGGGGGACTTGGATAGTGGAAGGACGGATATTGGGGTTGGAAGGGGGGAGTTTAGTGTGCTTTTGGCGCTTGTGGGACTTGCGCAGGAAGGGGAGGAGCTTACCTTTGATGCAGTGGATGATAGAAGGAAGAGTGAGTCTTCTTACTGTCCCCTTGAAAGTTTTAGAAGATACTGGGCTAAATAGGTTTACTGCAGATCTGCCAGAACCGCAGAGTACCTATCTTGATGGGTTACGCCCGAAACCGGACTTCGACGGTGCACAGGATCAGCCAGAGCAAGAACGGCCGACAACACCACCTCAGCCCTCGAATCCTCTGCAAGAGCCGAGCTCAGTTCAATCTAGACGCTCGGACAGGGAATCGTTAGGCGCGTTCGAGGCAGACCCGTGGGCTGCCCCGGAGTTACATCGCGACCATGGCCACAGCCAGGTCCACAACGAACCGTCTATATTAAACGGGTTTGGGAATGATCAGTCGGCTGGGAACTCATGGTCTGACGGTCGAGCTTTCGAAGAGGCTTATCGACAAACGATTTCGAACGGAGAGCGGTCTAACGGTCTAAGTGTCGCGCCTGCGCCTGCGCCTAGCAGTTCGGAGTCTGGATGGGGAGGCAGCTTGCCCCGTGATACAGGGTTTGGAGGATTTGGGCCACCTCCCACGAGTAATCCCGGGGAGATCAGCAATCGTCGACGGTCATTAGGGGCCGGGAGAATAACGACAACGCCAGCAGAGGAGACGATAACTGTTACGCTACTTCCGGAGAAAGAGGGCCTGTTCATGTTCCAACATCGCAACTACGAGGTTAAGTCCGCACGGAGGGGAAGTACGGTTGTTCGACGATACAGCGACTTTATATGGTTATTGGATTGTTTGCAGAAACGGTATCCATTCCGGCAGCTTCCATTGCTGCCACCAAAACGAATCTCAGGTACGTACTGAAAAGCGCCAAAAGAGCAAGACTTGGCTTACCTCTGGAATCTATAATTCTAAAGTCAATGGCACTCACCTCGCAGCGGATTCAAACTCGTTTCTCGAAAAGCGTCGTCGCGGACTTATACGGTTTACCAACGCATTGGTACGGCATCCGGTGCTCAGCCAGGAGCAGCTGGTGGTGATGTTCTTGACAGTTCCGACGGTGAGTGATCTGCGCACTGACCCGCAGACTATTGTTTCGGTGCTGTGCTAATCTGGCTTGGCTATTAGGAATTGTCCGTGTGGCGGAAACAGGCGACGGTCTCTGTACAAGATGAATTTATGGGGAGAGTCCTTCCCCCGGATTTGGAGGATTCGTTGCCACCAACTCTGACGGAAACCTTGGACACGGCGCGCAATGGTATTAAACGTTCTGCGGAGATCTACATCAATCTGTGCATGTTGCTAGAGCGTCTAGCCAAGCGCAATGAAGGACTTGCAGCAGACCACCTGCGGTTCTCGCTCACACTCCAGTCGCTGACTGAGGCAACAAAGGACACGTATACGCTGGACAGCAGCGACGTGCCTCTTCTCAATGACGGCATCCGATCCACGGCAAAGCATATATCGAACAGCCAGACCTTGTTGGAAGATGAGGCACGGGCGTGGGAAGACGGGGTATTGGAGGACTTGAAGCAGCAGCGGGACTGTCTAGTCAGCATGCGTGAGCTGTTTGACCGACGTGACCGCTACGCACGCAACAACATTCCGCAGCTTGAGCGGCGGATTGAGGTCAACGAACGAAAACTACAGGACCTGCGGGCCCGAACGACGGGGACTGTGAAGCCTGGGGAGATTGAGCGGGTTGAGGAGTCTATTTTCAAGGTAGCCCTCTCCTTTCTAACCATCTACCAAAATAAAGATGCAGGCTGACATGTCATGCAGGACAAAGAATCAATTGTCCAACAACATGCACGTGGAGTGTTCATCCGACAGTGTCTGCGCGAAGAACTAGAGCACTTCCAAAGGAGCCAGTATCACATTACTCGGCTACACCAGGACTGGAGCCAGGAACGAGTGAAGTACTCGGAGCTGCAGGCGGACAACTGGCGGTCATTGAGCGACCAAGTGGACGGGATGCCGGACGGTGTATGATTTTGTTTTACTTAGTTATGTTCTGGTTGCTGTGTTTGCTGTGATTTGGTACTATTTGCTATGTCCTGTTGAGCTTCACGATCTCGTTCATGCTTGTATTTATGCTGTTTATGCCATATTTTATTTATCAGCAATATGGTCACGGGACACGGCCGAAAGCTTTACTTCCGACGCCCACAAGTGGGTCATCAGCGGCGCCGAGAAAACGTATAGCCAATAAACAAGACTTCAAGTAGCCTTACAAGGCTGGGCACGGGCGTAAGAAGACTCTAAATGTCTTGGCCTTGGCAGTTCGGATTACCGGGTAATACGGAAGCATACGTAGAGATACATATCTACAGGAGATACGCACCAATTGAAAGGTGTAAACATGCAGTGACAAGTTCATGGTAGTGTCGCATACAACATATATGTAGAAAAGTGGCCAGTGATCAATAGTGTCTCTAGTTTCTACGCTAGTCCAAATCGAGAAGAACAAATTACGGTACGGTAATTATTCCACAATAGGCACCTGGAATCGATCCGCTCGCCAAGCCAACCTCTCATTGGCTCCGCGACCACCATCTGGAGCCCGCCGAGAAGTCCTCTGCCTTGGTTCTGTTTCCGTCGTCATTTTCGCCCGCGACTGGCTTCCTCCACTTTTTCTTTTTCTTCCTCTTCCACTCTTATCCTTCTTCGTTTCTTCTTCTTTTCCTCTTCTTTTCCTTTTCTTCTTTTTCTTTCTTGTCATCCGCTGGGCGAGGCTTAGCTAATCTTGTCTGCTTATTTCTTGTCGCCCTCCTATCCTTCCCTCCCTCCCGGGTTGCCGTATTCGGACCTACCAGATTACCTCACCAGGTTTATCGATCTATCTATCTAAACTACCCATTCCGGAAATCTTCTCGACGTCCTGTGTCCTCCACGTTTTCCTCCCCTGTCTCTCGCATCCTGCTGTGCGATTTCGATCGGACCTGATAACCTCCGTCCCTTGCAGCTACCACGAGGTTACCGCCTTTGCTTGTCCGTTTTGTGGCACTCGCTCTGTTTCCGCCGTCAACAAACCCCCTCCATGCCGAGCTACATCGCGTTTTGGGACACGCCGCGGAAATCGATCGCTGTGTCTGCCCAGTTCGGGGTATCTACGTCGTCAAACCACGAGAGATCTTAGATTCGCTACTATTCGCATACAACGAACGAGCGAGCGGAAATAAGATAGGAAGGGGGCAATATGGCGTGGGATCATTTGGATATCGATAAGCCGCATTTGGCTTATATGATCCTAGGTGGTTTCACCGGCCTGTTCATGTTATGCTCTCTTTTCGTCAAAGAGAAGCTCTATATTGGTGAGGCGACGGTGGCCACCCTGTGTGGTATCATCTTCGGACCTCATGCTGCCAATCTATTTAATCCCTTGGAATGGGGCAATGTCGATAAAATCACTCTCGAATGTTCGCGCATTGTTCTGGTCGTGCAATGTTTTGCCGTTGGTGTCGAATTGCCCAAAGCCTACATGGAGCGTCACTGGAAGTCCGTCTTTTTGCTTTTGGTCCCCGTCATGACTTGGGGTTGGTTGATAACCAGTCTGTTCATTTGGTGGATGGTACCACCGCTCGATTGGCTTGAAAGTTTGCTTTGCGCCGCCTGCGTCACGGCCACTGACCCTGTCTTGGCCTCGTCCGTCGTCGGTAAGGGTAAATTCGCCAAGCGGGTTCCCAAGCACTTGCGTGACTTGTTGTCTGCCGAGTCTGGCTGTAACGATGGTATGGCCTTTCCGTTCATCTACTTGTCCTTCTACCTTCTACGCTATCGCCCGGACTCGGACAAGGTCGCGCTGGAATGGTTCTGTACCACCATTCTGTACGAGTGTATCGCGGGCGCTATCTTCGGCTTCCTCATCGGTTACTTTGCGCGTCATGCGATCAAATGGGCTGAGCACAAGGGGTTGATTGATCGTGAGAGTTTCCTGGTGTTCTACTTCGTTTTGGCGGTGTTCTGCGCTGGTTCGGGTAGTTTATTGGGCATGGACGATCTCCTGATCGGTTTCGCTGCCGGTGTTGGTTTCAGTAACGATGGATGGTTCACGGAGAAGACTGAGGAATCTCACGTCTCCAACGTTATTGATCTTTTGCTGAACTTGGCCTTCTTTGTCTACTTTGGCTCTGTCATCCCTTGGGAGGACTACAACGCCCCCGACCTTGGCCTCACGCCTTGGCGACTCGTGGTGATTGCGCTTCTGGTCATTTTCTTCCGTCGCATACCAATCATGCTGGCCTTAAAACCGGTAATACCGGACGTCAAAACATGGCGCGAGGCCCTTTTCGCCGGCCACTTCGGTCCCATTGGTGTCGGTGCCGTATTCGCTTGTATCCTGGCCCGTGCCGAATTAGAAACCGACAGTACGCAGCCGCTGCCTGCTAGCGACCTGTCCAGAATAGGTGAACTCGAGCATCCCGAGTGGGACTCTATCATCAAGCTTATTTGGCCCATCACGACCTTCATCATCATCTCGTCGATTCTGGTGCACGGATCGTCCATCGCCGTGTTCACTTTGGGCAAGCGTATCAATACCATGACGATTACCCTGTCGTACACCCAGGCCAACGAGGAAGGACCGTCCTGGATGAACCGCCTGCCGCGTGTGCAGTCGTTGGCCAAGGGTTCCATGTCTTTCCGGAAGCCTGACGAGATGGATGAGTCGTCCAGTGATCAATATCCCCCGGGTACATTGCCGCCAATTGGTGTTCCAGGTAACTTTTTGCGTCGTGTGCGCGAGGACGACAAGGACAACGAGTCCCCTGGTCCTAGGCCCACTCGGAGACGTAGAAGACGCCACCGCGACTCTAGTGTTGGTGGTCCCATTAGCCAGTCTGCCATCGCTCCTCAACGACGATCTGATCAAGAGGAAGAAGACAAAGAACTGGAAGAACGTGACAGAATCGAACGTGAAGGTTCTCCACCTTCTCGTGAGCGCGAGCGCTTTGGCCGTGAACCCGCTATGGAAGTGTACCTCGAAGGCTCTAAGATGATCATGGAAGACGAAGAAGGCAACGTTCTCAGAACTGAGGATGTCAGCCACATGTCTCGCGAGGAGCAGGCGAATCACATCGAGCAGGAACGGCAGAAGCTGGAGCAAGATATGTCCGGGAAGGTTTCCAAGTCTAAAGAGCAGCAACATACCAAGACTGAAGGCGAGGAAGTTCAACAGGCTGTTGGTGAGAAGACTGGTCACCCGTTGCAGAAAGCTCGTCAAACTCTGGGACGATGGGTTGGTCTAGGCAAGGGCCGTACTCAGGAGCCTGAGCCACCTGTCGAAGAGGAAGAGGACGAAGGCGTCGTTGAGGCCAAGAAGAAAGAGAAGAAGGCTGCTGATGAGAAGAAAAAGAAAGAGAAGGGTCGCTCTGCGCACGCATACCAGTTCGGTAATACCATTATTGTCGAAGATGAGGAGGGTGAAGTCATCAAGAAGTACTCTATTCCATCTGCGACAGCCGATGAACCCGACGCTCCCAAGCCTGTCCGCCGTGGATTGACACGCATGGGCACTTGGTTCGGCAAAGAAGACCAGAAACCCGAGTCATCCAAGAATGTGCAAGAGAACAAGAAGGCAAAGGAAGACGATTGGCTTGCAGACGATGGTCTCCGTTTCACTGTGAACGACGCTGTTGAGGACAAGGGTGTTAACCACAAGGGCCGCCGCATGAACAAGCACGAGTTTATCAAGCAGATCCAGAACCTGGGTCCCAGGGATCGTCACGATATGGTCAAGGAATCTGACGCTCCGGGACAGGTCCAGGATATGGCCGAGGATCAGTTGCATGCTGCGAACCGCCGTGAAAGTCGGAAGTCGCAGACCTTCGATGCCCAAGCCCAAGACATGAAGAAGGCTCAGGAAGCTGCTGCTCAGAAGAAGGACGATGATGAAGAGTCTGTTAGCACCAGTGATATGGAAGACGAATCGTCTGACGCAGAAGTCCCTGGTGATAACGTAGCCGCTTCGCTTGCACGCTTCACCCGCGGCAGCTCAGCCCAAGAACGGCGCAGCCAACTTGGCGGTGAACAACCCTCCTCTCAGCCTCGCACCCGCCGCGACTCCGAAGACGACGGCACCGAACGTGTCCCGCCTTCTCAACTCCGCGAATCAGCCGGTTTTCCTCTCTCGCCTCGCTCTAAGCCCACCACAGCAGACGTAGATGACACGGGTGAAACGCCTGCCGAACGTCGTCGTCGTCTCGCAGCTCTGGGTGAAATCAGAGACGACTCTGACTCTGATTCCGTCGCTGTCGATGAAGATGATGCATCAGACAGCGAGGAGAACGGCGAGCGCAAGATCCAGTTCGCGGATGGAACTAAGCATGGTTCTGACGGTGGCAATGGTGGGTCAACTTCGAATGGAGAGAGTTCGAGACAGCGTCCTACAATTTCTTGGGGTGGTGAGAAAGGGAGAGGGGAGCAAAGTTGATTTCTTGAAGAAACCTAATCTGGATGGAAATAAGACGGGGTGAACGGACTTGCGGTGTGCTGCCTGCCTGCTCAAGCAGCAGATGCATGCACTTACACCTAATGCTGTCCTCTCTACCCTGTCCGGCCAGTCATCCTTGACTCTCATTGACTAATGAAGGTGAGATGAAATGCGATGCGATGAGGAGACTTATGCTTGCTCGCTTATACATAATACCAATCCTCCTGCTTAATGTACTTATTTACATGCCCTGTTTTGTTTTGGTTTAGCTTTTATTTTGCTATTCTATCAAGTCAGTCAGTTTACTGTATTGCATGTGTTTGAATAGGCTTGCTTTACTATTGTTGTTTTTTTTTCTCTTTTCTTTATCTTCTTTTTTCGTGTCTCTTTACCTTGATATATGTAACTTAGACTCGATTTTAATTCTTAGACTATGAACTACTACATTATGTATTCACTACTATTCTTTATACTTCAAGCTGCCGGTCAATCTGCCAGCTGGACTTGTCTTTACCAAGTGGCAATATCTCGTACACCATCACCAACTCAAACGACTTTCAAAAAGGGCTGAAAGATGAGAGCATATAATCTAGTAAATGAAATTCTGCTACCAGGACATCATACCAGATGGGCTAAATCCACGCTTGGTTTACTTTAACACGGTTCAAGTATATCGAATACTTGTGTCTAGTGGCAGCTCAGTCAGAAGTACGGCCTTTCGAAGCAAGGTATCAGGACGAGTACTATCACCCTAAGCTTAGTGTTTACTCCTATCTACCGGATGGTCCTAGTCCGGAAGTGATAGATCGACTTCTGAATCCATATTCAACATTGTGGGATTGGATTGCTTGGGGATCACGGACCAAAGAGCACTGCAGCAGCTTTAGTCGTGACAAATGAGCCATATAAGGTTGAAGTACTAGCAGATTTGCCAATCTTAGACCTTTTGTCTCACTATGAAAGAGAAGAGCTCAATACATCTAGTCACGCCTGATAGTCAGAAATCCTACCCGGAATTTCATCAGAGACGTGGTGTTTTTCTCACCACAGCGAGAAACTGCGGACTGATACGCTACAGGTTGGTATGCCACATATATGGAGCTTTTTTTTTTTTTTTTTTTTTTTTTTTTTTTTTTTTTTTTCAATGTTCCATGCTCAGATTCCAAAGTTGCCATGGGCTTTGACCAAATCTTCTGTCCTGCACTGGCGATATGATAATTGCAAATAAGTGATATGGTACAGTCTGTCATTTCCAGGCATGTTTGACTGCGTTAAGTACGGGGTCAATTACATCTGTTCAGGAGTTTTCCACGCCGTTGTTGAGGTACGTTTTATATGGGAGAAATCGGGGAAACAACATGGTTTCAGAAGACCAATGGTTTGCTAGACCTCATCCTACATAGTTACATAGTAGTCAGTGTGCTATGCATCAGTTCCTGATATAAGTTTGTTGAAGCTTGTCATAAACTCATGATATACATCCAGCAAAAGTGGATCATGTGAGAGAATCCCGATATAGAAAGTAGTCCAATTTTATAACCCACCTACAACTACAACCTCCCAACCACAATACCATTAAATACAATAAATATGCCACGCCCAAAACAAAAAACCAAAGCAAGTCCAATTTCCCCATCCGCCTCATCCAGTCCAAACTAACAACCGCAGTCCCAAGACCTGGCCCGCATCCGCACAAACCAGCAACGATGCCGGCAACGCAGGCGCGACTATGTGACTGAGCTGGAGCAGAGAATTGCAGAGTATGAAGATAGTTTTGGGCGGAAAGTAGAGACCTTACAGACGAGTATTGATGAGCTGAAGAGGGAGAATGAGAGGTTGAAGGGGTTGTTGGGTGCCAGTGGCGAGGGGAGGGGAGCTGCGGAGGGGATAAGTATTACGGATACCATTGCTGCTGCCACTTCTATTGAGACTGGATCTGGGGCTCGGGCAAATGTCACTAGCCTTGAGAAGAGTTTTCGATTATTGCCCACGGGTGATATAGACCCGGGCCTTGATGGTTCTGTGGAAGGTACAGAGACGGATTCTCCGGCTGGTCCGGAACCAACGCTTTTGCAATCGTTCAAGGTAGGTTTACATTGTTTAGCTATCGGATTTAGCCCGTATATTTACCGCCTATAGACTTTGCCGGACTTGATTGAAAATCAACTTGATGGCTTGGATATGTCGCAACCTTCTCTCCAATGGACTACGAGCATCCCACCTTCGCCACCTAGTATGCTTCGCAGTATATCTACAGAGCTCGCAACCCCAAATCTAAGCGACTACTTTTCAAATATGCTCGATCCTCAATCAACCTGCTGTTCTCAACCAGACTGGCTCCAATGGCTCTCTACTACTCCTATGGACATAGAGCCCACCAACACCGTCCAAGAGACAGATACAACACTCTGCACCGCTGCCTTCGGACTCGTCATGCGCTGTAACAAGCGGAATGCAAGCATTGGGGAAATCGAAGCAAAGTTACGTTGCGGGTATCGAAGTGCGGTGTTTCAATGGGAGGGGTGTAGGGTTGAGAATCGGGTTTTGCTTGCTGTGCTTTCTGAGATAGCATAGTTTGTCTCTGTATCTTGGTTATATACAATTCAAGCGTATCTGCACTAAGGCTTAATGGCGTAGATTTGGAAGGAACCTGAGCGCAATGTTAGCATCCCCGTTTATCTTCTGTCCAGAGACGGATAACTCACCAGCCCACTCATTAAAATCAATCTTCGAAGAATCAAGCTCTGTACTCGTCGAGCAACCACTCGACCCACAGCAAGAATTCGGCTCTAGCGTCTTGTATACGTTCAGATCGGATTTTGCATCCACAATCAACACATCTGTCTCGTCAGCACCACCCACTAGAGCAGTGTCTCACAGACCATACCTTTGAAACCAGCTTCAGCCAACCACCCCTCATACTCCTGCACCAAACTTGCTCCCGCAACACACCCCACATACAAAGCCATATCCCCACTTATGCTCTCCGGCAACGGCTTCCTCGCGAGGATATCGCTAACAGCGACTCGTCCACCGGACTTCAATAGTCGAAAGACCTCGTGGAACACGGATGGTTTGTCGGCTATAGGGACAAGGTTGATAACGCAGTTACTGATAATGCAGTCAATTGTGGAGTCGGGGAGCGGGACGGATGTGATTCTAGATTCGAGGAAGGTGGTATTGGGCAGGTTTGCTTTTTGGGAATTTGTTGTGGCTAGATTGATCATGTCCTGCTCCTCTTTAGCATTGCATTGCAAGTAAAATAAAGAGGCACACGTACTCTAGTCATATCAACCCCAATCGCCCTCCCCCTCTCACCCACCTTATTCGCAGCAAGAAAGACATCGATCCCAGCACCGCTACCGAGGTCAAGAACAGTCTCGCCTTCTCTGACATTCGCTAGTCCGACTGGGTTTCCGCAGCTTAGGCCTAGATTTGTTTTGTCAGGGAGAAAGGCGAGATCGTCTGCGGTGTAGCCGAAGGACTTGGCGACATTTTCTTCCTTGGTTTGTTGGGTAGCTGGGGAGGTGGTGTTGCGTTTGGCGATCTCGCCGTAGTGCGATTGGACAAGGGTGTAGGCGTCTGTCATGTTTGCGGTTGTGAGTGTATTGGTGGTTTTGGATTAGAGGACTCGCTACGCTGGGGCGGGACTGGCATTTTATGTGATATCCCGGTGGTACTGGAAAGGTCCTGGTAAACTACAACCTTTTGACATAATTGGTAGATACCGATAACTGGTATGTCACCACTTAGGGCATATGAAAAGTGGTATGTCACCATATACCGTCCACAGTAATGAGTAATAGGAATGCACTGACATATTCATAATATGATCAGTCAGCATTATTCTTATCTAAGACGATGAACTGCTCCAGACAATGTGGTTGACTTCGTAGCGGTAAACGGTGCTGAGCTGTTCCTGCAGCATGTGTTGTCAGGTGACGTTTTATAGCAACTGGCTGCCAATGAGTGAGAGCTGTCAGGAGGGGCTGGATGAATGACAGTCAACATGGACCGGGAAGAGGGGGTGTAGTACGAGTTGCGTGATGTGTCACAATTGGGGGACGCCGACAGAGTACAGTAATGAAACGGCTATCTAACGAAGACAGAAAGGCGCACTTTTGACATATATACCAAGTAACAGATTAGCATTGAGCATTATATCACAGTAACCAAGCATCCAGTATTCCGCGGTAGTTTTTAGAATACCGGCCCGAGGTCTATAAATCAAAACAAAATAGGCCATTCATCGTAAAAGGGTAATAACAAGACGGATCATATCCTCGTCCGTGAGATCGGACGTAGTAATTAAGGATAGATCATGTAGATAACCAAGGTAAGTTTTTCCTGAGATTGGCTTGCGATCATAGTTGAAAAAGAGAATCCACATGCTAGTCGTCTGGAATCGTCGTATGTACAATTTAACGGTAGTCGCGGTCGCTCCGGTCGTATTCACTGCCAGGACCACGGCGTCCGTCATACTCGCTTCCGCCGCGGCGTTCGTGGCGCTATTCAATCAGCATTGATATTTCCAAGGAGCTCAAAGGGGATGTACCTTTCTCAACGCTTCGAGGCGCTTCTTCTTGGTGTGGGTGTTGACATAGGTACCGATAACAAAGCCAACCAGGTTGAAGAAGGGCACCCAGGCGTGCTCGGGAAGGAACTTCTGCGCAAATGCAAGGGCCAGCGGCGAGGTGATCCAGCTAACCTTCATGACGGGCATGAAACCAGCGCGCACAGTAGCGCGAACCTGGTGGATGTTACGCGCACCGGCGATGTAACCCATAGACGCGAGGTAGACGACGTTTTGGATGGGAGCAACCTGCGGTCTCATTAGCCATTGCTCAAGGGATATATGTGGTATAGGATGTGATGTGACGCACGATTAGATTGCTGAAGATGATCTGCAAGATCTTAGCCTTCAAGCTGGTACGACCGGCGAAGAGCTTCTGGAGAATGCCGACGAGGAAGTGTCCCAGCGGAGCCGAAACGAACATGCCGTAGAGCGACATCTTGGGCACCCGCTGGCTGAAGTAGTGGCCGTGTTTGCTGACATCTTGCGCGATCCAGGACGCGAGTACTTCTTGCAGAGCCGAAAGGACACCGGAGGTGAGCATCTTGGTACGGAGCGGGTTCGATTGGAGTTGGCGCAGGTAGAGCTATTAAAGAATCAATATGTTAGCAAGTTTTTCTTCTTCTCCCCTCTGGAAGGACATACCGCAAGATAGCCAATCTGTGTCGGTCCGCCAGTCAGGCGCTCACCAACCAGATGCGCCAACTCCTTGGTCTCCTGGCGCACCGACTGATCCTGGAGCGAGTCCTGGATCTTCTCCTGGACGGCCTCCTGAATCGAATCTTGCAGCTTGACAGACATGGTGCTGGTTCAAAGGTGTGGTGGTTGGGGGTTCGCGTGCGATAACGGAGCTGGTCAGGTCGTCGCGGCGACAACACGAAGGCGGACAAGTCAGAGACAGCAGTATTGGTAAGAAATCAAATGTAATTATGGAGAAACAGTGGGGTTGATATAAAAATATAAAATAAAAAAAAGTGGTATTAAGAATATTCTGTAGCAAAGGGGAGAAAGAAAAGAGAGAGAGAGCACGGTTGTTTATTTGTTTCAGCCGACGAACGACGGAGGAGGCTGGGAAAAGGCAATTGGCCTACCGAGGTCAGCCACTATTTATATACTAACTCCTTCCCCAGACCCACGATGCACGTAAGGAAGTATATATCAGTCCTGCGATTATGCAGAGAAGCTGTTAAAAAAGAAAAAAAGAAGATATAACAGCATTAGTCGGTGAGCGCAGCTGGTTAGGAATCTTCTGTAGTTATACTAGTGTTTCTAGTCTATCGGCCATTGAGTCGGCAGATGCGTTCGGGATCTCCGCGGTCAGGTACGAGGTACATTGGGGTTATGCAATGGGAGAGCTGGATTTGGAGCTAGATTCTGGTTTATAATGGGCCGTAATGAGGGGATTATATTGCTGAACCGAGGTTCGGTGGTGGAGGCGATTTTGTATAGTCGGGATACGGAGCATTCCGCGCAGATATATATAATGGACTGGTTGAGACCAGGATTGAGAGAATAATAGAATAAACATAAAATAAACGAGAAGTAGTCAGCAATCGCCATCATGCCACTAAGATTAAATGTCGTAATATATTACAAAATATCAAAGAAGCTGCTATAGGAAAGCAGCTGTATACTTCAAGTATTGTTATGTAGAGCTACCGACATCCCATTGTTATGCTATACTGCTAGTGCTTGAACTGTTGCTTATATTCAACAAATGCTTTGTTGTATTAATTACAAGTTGACAAGATCCATGGACAAATGTACTGTGCAAACACATGCACGCAATACTCCTCTCTTTCACTCACCCCCAATACGTCTACAACTTCACTTCTCTTCACTGTCACCGAGAACCCACAACCAGGCAGATTTCAAACCCTTTCCCCTTCGCATCCAAAATGAACTCTTCCCCTCATATCTGCCATATTCTAATTTCCATCCTCATGCCTCAACAGCACCATGGCTCAGAGACGCTACTCCAACCCTGTCAGGTACTACAGCGTGCCTCCCACGGCAATCTCACCAGAACCTAACACCCCAATGACTACTGCCACGACACCCAGACACTCGCCCACCTTTCCCACAATCACATCGCCCAGACCGTCTCCCTCAAAGCAGCCCCAGCGGACATTCATCCTCAACCACCCGCCTCTAGGCGAAACGGAACGGCGCTGCCCACACAATGACTTAACACCCATCGAGGGCATGTCAGAGATGTTCCGTTGCGATGAGTGTTGGCACAAGCCTGAGTTGGGTTGGCTATGGACTTGTACGCAGGACGTTGTGGGGGAAGATGGACTGGTTGATCCGAAAAAGTGCGCTCTGCTAGAACAGAAGGCGTACAAGTCTGTTTTGAGTGGTGTGCATGAAGAAGATGATGTGAAGATTATGATTAAGCAGAGATTGGCATTTTTGAGCAGGGAAGAATATCATTCGCCTCAGAATGTGGAACAAGAATATGATGCTGTGTACCAGGGCCAAGCCCAGGACCAGAGGCCTAGGGATGAAGCGTCTATGCCAGAGCGGCAGAAATTTGCCCGACAAAAGAGCCAACGCGTGCGATTTGCAGAGGAGAATTCGTACAGGTCACCGTCTCCTCCGGTATACCGCCCTGAGGAGGAGGATAAGAGTGTGGAAGCGTATCGAAACACCGTCCCAGAGCAGCAAAGTGTTGCGTCGGATGAGGACACCCATGCTGAATACGTAGCGTGGATGAACATGATCACGAATATGAGAAACGAGACGGGTTTTGGACAGCACAAATCTGGAGCTAGCACTTCGCAATCCTCTGCGAACACTGGCTTTGGTAGCAACGCTTGGGCGCGGTCAATACAAGGCGTTCACCAACAGCAACAAGCCCCCAGCAACAACGCTGCGCAGACCAACGAATCTCAATCGCAAGTTATCGATCGCTCGTACATCGCACGTCTTCGCCGGGAGATGCACAGTTTGGATTACCACGCAGCCATCGCGGACATGCACAAGACGTCTCGGGTTTCCCCGCAACAGCTTAGGGCCCGCCACCAACCCGAAGTCTCACGCTCCAAGTCTTTCCGTTCGCACTTCCAACGTTCCCAGCAGGGATCGCAGAGACATGACGATGAAAACCAGATCGCTGCGCCTGTACCTGTCCGTCCGGCATCTCACGATTACAGCAGGCAGTACCAAAGCTCTGACAACCACGCTGGACACCATGAACAACTCAGCCCTCACTACCGTGGTGTCCAGAGTCCATCTGAATTGTTCCGGGGCAGGGCTCTAAGTCGCTCTCACAGCCATCCTGCGCGAGAACAGCCGGGTCACAACAACCGCAGGGCGCCTTTCGTGTTGAATATCCACGATCCTGAGGAGAACCAGAACTCCACCGTGCAGGTCGCCGCACGCGCCATTGGGTATATTTCGAAAGAGCGACTGTCTCCTGGATACCATAGTCCTCCACCTGCAGCGCCTGAGAAGCCTTCTTACAGGACTACCAAGCCTCTTCCTCCTCCACCGCCGCCTCCCCATCGGCCCAGGTTTCTGTTTCCTTGCGGTTATAAGATCTGCTCGACATGTCGAGGCGTGAGGACCAATGAAATGCTTCCGGCGACCAGGTACAATCCCGAGGAAGTGCCGGCAATCGTTTATGAATCAACTCAGCAGTCTAGTATTTCGGAACAGCCGATATTCTTCCGCCCTGACTTTGAAGACCAGAGCAGTGGCCTGGTAGCAAAAGACGGCATTCTCATGAAAGATGCGCAATATTTCCTAGCACGAGGGAACGATCCCGAGCTTCGGGGTCTGATCGCGAGTCATATTGTCAATCTGGGACTTAGTCTTGCGCCCGCGGATGAGAACCTGGCTTCTCACATGGAACGCCTGGAAGTCGAGTCATTGAGCGAAGGAAGCGATAACTCGACGGATGAGAGTGTGGATGCGGTTGGATAGAAAGTCATCTAATCATGGGGGTAGTGTGTCGGCGGGTGTCTATGCATGTGAAGACAACTTTCGTGATTCACTGGCTTTAGTTTTGGAGACGATGAACGAGATATGAACATCTATGATGATATTGACGATATACGAGTATTGGATCTGATTCTAGTCCGTTTTATGTATCATTAGCTTCAGATAGAAACGAAATATGGTCAATTTCAACAACCGTATCCCATTAGCCGTGGGATCAAGGACCTATCACTGCGCCAAGAAAACAATTCTACTGCACCATGGTCCGTAAAAAATCGTTGACCACATCATATGGGGGCCATGCCATTTTTTTACTCTTATATACCCCATTCTGTCGCAACAAAACTACGACCATGAAGATGATCCCACGCTCTCATTTCGCTGTGTATATTAACTAGCGGGTTCCGCCTTCCCGAATTCCGAGCCTCGGTCTCTGACTGAACGGCTATCGATTATCGCCGATAAATAAGACCTTTTACTCCGTACACCTACCAAAACACGCATATACAATTACGCCATGGCAGACAACGAAAAACCCCCTGTTGAGCCGACTGAGCCGACTGAGCCAACCGAACAGGCCGAGCAGCAGCCCGACGACAGCGACAAGACGAGCCCCGCGCCTTCGCAGTGCCAGGTGCCGACAACGCTCCAGGCGACGGATCGTCTGGTTGGCCGAATTGACCGGTACACACATTTTCTACAACATTGTATGACAGAAAGCTAACAAAACAGGCTGATATCCACCGCCGCCGGCGAAGAACGAGCCTTTGCGGCAATCAGCTACCTCTCCCACGCTCTACACCACTTCCTCGGCTCCGCGCCAGGAATCGCAATCCAAACCCGCCTAGGCCTCCTCGCGCGTCTACGAAACCTCACAGAAAAGGCTCCTGCCACAACAGCAACAACACCACCACCACCACCCGCACCCTCATCTTCCCGCCTCCTCGCGCTCTCCTCCCTCTGCTCCGAAACCCGCTACACCCTCCGCCTCTTCGGCCTCGTCCCATTGTGGACCTGGGGCTCGCAAACCCTCAAGTCACCCCCCTCAGACCGCCTCATTTACTCCCTAACCCTCCTGCAAGTCATCGCAAATGTCCTCTACCAAGCCCTCGAGAACATCGGCTACCTGGCCTCCAAGAACATCGTTTCAAAGCGCTTCGTGGACCGCTGGGGCGGGATCGATAAGTTCTATCTGTGGAGCACGCGCGCGTGGTTCGGGCATATTGTGCTGCAGTTTGTGATGCTGTGGAGACAGCATGTGCTGAGGAAGGCCAAGGGGGCGCTGATGTCGCAGGAGAAGAAGGATGAGGTGTTGGCGGGGGAGGTCAGGGCGTGGAAGAAGAGTCTTGTGAATAATCTGTTTTGGGCACCCTTGGCGCTGCATTGGAGTTTTGAGAAGGGGATTGGGGTTCCGGGGAGTGTGACTGGGGCTGGAGGGTTTATGGCGGGTGCTTGGGGGTTTTGGGATCTTTGGGGGTCGACTTTGAGTTGATTGTATATACGTTTCTTAGGTTGTCGTGCTATGTCCATGAGTATTTAGATGGCTGTGTATTTTATATGTAATAAGGGTATATTTAGAGAAACTACTCGTCGTAATCTTCTTCTATGCACTCCAGCGTCTCAACTTGCCCTGTATAAAACCTCGACCGTCGCTTCGCCGACGGACTTCGCGGTAAGTTCGGTAACATTCCCTCAACACCCATTCCCTTACACTGAGACCTTGCAATATGCTCATAAAACGAACCTACCAAAAAATCATCCAGCTCCCACCCCACACCATCAATAGGGATTAATCCCTCCATCGTCCTCTCATCCGCCCAACAAAACACACCCGCCTCCACAGCACGCATACTACACAGCCCCCCCTCACCCGTTACCCGCTGCTGAATATCCACCTGCACACTAACCAATTTCATCAATCCGGCCTCGAGCTCATAAATCGCATTCCTCTGCTGCTCGTTCAATCCAAAGATAAGCAGTCCCTCGACGGCAGCTTGCGGGTCCGGCGATGGCGCGATCACGGGCGTCCCGGGGTTGGAGAAGCGGTAGAGTTGGTAGCCGAAGAGCGTGGCTTGGGTCATGTTGCGGGAGATGGGGGTTGTTTGGGGCATATCGGTGAAGTATTTGAGGACTGTGGGGAGCATTAGAGTGCCGTAGACGAAGCGGGGGGAAGTGCCGGGTTGGGTTAGGAGAGTGGTTGTTTGGTCTTCTGTGAGAATGTTGCTTAGTGCTTGAGTGTAGTCTGATGGGTACCATGGTTTGTAGTCCATCTGCGCTGGTGGTCGACTTGTCTTGGATAAAGAACGATCCCAGGAGAGTCAGGATTTTAGCTTTGATGAGTTAACAAGCAGAGATATATTGTTAGAGCAACAGTGAGAATGAACCTGCAACAAGGCCCTTTTAAGTCAAAACTGAGGCTTGCTGCCTTATGCCTTTCCTGAAAATCCAGCAAAGACGCCATCCTTTCAGGCAAGACACCCTGGAAGCTCAAAGCAGAGCATGCCGGTCATAGCAGGCATTCACAGCACAGGCAGCCTTTACTCGCATAGGCGGATCCTACGCCGCAAAGCGCAGCATAACACAACAGCCACTCAACCTGTGATGCCTGGAAGCCCACTTGACAATCTTGACAATCCGTAGATCGTAGATCAATTTTTTTTTTTTTTTTTTTCATATCATGCTCCGTAGTAGTATTTCTCTTTAAGAACAAGATGAATCACATAGTACGACCGGCTTCCATGGGCTTCTCCGCCAGCGAGCGGTGGCCAGAGAGACCCGCTTATTAAGTCATCGGGTCCCAGCAAGCGTATCGTCACTGACCATCTCTTAACGGACAGCTCCAACTTCCAACCTCACCACCTTCTTCCCTCTCACACACTTACTTATCACTTCCTCCCCTTTCATCAACACTATCTGGTTCAACTGGGCCATCTCTAGTCTTCATTTTCTGCTTGTCTGTTTGCATTTCTTGTTCGTTATTCTAGCTGGATCCACCAGCGTTGTCACAGGTACCTTCTGAGTCTACGTTGCTTTTAAGAGCTTGCCAGAGCACCGCCATCCAAAATGACTTCAGAGCCGGATTACACTCACGACAAGAAGAGAGTCAACTTAACGTATGTTTGAGCTCCTTCCCTATTAACCCATAGACGCATATTTGCTAACTGTTCGCCAGTGACCCTTCGGGCGCCGAGCACAGAGAGGTAACCGAAAGGCGACGCTTCGAAAGAGAATAGCCACAAGATTCTAACTCCATGATCACAGGACGATACCTCAACAGCGATTCTCAAGAAGAAGAAGAAGCCCAACTCGTTGCTGTATGCTCATTGATCCCTCACCGTTGGAAATGGCGCCATGGCTGATCAGAACCCCGCTCTCACAGCGTCACCGATGCCGTCAACGATGATAACTCCGTTATTGCTCTCTCCAACAACACTATGGATACTCTTCAGCTCTTCCGCGGTGACACGGTCTTGGTTAAGGGTAAGATGCGCAAAGACACCGTTCTTATCGTGTTGGCGGACGACGACCTCGATGACGGCAGCGTTCGCATCAACCGTGTCGTGAGACATAACCTCCGTGTTAAGCACGGCGATATCGTCACGGTTCACCCGTGCCCCGACATCAAATATGTACGTCTTCTTTGGTTTGGTTTGAAAATGTGCACTGAGAGAGATTGCTGACGTTTTTTTTTTTTTCGTGGTTAGGCCAAACGTATTGCCGTTCTTCCCATTGCAGACACCGTTGAAGGTTTGACCGGTTCTCTTTTCGATGTCTACCTTGCCCCATACTTCCGTGAGGCCTACCGGCCAGTGAAACAGGGTGACCTTTTCACAGTACGTGGTGGTATGAGACAAGTCGAGTTTAAGGTCGTCGAGGTGGATCCCCCAGAGCATGGCATTGTCGCTCAAGATACCGTCATCCACTGCGAGGGTGAGCCGATTCAGCGTGAAGATGAAGAGGGCAACCTCAACGAAGTTGGTTATGATGACATTGGCGGCTGTCGGAAACAGATGGCTCAGATTCGTGAGTTGGTCGAGCTGCCTCTTCGCCACCCTCTCCTGTTCAAGTCTATCGGTATTAAACCCCCACGTGGTATCCTCATGTACGGCCCCCCTGGTACCGGTAAGACTTTGATGGCTCGTGCCGTTGCCAACGAGACCGGTGCTTTCTTCTTCCTGATCAACGGTCCCGAGATCATGTCCAAAATGGCTGGTGAATCAGAATCGAATCTGCGCAAGGCTTTCGAAGAGGCCGAGAAGAACTCCCCCGCCATTATCTTCATTGATGAAATTGATTCCATCGCTCCCAAGCGTGAGAAGACCAACGGAGAGGTCGAGCGTCGTGTCGTTTCTCAGCTTCTGACCCTGATGGACGGTATGAAGGCTCGCTCCAACGTGGTCGTTATGGCCGCCACCAACCGCCCCAACTCCATTGACCCTGCCCTCCGTCGTTTCGGCCGTTTCGACCGTGAGGTTGACATTGGTATCCCCGACCCCACTGGTCGTCTGGAGATCATGTCGATCCACACCAAGAACATGAAACTTGGCGAGGATGTCGACTTGGAGACCATTGCCGCCGAGACTCACGGTTACGTCGGTTCTGATTTGGCTTCGCTGTGCTCTGAGGCCGCCATGCAACAGATTCGTGAGAAGATGGACTTGATCGACCTCGACGAGGACACAATCGACGCCGAGGTTCTCGACTCCCTTGGTGTTACCATGGAGAACTTCCGCTACGCTCTTGGTGTCTCCAACCCCTCGGCTCTCCGCGAGGTTGCCGTTGTCGAGGTCCCCAACGTCCGCTGGGAGGACATTGGTGGTCTCGAGGAAGTTAAGCGTGAGCTTGTCGAAAGCGTCCAGTACCCTGTGGACCACCCTGAAAAGTTCCACAAGTTCGGTCTTTCGCCTTCTCGTGGTGTGCTGTTCTACGGTCCCCCGGGTACTGGTAAGACCATGCTTGCCAAGGCTGTTGCCAACGAGTGTGCTGCCAACTTCATCTCTGTCAAGGGTCCCGAGCTGCTGAGTATGTGGTTCGGTGAGTCTGAGAGCAACATCCGTGACATCTTCGACAAGGCTCGTGCTGCGGCACCTTGTGTTGTCTTCCTGGATGAGTTAGACTCGATTGCCAAGTCGCGTGGTGGTTCCGTTGGTGATGCTGGTGGTGCATCTGACCGTGTTGTCAACCAACTTCTGACTGAGATGGATGGTATGACATCGAAGAAGAACGTCTTCGTTATCGGTGCTACCAACCGTCCCGAGCAACTTGATGCTGCCCTGGTCCGTCCCGGTCGTCTGGACACCCTTGTCTACGTTCCTCTTCCCGACCAGGCCTCTCGTGAGAGCATCATCCGGGCTCAGCTTCGGAAGACCCCTGTCGCACCCGATGTCGACATTGACTTCATTGCCAGCAAGACTCACGGATTCTCTGGTGCTGACATTGGCTTCGTCACTCAGCGTGCCGTCAAGCTTGCCATTAAGGAATCGATTGCCATTGACATTGAGCGCACGAAGCAACGCGAGGCTGCTGGCGAGGATGTCAACATGGACGAAGAAGAAGAGGCCGAGGACCCCGTGCCGGAGCTTACCCGGGCCCACTTCGAGGAGGCCATGAAGTCTGCACGTAAATCGGTCAGCGACGTGGAGATTCGCCGGTACGAAGCATTTGCACAGAGCATGAAGAACTCTGGTGGCAGCAGCTTCTTCCGCTTCCCATCTGCCGGAGAAGTTGGGGAGAATGATACATTTGGGGAAGCCGGCAATGACGACAGCCTCTACGATTAATTGGGTCTTGGGTAGTTTGATTTAGTTATTTCATGTTTTCTTACGTTAGTTAGATCTACGTACTATGAATTGTGGACGTTAAATATTTTATGTGATCAAGCATCTCTACGTTCTAATAGCAATGTGACAACAAGTTTCGATGTCTGATATGAGTGGTACTATTGCTGCCAGTACAGCGGATTACGGTATCTATCACGAAAAGAGAAGTGAATGCGCCAAAGTCCTCCCAACTCCAGAATGAATACAAAAAATGAACTCCCCGACCTCGCCCCGACCTATCCAAAAACGCCTGGTGACGGTCTCACCCCATGCTTCATAGACAAGAACTCCCTCAATGCAATGCATATACAGCCCCTGCTCCACGTAACCGCAATCACTTGACATTCTTCCCTGGGTTGGGTTTCTTCCCTGTCTTCTTAACGGGACTAGCATCACCGTTCCTGCCCTTGCCCGACGAATCGCCCGAGTCCTCCCTATCCAGCCTCTTCCCAGACGCTCCAGAAAGACTCCCCCTCCCAGTATCAAGCGAATCATCCAGCGCCGATCCATCCTCCCAAACCACAACGTCCTTCAAAACCTCCTTAACCATGCGTACGCCATGTTCAACAACAACCGCGGGAATGCGCACATCCACGTTCTCCAAATACGCCTCAGCGTCAGCACTAAGCCCCATCCCATTCCCCCCATTGCTAGTATTCCCATTCGCATTTCCACTACCCCTCCCATTACCCCCACCCCCGTTCTGAGTACTCCCATTCCGACCCGCCCCATTCGAACCTGAATTGGAAAGATCAAACGCCGGATGCGCCCGACACTCGGCAGACGCAATCACCGCGTCCACAACCTCATCGAAGCGCTCGCATCGTCCAGCGCGGAGGAGTTCGAGCGAGAGCGTGCGGATTTTCTCGGTCCATCCCATGCGCTGCAGGTAGCAGAGGAGGTTTGTGTGGATGTCGTCGAGGGCGGAGGTGGAGGCGAGGTGGGCGAGGAGGTCGGTTTCGAGGGAGTCGGAGGGGGTTGTGGTGGTGGTTGTTGAGGTGGAAGGGTTTGGGTTTGGGGGGGCTGGAGAGGAGGAGGGCATTTTGTTGGTGAGTTTGGGTTTGGAAGGAGTATTGTGTACGGAGTACAAGTAGAGGGGTGGTGTAGTTGTGCTGGGTGGAGGTAAGGAGGGAGGAGTAGTGAGAATGAGGTTGGAGATTGCGGAGAGATCTGATCGATTTGTTGCCGGTGCGAGGGCCAGAATTGAGGTTGGTACTTTGCTAGGAGTTTTATGAACGCGAGGGCTATTGGGATTGTTATTATTGTTATTGCAATTCTATTGATTTGATTTGATTCCGTTAGTTGCAGTTGCAGTTGCAGTTGTGGCGGAATACGCCTTGTACGCAGTACACGAGATGACATAGTGGACGGCTATAATGATCACACCTATACCTCTTCAGACCTATTCATAGATCCGATTGTCATTCTGATATTGTTTAATCAATATTCAATCTCTCCGTGGAGTATATCATGTATGTACATCAGCCGATTCAGGGGAAAAGCCCACTGACAATGTATCCGCCACAGCAAAAGGTCCGACACTATTGAATTCTGACAGCAAGCTAGGACTCATTCTCCAGTGTGTTTGTATTGCTGATTGACTGATTGACTGTCAAGCAGCGCCGAACTAGCAGTTAATATTTCCTTTAGCCCCGAGATGTGCCCGAGTCTATACAGCTCCATATGTCGGAATAGGAATACGGAGTACGCATTACTCCGTGGGCCAGCAGATATGTATAACAAATACTTTCACTGGATGATCTCCTGAACGGAAAACAAACCTAATACGAACAAGTTGGCGAGGACAAATGGAATGGAATAGAATTGCTGATGTTTGGCAAAGAACTGGGGGAAGTGTAGGCAGGCCAGGACTCGGCGGCTATGCTGTTCTTTTTTTATTTAGATTTTTTCCTCTATAAAACATTACAACAGAATACCACGGTATTTGGTCTTTGAATATCTTCTCTTCTTTTTCTTTTCTCACTGCCTCTCAAGTCACGTGCAGCGATCTGAACTTCCCAACTGGGACAGTCGCAACCTCAACTTACCTCACCACTTCCCCTTCTCACACTCTCCCTCACTCTCCTTTCGCTCGCCAACCTCGTCCATTCGTTCTGGTGCTTTCTCTGCAGCGTCTGCGTCTGTCGTCATTCTCTCCTTTGGCTCATCGCTCCGTCCTGTTCTGCCAGCGCAGTATTAGATACATCATCTCGCGCCTCTCGCCAGTTCCCCGCCTTCTGCTCTCTCCTCCGCGTCCCTCGCAGACCAGCCTCGATTTCTTGAGATTCTTCAGGTTTCGCTATAAACTCCTTTTTGGAATTCCTTCCTGGCAACACTTCTCCCCGTACTCCGTGCTACCTTCGACTCTGGCAACGAACCATTACCCCTCCGTAGCTCCGTCCATGCGGCCGTGTCCTGACCTCCATTGCGAATCGACCTGAATACTGCGTCTCCGCCGTATACCTGGCTCTCTTTGTTTGTCCCGTCCACGACATCTTATTTTCGACCGAGTCGCTCTCCGGTCCCGGCCATAGCGCCAACTTTCTCGTTTCTTTTTCTGCGTCCGCTCCGACCACCTACCTACCTCCACGGACCGTCCTCCTGATAACTCAGTAGCAAATCGCTATGAATCCTGCCACGATGCCACTCCAAGCCACCGTCTATCACGACTCCGATGCGGATGATGAGTTCACTCATCCCGCAACAGACTCCGAAGTCGATCACTCAGAGTCCGAAGCGCTCTCCGAAGAACATACCCCGACGTCCTTTGCCAACAAACTCTCAGATGATGTTCGTGCGCCAGCTACAATCATTACAGAATGGAGTGCGGAGGAATGCGCCAGGTTCCTGGCTGCTCTGGGCCTTCGTCAATACTGCGATACGTTTTTAGGTGAGTTGGCCGCGTCGTCACTGTAGGCAGTGGGGATGTCGCTAATGTGTTATTTTGACTAGAAAATGAAATCGTCGGCGAGGCGCTTATTGCACTCAAACACGATGAATTAAAGGAAATGGGAATCGCCAGTGTGGGACATCGGTTGACGATACTGAAAAGTGTATATGAGACCAAGGTCAAGCAGAACGTTCCGCTCGATCCTGATCACTACATTCCTTTATGTACGTGGCTTACACCTTAACTGAGTGAGATCCCAGTACTGACATGAGGATCTAATAGCTGCCGACCAAAGCCTCAATGAAAATGCTACCCAAGAAGATATCGCCCGTCTAATTCAATCCATCCGGTTACGCGACGAGAAGATCGTTTCGGTAGAATCAGATTTGCGCCGCGTGGCCGAGGAATACCGTCGACTACGGGAAGATCTACTGCCAGTATTTAAAATGGCCAAGGACCGATCGCAACCCCTCCCGCCTGGCGGAATGGATAACCACCATGACAGCCAACCGCTGGCTTCGCCCGGATTCTCGTTCGAACGACCAGGAACGGGCATATCACGAACCTTCTCCAAGAGAGTTTACACAGGCGGCACGACACCGAAGAATAATTCCCCAACGCATATTCCACCCTCCATCCTCGAAGGACGAGCCTACGATAGTTCTGCCCTGGATCCATCCAGCGCAGCCCATTTGACGATGAACGGCCAACTATCTCCTGGTATCCCATCTCCGACCTCCCCCGGAGCCCATTACAGCACTCTTGGCCCGCGAGCATACAAACCCAATGGTCGTAGCGGCCACGATCACTCTGAAGATACATCAATCCCACCACCATCCCGGTCTGACCGATTGAATCCAACCCCAGTCTCCTCCCGCGACACTCCCTCGCGATCTGAATCGCGATCAGGCCACGACCCACCCAGCGTTGAAATATTCAAATCGTTCCGCGTTTCCATGGACGATCCTTGCCACAAGGTCTTACCAGCGGCCCTCAGAAAATATAACATCCAAGCCGATTGGAGACAATATGCACTTTATATCGTGTACGGTGATCAGGAACGCTGTCTAGGATTGGAAGAACGACCTCTTATCCTCTTCAAACAACTTGAAAAGGAAGGACGAAAACCGATGTTCATGCTGCGGAAACAGTTAAATCCTATCGACAACAGTGTCATCCCTGGAGGGTCAGCGCCTAATAGCGCTGGGTTCGAGGGCAAACAAGCCCAAATTAATCTTCCTGGTGGTGTTTTGTGAGCTATACTTTCTAACCCAAGATACCCTTCTCGCCTCTTTCCTTTTCACATCATTTTCTTTTCTCTTCGTTTCCTTTCTTACGGGTTATTTGGAATAGCCACTTCTAATGACCGAACATTATATATACGCGGTGTTGGGTGTTGTATTGGATCTATCTATTGGTTTTGGACAGGGACCCAAAAAAGAATCTAGCGGTGCATTATTGGTTTTAGCTTTTCTTCTTTCCCCTTTTTGTCGTTTCTCCGTTCTACTTTTCTCATTCTCTCTATTCCGTATATTTACTTGGGGGCCTGTTATTTGTTTTATTTTTTTTTTTACTTCGCCCATAATGGATGATGTGTATGGATTTTCTTTTCTTCATTTTTATGTACTGGCACATTCTTGTCTATACTAATCGCCTTCTGATCTTGATATAATGTGAAGTCTCAATTGTAGCTCGATCAGTGCTTAAGGGCAGATCGGGTGTTCTTATGATGTTTGGTCTTTGGCTTTCATTGTTCATAATAATAGTAGCAACCTCTCTGAACTAGCCTCTTAGTTGGTTCTGGACGATCAATCACTCGAAAATATTCTCTTCGATCCGTGGATAGTATTGTACAGGCACCGTTCGGGGCTTTGAAGAGTGATTGAGCGGACGCAACCAATATCCGTGATTCGTCTTCCAAACCAGCTCCTCGGCAGTTGAAATGACATTTTCAAAGCTAACTAGCTGGTCTCATGACACAGACCGGATCTTTGAGGATATTGTCGCTATCTTTTTTCATGGTCGTTGAAAGTGTAGTTGACATTTGCTAGTGTAGTCAAAGCAATCTTCGGAAAACGGCCTTCATTGACCGAATCATGTCTGGCCCAAGTGCGTATCCAAGCAAATGCGGTCGGTTTGGTGAGCTGCCCATCCAAGAAAACTGCACCTAGGAAGCGAGATGAGCACCGAATCAAGATATATAAGCTTACCCGGGTACTCGCATAATTGCGGATGTGATCATCTGCCGCTCGACCAAGACTTCATAGTTGTGTGAATCCTGTGAAGATACTCATGCAGTATTGCATATTACAGGAACGACTTTATAGATGCTTTCACCAATTGCGCTTCCGCTGACCACCGGGTGAGGTGTCTGAAAAGAATTCGGCTCAACCATTTGGCCAAAGAAAAATAGCTTGAGCAGAAGTGGCCATCATCTAGCGACGGCCACCCTGCATTTCGCGTAGTAATCTGGTCATCGACCATAGGGACGAAAATGACACGAGTTTGTGATGATATTGGGGAACGTTGTGTATCTGGGAGGGACAATGACAGGTCCTGTCGCAAGGTTCAATGTAGTGTGTTATACTGGTTTGGTGCATATCCCTGTGATGGGTTGCCAGTTCATACTCAGCGTAAACGGATGAATATCAAGCCTCAATGCCCGGTAAATTATCATTCTCCCACTTGGCGCTGTGGTGGGTTGTGTGTGTAGAAGCCTCGGACTAGTCAGGATGCTCTTATGTATGTGACTGTGACGGCTCTCGCTATATCTCGATCCGAGAAGGCAACAAGACTGCTGCTCCTGGTACAAACTAGCAAGAGTCGAGTGCCATATAGGGCTCGTCCTGAAATTGGGCTTCAAATGACTGTGCTTTACCTCCGATTGATATCTTCCTTCCCTCGCTGCACGGTTTAGGTTTCTCACGGAGAAGCATTTTGTGGCTGCCCCGTATAAATAGTAGATTATATGGGGATCGATCATCTTCTTTCATATACCACTGAGGTTGTCATAAGAGTATATACTCGATATCAACCCACTGTGTCAAGAGTAGGCCACAAAGAGATGCAGGATGTCGGAATGTAGCCGCCCCGTTGCTCAGAGTACCTGCCAGAATTTCAGCTCGTATCGTAGCTCATTTCAGGACTGGCATGTTCGATATCAAGTCAAATCTCGAATCTCGAATCTCTTTTCGATGTGCTTTAAACACTCCAGGTCTCAGGTAAAGAGATATTAATTGACAGAATCATGTTTGACTTCGACTCCTAGGGTTTTAGTATGCGACATGCGATTATATCACCAAATTGGTCCGTTTGTTGATAATATCTTCGAATATAAAACCATGAAATAGATCAAGTCCGGTGCCATCATGTTCTTGATTTATAGTTAGACCCGAGAGGGTCCATCTTCGCTGGATGCTCGCCATACTTCTGATAATCGTGAGACTTTCCACGCTTGGCTCGGGTGAGTACAACCCGAACCCATACCATATCTAGGCGGTGATCGATGTGAACACAGGGACAAAGGCTGTGCTGTATGCTGTACTTTCGATGAGTCTAATTGTGCCCGTACTTTGAGGCATTCTCGTCAAGAATAGGACCGTGCTAGGAATACTTGAGAGTCAACTATATTAGCAGAGACTGGAATCAGTGCTTCATCCTTATGAACTAGTGAATGAATACCAGAGCCATAGATCCGCAGCAGGCTAGGCTCTTGGATGGACTCCCATATGAAGCAAATATGCATATGTTGTGTTCTTTTGCATGATCAGGGCGCTCTTCACAGCTCACAGCTCACAGCTCGATTCTAATAGATCCGATCGTTGCATGAGCGCGGCACTTTCATTTTCCGCCGAGGTCATTTTATGACAACATGAGTGGTTGCTGAAATTGCACACTTGATAGTGTGTTATCAATAGACTGCCCTGCTTTGCTGTGTGCTCTTGTATAGATATAGGGGAATTCTTTGGTCGTATCCTTGGTCATTCTTGGTCTTCCACTTTGAGTCTCGGAAAATCTTCTAGTGTTGCGGATACATGTCTTTCCCGCGTAGATCTTGCCAAACCGGTTTGCGGATATGTAGAATATCCACCGGGAGTATTCTCGATTATATGTCGTTAGGCTCTATGGAAACTCGTTGATCGTGACAAGCCCAAAGATCGCTCGGGAGACTCAGTCATAGCCTGAACCTTCGGAGAGATTTGGAGGCGTGGTGCCACGAAATTTTACAGGGTGCTTGCGAGAGATCGGAGAGAGGAGGTTGTGGCCTTTGGCTTCCTCAGTAGCAGTCTTCCTCCGTTGCATTTCCTCGCGTAGCTGACGATCCAGATGTGCAAGCATACTATGCGCCGTCTCAACAAACTCGGGGAGTATGATGGCAGACTTGACGGCCACATCAATCCCAAGCCCATCTAGTGTTGCATTCCAGCCATCGTGCAGAGATGGCGAGAGTACTCCGAATGATCACCAGCAACATCAATGAAGTCGGAATTGGGGTCATCCAAATGACAGCCCACGTAGATGGATCAGAGCTGCTGGCAGTTTGAGAGTTGAAGCTGATTAACTCGTAGCTCTCGACGACTTCCAATTCTTTTGGAATCTCAACCGTGCTTTTCGGGATGTTGGCGAAGGTAGCAGAGAATTACGATGAGCTGATTTTCTGACATGAAGATGACAAAGAACGAGAAGTTGAACGAGTGGACAGGATTGTAACAGATACAGCCCTCTTTTTGTTGAAAACTGGCCGTATCAAGTTCGCACTCTCAAATTAGGATGCAACATTCAGGGAAATTTGTTACAGTGGTCATTGTAATAATGAGTATGCGCAGGGTGGATGTTGGTAGAGGAAGAAAAAAAAAGAGAGAGCTTCAGGCAGCTAAGCAGACAAAGCTAAACCCAGACCTTTATTGCTACCTTCCTTCACTATCACGCTTTGATTCCCAAGGCTTAAAAATAACATGCAAAATAGCTACTCAGAAATCCCCACCCCATCGATTTCAACCATCAAAGCATCCGAGGGCTGGGGTGTCGTATAGTCATCCGCTACATGAAACCTAGCATGCCCGACGCAAGAATATGGCGAATACATAGATATCCCTTGCACATATTTTCCAAGTCCTTCCGTAGTGGCTGGCTGCCTCTGCAATGCCAAACTTCCATGTTTCGCTGGTATCTCCATCACCGAACAGATGGTCCCTGGAGAAAGGCTGAATGAGGTCGTTGGGTACAGCTACCTGGAGTAGGGCAACCTCAGCCAATGGAGCTATATGCTTATAGCAGGTAGCGAAGTGGCTAGCAGTCTTCCACTATGGTGTGAAATATGTGCAACGTCTTTTGAAGTATCCTGGGTACATGAGCATGAAGCCAAAGTTAAGCCTCTACCATATGCCACAATGGTCAGCGACAAGCTTTGTGCATGCGTGCCAGAACAAAGTATGACCGTCGAATGATTTAGGAGCTTCTGTTATACTATCTGGACCGTCTTCACAATTTCCAGTCTCCGCAACGTTCTTCCTGCGCTCCCATTCCCAAGGGATATGATCAATGAGCTTCTCAAGCGCCTCGAATCGCATATCAATAGCTTTAGAAAGCTCATTTTCGCAACTAGCAGTACCACGGATATCATAAATTCCCGGGGCCAAGGTGGCTACTCGAAGTGTATTGTTGGTCCCAGGCCTTTCCATAAGCCTTCCCCAGTCTTCGCTCATGGATAGCCGCTAGGGACTAGATCGCTGTATTTGATCCAGAAATCCGCATAACCCGTGTCATCATAAGGAATAGCAGGGTCTGAAGTCATGTAACGGGATCATATATCACAGGCGACATGGTGGTTAAAGCCGATGAGTTTGTATGCTTCAATACTATTTAGGTACTCTAGGTCTTTGATTTAGGCTTGCAGGACGGTAGCGAATGTGCTAGGAAGTTTGGAGAAGACTAGGAGGGACTCATTGAACCTGGTAGTGTTGCAGCAGATGTTTTCCTTCTCCTATTCACACGGGGTATCATCAAACGTCAAACCCATAGTCTCTAGAACCCAAAGCTCATACTGACCAGTCGCATAGATATCCTCAAACTCCGGATCCAAAATTTTCGCCGCCATATCATCCATCATTGATCCCAAGCGCTTCCATCATCAACCAATCATCCACAATCGACTCCACATGAGGAATCTCTGTACTCGACATGAGCGCGGGCAAAGGCCATAAAGTCGTTTTCCAGATCATCCCTGTCGCGGTAGCGTGTCCAGAATTGAGCGGCTGTCTCACGATTGCAACCGACGTGTTCGTATGTTTCCGGGCTGTATAGGTATTTGGAGACTTCATTGTCATCCCGTGGCAGAGGCCGGGGGAATGCTGCGAAACTGCTGGCGTTGATGAATCCGGGTGATGAGGGTGAGAGGGAGCCTGGTGGGCTATAGATGGCTTTAGCGGTGATTATCCTTCTCTCGTTCACCACTGGTGAAATTAGGCAGGCATTCTAGAAGAAGACTGCGGCCTGGTCGGGGGTAACCTTTTCTCCTAGGGTTTCACCATGAGAGCTGACGTGGAGTGAAGGTATGATGGATGAAATGAATGTCCGAGATATGACAGGATAGCCCGTTGCAAAGAAAGTAGACGAGGGTTCTGGGCTGCTGAGTGAAAGATATAACTCAACCCGTGATGGAGAGATACCTCAGGCGAATTTATTTATAGCGAGGGATTCTTAGGACTAACTATACAGCTCACTCAATCTCCATCTCTGAACTCTTCCCCCTCTTCGCCTGCACATAAGCCACAAAATCATCAATAGCCCCCGGCCATGCCCCATCAGCACTCCACCACGAAAACTCCTCGTCCTCCTTCGTCTTGCGCATCAACACCTCCAATTGCTCCCACAGATCCTTGTTAATCGGCCGCTTCCCACGTCCCTCCAGAAACTCGATCCACCAGTCCAGCCAAGGAGTCGTTTTCGTGTTCCATGTCGTGCCACCGTTGTCGGGAGTGAAGAATAGACGCCACTGCTCGGAGGCAATTTCGAACTGTAGGTTGCGCTGGCCTTGGAGACGGCAGAGGGGGAAGGTGTAGCGGTATACGCGACGGAAGAGATTAGGGTCTGTTGGGATACGGTTGCGGATTTCTTGGGCGTAACTAATCATCTTTTTGACGTTGTCGCAGCTGATTTCCCATAAGTCGTTGCAACAGGAAGCGCACAAAGAAAACCTTACCCTGTAGACCTCCATCCAGTCACAAAGCCCTCACGAGTAAACTCACCCATAGATGGGGATTTGAGCAATTCTGCGATTCCAAGACAGGCGACCTCATCCAGTTGCACCTCAATATCTCCGAAGAATTTCATAGCTCCTTCGATGCCGATACCGTCGGGGTTCTCTTGAGGATCATCTACTATTGTCAGTTTATTCTAGGACTGAACCTTTTGAGGATCTTACCTCGATAGCTGTCAAAGATCTTGCTGATGGCGGCGCTAGCACCGCTACTTCCTGCTTGGGGATCGTCAAGGTAGCTGAATATCCTCATAGTTAGTGACCATAAGACGAACAGAACCAGACTGCTCTGGTACGGTGTGAGCTGATTAATTGCCTGCTCGTGACTCTGAGACATTCAAGGTGCAACACGCGACGCGCCATTCTGTCCAGCTGCCATGTCGTCTAGCAGTCTCAAAATTCATAGTATAGAAACCCATGTTTCAAGAGAATCAATACGATATCAAGATCAGTTCGTACTCATACCCCATAGTCACCTGCCAAACGCCAACTGAACCAAACTGAACTCGATAGACGGTTGGGAGCTAATGTCACCTCAACAGCACGCCGACCAGAGCAGCCCAATGAAAACAGTACTCACGCATCAATGGCCTCCTGAACATTCCACCTAGACGCTTTAAGGAACTATACCCAAACCCGTCAGCCAAATGCACGTGACCCAACCTCATACCAAAACAACCACAAGCAGCCACCCAGCAAGAGGATGTAAATACCTTTGCAGCAACAAGATCTTTCGCTTGCGTAAACGCCACGAACTGGGCAATCAGTTGCTTCTGGACTCCCGAGTAAGGCGGCATGGTGGGGGGTGTATGTTGATGGTGGTGCCAGCGCCAGGCCAGGAAACCGACGAGGAGTAAGGGGAGGAGGAGTAGTATATTGGAAGTTAGAAATGCGTATCTGGATAGAGTGTTTATAGAGATAATGAAGAGAAACGGTGGTGGTAGTTGAACCAAAGTGGTTGACGGAGTTGAAATGATCGCTTTGCGGCGATTTGAGGCGGCGGGCACGTGCCCCGCAGGTATCTACTTTAGCTAGAGTACAAACAAGATAACTACACATCATATACCCTACTATCCTGTATGCAATTGAAATGCTTAAACGCTTGTGTTGGTTGCTATAGCTTTACAGTACCAAACTATTCTGTCAAGATCATGCACAACCATGGTATATTGAAGACTTTTCTAAGACGAATACGACGCCGGAACTCCGTTTTGACCACATCGAATATCGAGCACCCATAACGATCCGCATATGCAAAGGGACTTCTAAGTCGTGAAGAGGGTATCTTCCTGCTATGAGTTAGTTGCCATTCGCCAGATTCCGGAGCTGGTAAAGCGCTTACCTCTCTCAAATATTCTCCAATATCCGCCTGTCTAAACACTGTAATGGCCGTTGGGTCCAGTTTCCGAGTCTCAGCAGTTGATCTCGCCGTGACGCCAAAGCCCTGTGTCTGTCAACTCTGTGCTAAAAATATAATTTAGTGGAATACATACCAAAGGCGTATCATCCATGTTAAACACCACAACCCCCTGATGCTCCGGACAATCCTCACTCCACCGTCCAATATGCGCCTTAACAACATTCCCCCCATACATAAACGGCATCTCTCCGTTCTGCTTAATCCACACCTTATACCTCGCATGCGGCGCAATCACCTCCAGCGCGGTTACATGGATCCTGAATTTCCCGGTCTTGGTGAACTTGCCGACGCAGATGCCCAATGAGAGCAGATTGGCGCGCGGGATCGAAGTCGCCAGGTTCGCTAGCGACAGGCGCATGTAGTAGACTCTGCTGCCGTGAAGACGGAAGACATAGCGGTCGTTGGAGGAGGGATCATCGACGGAGGTAACCAGGGCGTTGAGAGAGCGGCCGGTGTAGTTGGCGAGTTTGGAGAAGAGGGTTTTAGTTTCATCTTCTGTGAGTTGGCGCATTTTTAAAATTATCTCTAATATTGAATTAGAGAACTATGGTGGAGGGAGAAAGTAGCAAAAGAGAGAATACTAGCAGACAAAAAAATCTAGACGCGGAAATAGTCGGTCTTTAGCGTTGGGTCTTGGCACCGCCGGCAGAAAAAAAAAAAAGTTCGGACCTACAGCAACCAACCTCAACCCAACAACAGAGGCACGGTACAATATAAAATAAAATGGCCATCGCGCAGAGTTCGAAAAGACGACGATTAAGTCCTCCCGACAGTGAAATCGTGAAACCTTCTCGTTCCTACGCCAACGAAGAATGGGATGCCGAGCAAGACTACGAGCTCCGCCCGCGCAAATTGGGAAAGAAAGAAAAGGAGCAGACCAGGTTGCCAATTAAGACAGATGAAGGTCTGCAGAGAGTAGAGGAACCAGTGCAGGAGCCTGAGGATTCCGATAGTTTTCTTGGGACCGACGATGACGAGGGTGAGGATGGAGAAGGTCAATGGGACGGCATGAGCGAGGACGAAGAGGAGGAGAAAGAGGAGGTTCCAAAGATACCGTTGAAGGTGCAGATTATACAAGCTAAAGAGGAGCTTGCGAAGCTCGCGACTCTGATCAACGAAGACCCCGACGAACACATTGGCTCATTCAAAGTCATGGCCGAAATGGTGGAGAAGGGATCGCACGTTACAATCAAGAAGCTCGCGCTCGCGGCGCAGGTCGCGGTCTTCAAAGACGTGATTCCTGGCTACAGAATTCGCGCGCTTCTTGAAGATGACAACTCCACCAAGCTGTCGAAGGAAGTGCGCAAAATTCGAAAATTCGAGCAGACCCTTCTCAACGCATACAAGCATTTCGTGCAGACGCTGCAGGAACTTACGAAGCCAACGAAGAAAGACCAGGAAGCGGTGGATCCTACCTTGAAGAGTGTTGCGCTTAATTGCACATGCAATTTGTTACTCGCAGTGCCGCACTTCAACTACCGTAACGAGTTGTTGAAGATCATTGTCAACCGTCTCGCGAAGAGACAGATTGACGCGGATTTCGACAAGTGCCGCGAGACTATGGAGGATGTTTTCCACAAGGACGAAGACGGTGTTGTCTCTCTTGAGGCTGTCCGTCTTCTGTCGAAGATGATGAGAGCCAAGGAATACCGCATTCACGATACCGTCCTAGACACCTTCCTCCACCTGCGTCTCCTCTCCGAATTTTCCTCCAAGGCCTCCAGAGACAGAGTTGACAGACCCGAAGACGACGCCCCGCAAGGGAAGAAGAAACACAAGAAGGAATTCCGCACAAAGCGCGAACGCAAGGTTGAAAAAGAACGCAAGGCTGTGGAGAAAGACATGAAGGAAGCCGACGCACTTGTCTCGCACGAAGCCCGCGAAAAGAACCAAGCAGAGACCCTCAAACTAGTCTTTGGTAACTACTTCCGCATCCTCAAACTCCGCATCCCCTCCCTCATGGGCCCTGTCCTTGAAGGTCTCGCCAAATACGCCCACCTGATCAACCAAGACTTCTTTGGCGACCTCCTCGAAGCCCTAAAGGACCTAATCGGCCACGCTGATCGCTCCGAAGACGAGGACCTCGAAAACGAACAAGAACAAGAGAATCCAGAAGAAACCCCCTCAAAAACCCGCGACTCCTACCGCGAAGCCCTCCTCTGTATTGTAACGGCCTTCGCCCTCCTTTCCGGCCAAGACGCCAGTAAAGCCGCCGCAACCCTGCACCTCGACCTAAGCTTCTTCATCAAACACCTCTACCGCTCCCTCTACACCTACTCCACAAACCCTGACATCGAATACAATCCCACCAAATCCCTGCGTCTCCCCGACCCCGACTCCCGCGAAGCAACCAACCAAAACGACTCCCACCGCCGCTCGAAAAATAAAGTCAACTTCCAAACCCCCACTGTCCTCCTCCTCCGCTGTCTCCAATCAACCCTTATCTCCCGCGCCCACGGCAATCCCCCGCCAAACCGCCTGGCTGGTTTCACGAAGAGACTCATGACGACTTCGCTGCAGGTCCCTGAGAAATCGGCCATCGCGACACTCGCGCTGCTGAGTCAGGTGGCTAGGCATAACGCGCGGAGGGTGTCGGCGCTGTGGCATAGTGAGGAAAGGAAGGGAGATGGGGTGTTTAATGCGTTTGCGACGGATATTGAGGCAACGAATGTTTTTGCGGGGAATATTTGGGAGGGGGAGTTGTTGAGGCTACATTATTGCCCGCAGGTTAGGGAGGCGGTTGTGGAGATTGAAAAGATGGTTATGCAGAAGTAGTGTATATGTTTACTTTGAATTCATGTTAATATTGCCTATTATGTTGTGTTTTATTTCGTTATTCGTAAACATGGCTCGTTTCCCAACATCACATTTTCCAGTTGAATACCCCATCCCATATCATGTCAGCCCAGAGACAACCTAACCCTCGGCAGAACCATGCCTAGAACCAATCGGACCAGTTCCCCTCCCCGTCCGTGATACAACTGAAGACGAACTAACTCTCTGAGATCCTAAAGGCCTACCGTGTCCATGCCCACGGCCTTGACCATGGCCATGATCATTGCCGTGAAAACGGCCTCGACCACTCCCACCAAACCGCGGCGGCTCAGGCAAATAACTCCCCGAAGCTGAAATATACCTCGCAATAGGCTGATAGTGTGGTAATCCCTGATACCCCATATCCGAATCCATCCTCACAGACAGTGCAGACGGCGACCTACGCGTAACCAAGCCGCCTGGACTAAACAACGAAGCCGACGGCGCCGCGGATACCTTTGATCTGAAGCCCTGGTGAGATCGTGAGCCTCGCAAGCTGCGCTGCGGAATTATGGCCGTCGATGTCGAGGACGGAAGCTGGTTCGCGCGGTAGTTCTGATTGAGTTGTTGGAGTCTGGCCTGTTGATGGTGGAGACGTTGTTCCCGTTCGCGCATGATTTGTTGTTGGCGCGGGTTGCGGAGGGCTGGGTGGATGGCGCTGGGGCTCATATTTTGGTCGTTGGTCGGTGGTTGTAGGTGTGATGCACGTTGGTGTTGGGGCTGAGGTTGGGGCTGAGGTTGGGGTTGGGGTTGGGCTAGGTTTGCTGGGACTTTGGGGACTGGTGGTGTTAAGGGTTGTGCGATGGTGGAATCAGAAGTAGAAACAGTTTTCTTGAGATTTTCGGATGAAGCTTTCTTGCTGGGCTTGTCTTTGTCCTTGCCCTTGTCCTTATCCTTGTCCTTGTCCTTGTCATTGTTTTTGTCATTGTTTTTGTCCTTGTTTCGACGTGGCGTACGCAGGAATCTGCTGGACGAAAATGACGACAAGGACTGGTTATCACCTGTATCGCGCCGTCTGCGAAAACCAAACATGCTCTTTTTATGAGGAGTTTTCGTTCCCTCTTCACTTGGAGCGGTGCTGTTTGTCTTCTGTTTCTGTAATGGTTGTAAGGTTGACTGGCTGTTTTCAGAGACGGCGTCGAGAGAGAGCGAGCGATCTAGGGTAGGTCTGGGCTCGGGGCTACCGGAGGATTCTCGAGCTGGATTTTTGCGACCTGATGAGCCACTGCGTTGTGGATTGGCAGTTTCGTTCTTCTGAACGGGCGTAGTGGGCAAAGGTGTGCCCGGTATCACTTGCACCATTCCATCCTTTTCAGTTAGACTGTTGGTTTCATTCCCATGCTCTCCTCCAGACACATCTTGCTCCTTCGGACGCAGTTGCCTCGCTCCTGTCATTACTGGTATACCCATCACCCTCGAGGAATCGGGTAGAGCACCGAGCCCCATCTCCCCCCTCAACCTTCCCACCTCCTCTCTCAAAACACCAATCAACCTCTTCTCAACCCCCTTAACCTCCCCTCTCAACACGTCAACCCTTTCACCAAGCTCAGTTACCTCTCTCTGTACCCCCAGAACTCTCTCCCCTAACCCCACAGACCTCGCATTCATAAGTCTAGCTGTATCAGATAGAACCTCGACATTCCGCAAAATCTGGTCCATCGTCCAGTTATTCGAAGACTCGAAGGTTTTGGTCAGTCGACCTACCACGCTGTTGAGGTGGTGATGGAGGGCTTGGACGTGGGAGTGGAGTTGTTGGTCGAGGGTTATGGTGTTGTTGTAGGTTGGGTCTGGTGGCGAGGGGGCGGGGCCGCCGTGGGTTGTTGTGTTTGAGATGGTCTTTCGGGTGTCTTGAGCTTCGGAGATAGGTTGGTAGACAAATGGCGATGAAATAGGGCTCGACATTTCGACTTGAGACGCATTGTCTTGGACCCTCGGAAACGGCTCGTGCGTGGATTCAGCCCTTTCGGCCCTCAAGCTTTGAGCACTAGCCTGAGTCTTGACAACCTCAGCCTGTCCGCTATTCAGATACTGTCCCTTACGAGCAGTAGGCGCTTGAGATGCCTTAATTATCATAGCATCGATTTGCTCGTTGGCGTCATCCTCCATAGCGTTGCCCAGTTTTGTCCTCTTTTTCGCGTTTATAGCGTTTCGGTTATTCTCGAGACTTTCGCCATCTGGCATCGATAGATGTGCAGCTAAATCAAGAGCGTCACCAGACAGTATCTGAGAAGCTGGCACAGACTGTGGGGAAACACCTAAATCCTCCCCATCCCCAAAGCTATTCTGCAGCGTCGTGGTGCCACTATAGAGCCCATCGTCTCCAGACAACCCAGCACCCTCCTGCTCCTTTTTCATCTCCCCAATATCCCTAAGACTAAATTTTGTGCGTAAAGTTGCAACACGAGACTGTTTCACTTCGTTCTCGACGCGTTTATCTTTCTCTCTGGGACTGTCTGCCTCCGTGGTTGTACTGGCGAATGATGAGGAATAGACCTGGTCTTGGGTTTGAGCTTGGTGACTGGCCTGGATCTGGTCTAGTTTTGCGTCGTGGGAGGAACTGAAGGATGATTCGCGTGAAGTGATGGAACTAGGGTAGTCTAGGATGGGGGGTCTGTGGGTGGACACTAGAGAAATGGAGTCCTCAGTCAGCCCCTTTTCTCATGATGTCTGAGAGAGATATCGTCGGTAGAATGACAGGAGGCACGTACCCTTCTCAAAATCCGTTGACTTCGGCTGCTGCAGTCGTTCTTGCTGTTGTTTTTTCTTCTCGCGAGCCTTCATGATAGCCCACGCGTTGCCGCTGCGAGGTGACATGTTGGCACTAAGGGCTGGTAGCAAACGAGGTACAAAACCCGGCTATTTGAGTTGAGATAAAAGAGTATCTCGAACGCGGAGGAGAGATGGAATGGTAAGAAAGTATCTCGTCTTTGGGTGGTTGTTGTGTTTACACACCTTTCGTGCGTCAGTGAATGGAAGGGCTATCTAGGGTTGGTAAAAATGCCTCAAAATATACACTGCAATACTCTTAACTTTTACGAAACAAGTGAAGGTCATCCAGTAAATTCATTATCACATATCATCATCTGAAACCATCATTATCATCAATCATGACAACCTCAAACATACAGCAATAGCAAGCAACACGGCAAGATAAGAAGACATCAAACAACGCAATCTGGATGGAGAGGAGAAATCGAAAATAAACAATAGAACAAGTAAAGGGGAATCGAGTGGTATCGAAATGAAATGAGCGGTAGTTATTTTTTTTTCTTTTTATTGTTTTCCGGCAAATCAAGCTTTTCGGGTATAAGCACGCCAGCTAAGGCCTAAGCCTATGGCTAGCAAAGGGGCACCAAGAACGGTCATCAAGAGCAGTTTCCTGAATCACGTCAGTTGCGAATTAAAACAAAAACGCAAACGAAACGACGAAACAAAAAAGCGACGAGACAGAAAAAAAAATCTACTGCTCGGCCTTTCCGCTGCCGCGGAAAGGCGAGAATAGAGCACCAAACAGGTTGGAAAACACGGATCGGACAATGGATTTCAACCAGCTGTCGCCATGGTTCAAGGAAACTGCTCTAGCAGTAGTCACTGACCGATTTGTATTCCCAGTAGAAACATCACCAGCCTTGTTGGCTGCTTCGGTGGTTGTCGACTCGGTTGTCGACTCGGCGGGTGCCTCGACTTCGGGCTTCGACGACGGTTCCGGTTCTGCGGCACGAGCACTTGGCTCGGGCTCTTGTGCTGCGAGAGCATCCTGCTTAGTTTCTGCGGGCTTGGGCTCGCTGTCATTGATCTCAGGAGCAACGGCTTCGGACTCCTTGTGCGCCACGGCCACACCAGCAGCAATAGCAGCACCGGCGGTGGCTGCAGCGGCAGCACCAATACCAAGAGTCTCGGGGGTCAGGATGCTGCTGTCCTTGTTAGCGTCCTCTTCAGCCGGAGTACTCTCCTGAGCAGGTTCCGAGGAACCGGCCTCCTGGGCTTCAGGGACGGTTTCGCGCTGCTCGACAGGATGACCATTGGGCTCCTGCAGAGTGTCCTTCGAGGCGGTCTCTGGTGTCGCCTCAACCACTGGCTCTGGTTCTGAAACGGTCTCTTCGGTATTCACAGCCTCGACAGCAGGGGCCTCAGCTGGTGCGGACTGCGCAACTGGTTCTTCGGGGGCTGGTGCGTCAACATCAGGTTCCGCAGTCTCAGTCGCAGGCTCAGCAACAGGCTCTTCCTTGACGGGCTCTTCGATGACCTGCTCCACAACCGGCTCAGCAACAAGTTCCTCCTTGGCGGGCTCTTCGACGATCTTCTCCTCTGCAACCGGGTCCTCAGTTGCCGGCTCTGCAAGCGCACGTTCCCCAGACTCATCCTTGTGCTCTGGTTCCCCGGCGGGTTTCTCCTCAGCGACCGGCTTCTCCTGTTCGGTAGACGGCTCCACGGGGACCTCGACAGGGACCTCGACAGGGACCTCGACAGGCTCTTCTGGCTCCTGCTTCTCAGCAACAGGCTCAGGGACGGCCTCTTCGACGGTCTCAGCGGCGGGGGTAGGGGCTTCCTCCTTAAGAGCTTCCTCGGTAGTAGTCTCCGCAGCGGGTTCCTCGGCGACAGGAGCTTCAGTGGTCGTCTTGGCAGCGGGCATTTCAACGACTGGTTCCTCAGCAGCAGGTTCCTTTGCAACAGGCTCCTCGACGGCAGGCTCCTTAACAGATCCTTCAACAGGTGCGGACTCCTCAGTGGTGGGCTCTTCAGTCGAAATCTCCTCAGCATCTTGGACGGTCTCGGGCTCCTTGGTAGACTCCTCCACTGTCTTCTCAACAGCTTGCAGGGCGGCCTCAGGCTCTTCCTTCACGGCGTCAACGGCAGGGGTCTCTTCCGCAGCAACAGTTTCGACGGCTTGGGCTTCCGTTGCGGGCTCCTCCGCAGTCGATTTGAGGGTCTCCTCGACAGTCACCTCGGGAGCAGGGGTCTCTGCAGCTTCAGCGACAGGCTCTTCCTTCACTGCCTCAACAGCAGGCTCAATGGCCGGCTCCTGTTTTTCTTTCACAAGGGCTTCGGTGGCGGGCTCATCAGCAGTCTCCTGCTCCTCAGCGGGGGCCTCAGTAGTAACCTCAGCAACAGGCTCAGCAACAGACTCAGCGACGGGCTCAGCGACGGGCTCAGCGACGGGCTCAGCGACAGGCTCAGCGACAGGCTCAGCGACAGGCTCGGCGACAGGCTCAGCGACAGGCTCGGCGACAGGCTCAGCGGCGGGCTCAGCGGCGGGCTCAGCGACAGGCTCAGCGACAGGCTCGGCGACAGGCTCGGCGACAGACTCAGCGGCGGGCTCAGCGACGGGCTCAGCGACGGGCTCAGCGACAGGCTCAGCAACAGACTCAGCGACAGGCTCAGCAGTCTCCTGCTTCTCCTCGACAGGAGCTTCAGCAACAGTTTCCTCCACTGCCTCAGCAATAGGCTCGTCGTGCTTCTCCTCAACAGGAACTTCGGCTGCAGGGTTTTCAGAAATAGGCTCCTCCTTAACTGGTTCAGCAGGTTCTTCGGTGGCAGGCCGCTCCTCAATGGTGGCCTGGGCAAGCTCTTCAGCGGCCGGTGTCTCTACAATGGTTTCAGTCGATTCTTCCTTAGTGGACTGGGCCTCAACAGGCTCCTCCACAACAGGCTTTTCCTCAGGAGCAGGAGTGGTTTCCTCCTGAATTTCCTCCTTGGCCTCTTCAACGACAGGTGCAGTCTCAGCAGGGGCCTCTACGTCAGTAGCGGGTTTTTCGGCAGCGGACTCCTTAACCTCGACGGTGGGTTCTTCGCTTGGGGTCTCTATGACAGGAGTTTCCTTCACGGAATCCTCAGTAGCAGGCACTTCCGAAGGCTCTTCCTTGGTCTCTGTGGATGATTCTTCGACGTTTTCCACCTTGACCTCGTCAGTCTCCTTCACGGGCTCCTCGGCATCAGTGACAGCCGACTCCTGAGCAGTCTCAGGCTCAGTGGCAGCCTCTATCGCTACTGCGACAGCAGGGGTTTCTGCAGCGGGCTCTGCGGGTTCGTTGACGGTTTCCACCTTGACCTCGTCAGCCTCCTTCGCGGGCTCTTGAGTAGTCTCAGGCTCTTGAGTAGTCTCAGGCTCAGCATCAGCCTCCATAGCCTCAGCGACAGCCGGTGTCTCTGCTGGTTCCGCGGCAAGGGTCTCTGTAACGGGTTCCGCAGGTTCCTCAACTGCGGGGGTCTCTTCGGTGGTAGGAGCTTCGACAGGAGCAGCCGACTCAACGCGCTCCTTTGCCGGTTCCTCAGTCACCAGCTCTGCAGTGGGATCCTCTGTAGCAGGCTTCTCTTCCTCAGCAACAGCCTTCTCAGCCAACTCTTCAGCAGCCGGGGCTTTGGCCGTGCCATTGGTAGCAGGCTCAGCAACGTGTTCCTCAGCAGCGGAAGCTTCCGTCGTCCCGTTGGTAGTAGGCTCCTGGACCGGTTCAGCAGCGGGTTCCTCGACGGGTTCCTCAGCAGCCGGTGCTTCCGTTCCATTGGTAGTAGGCTTGACAGTTTCCGTGGCAGGCTCTTCCGAAGCGGCGTCTTCCGCCTGAACACCGTTTGTACCGTTTGTCGTTGGCACCTCTTCAGCCGGAACCTCCGGAACGTCAGAAGTTTCCTCAGAATGTCCATTCTCCACTGGTTTCGTCTCTTCTACTGGTTCTGTTTCTGTGCCGTTGGTACCGTTAGTACCGTTGGAGCCGTTTGTTTGGGTCTCGGGTTCGGAAATAGATTTTTCACTGCTTGTCACAGACTCTTCTCCAGCAGCCATGTCCCCGACATTCAGCACGTTTACAATGCCATTATCACCGGATACTACAATAGAGATGAACCAGTTAGTTTCCCGCTTTTGTCTAAAGATTTTTCTTCATCTCTGGAAAAGTCTTACCCTGCTTCGCACTCTCATCATGAAACCAAACAGCATCGTCCCCCTCCCCCTCACAGAACCGATACTGATACTGGCCTGGAGACAGCTTCATCTTGCGCGAGTAAATCCAGTCCTCGCTTTGTGGGGGGCGCTTGACGGTCAACTTGACGGGCTGCCATTGCGGGTTGGTAAAGGTACCAGAGAGGAAAAGCGGGATGGAATCGGAAGAGCGATGGAGGGCAATGGTGACGTTTTCCTTTTTAGCGGCCATGATGGATGATTGAGTCGAGATTGAGTTGTGAGTTATTCGTAACGTCGTAAATCTCTATCAAGTTGGGTTTCGGGTTTCGGGGATGGGTGAAAAAAAAATTAAAACAAAACAGCAGATATGGACAAAGATGAGTACTGTACAAAATAGGAGAGATAAAATAGTAGGTCCTCTCAGACAATTGAGAGGATGAATTGGGATGAAAGAAGAAGGTGTTAAAAGACAAAAGATGTGAAAGAGGTGAGGAGAAAATTGTTGGAGGGGTCCGGCGAAGATCTTCTCAGGTGACTTTGCAGCCCTCAGGCGTCAATCCCGTGACTCAGGCAGAAAATACACTAGTTGGCATAGCGATGGCACTATGCAAAATGGAATCCTGGCCTAAAATGCGGTGAAGCGAGAAACGGGCATACATACATGAGGCGAGGCGAAAGTCGGTCAATAAAGCCTGTCGAGTCACGGCTTGTGTGCAGCTGCATCCCATTCGCTGTTGTGCGGATTATGGAGACTGCTTTGCATATGTTTTAGATGAAGAATTTTTACTATGTACGAAGCATTCTAGCTATGCGAAGTCAATGAATGGATCCAAGATGCTATTCTCCGTTGCAATTTCACATGAAAGCTTTAAAACTTTTCCGGATGATCAACACATTACCCGATTGGGCAAGATTGGTGAGGCTGTCCACTCGCCCGGCTGAAGCACAAAGGCAATTCTGAGTCTAATGCTTGTAATTGGATCAAGATGAGGGGTGCAGCTTATTTGCCTTCCACAACATTTATCTTATCATAGCTGTGGCACAAAGAGCATGCAGAATCCCCGGATGTCGTGCTCTGTACGGAATATGGAGTGTCTAGATTCGTGAAACAATTGACTTGACTAGTCTGCGGTGTACAACAGGATCGCGATGTCGTGCCTGTTTAATAGTAACACAATTAAGCAGCATGAAGCATATCATAAGCCAATCAACAAGCAATTCATATACCGTCTCTCTCCCATTCGTTGCCGGTATTATCTCGCATCCTGCATGCGAGCTAAACATCAGTGTCAAACAACGCATCCCGGAAAGCTTTATTCGGTTTCTGTATCCATATTTATGCTCATTGGGAAGTATATACCGTGTCTTTTTTTTTTTTTTTTTTTCGAATCGGTTCTCTTTTTGGTGCCCACGGTTGATGGTTATATAGATGTATGTTCCGGAGCAAGTGCCATTAGCGTGCTGCATACCTGTACACCAATGGACAAGTACACCATGTGAGTGAGGATAGAAGATATAGGATGAAGGACAAAGAATACCATATGAGAAGCAACATTTAGGCATCACCCTATCCAGTCATATTGCGAGTGTATTTATTGGAGACAGATTGCTCTACATTCCATGACCTATGATTGATTGCTTATGTTGGGCTTGGTAGCCTAATGATGACCTATGATGATCCGACAAAGCTCCTATCTCAAACTATACTCTCCATATCTACACAAGCAAAGTGTCACTCTTGAAATCTACATATTTTAGTTACTCGGACCAGAACAAGAGATGGCCCTGAGCTGCGTGTCAACTTCTAGCATCCAGGTTCGGGTTATCCACAGTGGTATTGCTTGTACTAGTTTGTCCAATCAAATAGCCTCTGTAAATTTAGGTACTTGCTGCCTTCTGCAGCAGGCCTCTATCGAAGTAGCATCTGACTTGGTTGATTTGCAGTCCATACATGCCGGTACCCCCCTGGGATTTGGCAATCTCATAAACAAATGACTGGGGGAGTGACACTGGCTCCTTTCCATTCTTCAAATGCAAGTTGTTGATAGTCTCCACAATCAAAGTATGCACGTCGGTTCCCTCGTCGCTCAAAAGGGTCATCGAGATCACATCGTGCACGCAGCATTTGAACGGCTCATAAAGGTGGATATAGTACCCCCAGATTGCCTCTGCACCATGAATAATCGACTGGTCTGTGTTCACTAGGATCGCAGTGGAAGCATAGTACTTGGTCGGAGATGTAGTGGTCTTCGCGGTAGTGAAGTCAACAGCGTACTGGGCGTAGAAGGAGAGGACACGGTTGGTTGTGATGGTCCGAGGGGGGTGGGCAAGCTTCAAAGGTCCCTTCAGGACCACGGTATTTTTAACCATTGTTTGGTAACAATGGGTGAATGGAATAATAATAGTAGGTAGGAAGTGGTGACCATCAGGGATCAATTGAATATATAAAACGAAAGCACTGCGGAGCCGGGCAACAACCGAATAAACTCGAGGGCAGGGCCGTTGATCTGATTTGTAACAATACATATAAAAAGACTTCCGAGGAAGCACTGTTGATCAAGATGCGCTATAGGACTTTCCTAGGTAGTCTCGAGTCATTTTTCGGACCGCGGTTAGGTTTATCGCGAATGGATAATGGAGCCAAATGACTACGCCTAGCTGCATACCGGAAAAGTCACTAAACAATTTCTCGTCTTTTCATATATAAAAGCAAGTTTTTTAACATTCGTCTCCCATATTCTAGAGGAAAAACAACCATTGCGGGATCTCGTCAATCTCTCAAGCAGCTAACCCTGACAGGATAATTTTTAGGAACATTATTTTTTGGTCTTACTCAGCTTTGCACCAGTTTCATTGTTTTTATCTTACTATGTCTTCTGAACATACATCAATTCATCTGGCAAAGCGCCCTGAGACTACCATTGTTCCTGGTGAGACATTTGTTGCAAGAACACATCCGGCGCCTGAACCAAGTGAACTTCAAGATGGTGAGGTTATCCTGGAAAGCCTTTATCTAAGTCTAGATCCTGCGATGCGTGGCTGGCTAGACGACCGACCCTCATATATTCCTCCCGTTGCGATCGGTGAAGTCATGCGTGGCTTTGCTTTGGGACAGGTAATTGCCTCACGATCAGAGCGTTTCCCTGTTGGATCCTACGCCGTCAGTATGATTGGTTGGACCGAGAAGGCAATTGTCAGTGAGAATAGTCTGGAAGCCGTGTCCATGCCTGACTCTACCTATGGAGGCCGTTTGACCGATTTTCTAGGCGTGCTTGGATTAACGGGAATCACGGCATACTGGGGAATGGTTGAAGTCGGTCGTGTCCGCCCCGGAGATTTTGTGGTTGTCTCAGGTGCGGCTGGGGCGACTGGTTCTATTGCTGGACAGATTGCGAAGATTCATGGCGCCACCGTATACGGGATCACTGGTTCAGATGAGAAGTGTCGTTGGCTAGTGCAAGATCTCAATTTCGACGGAGCGCTGAACTACAAGAGCGAGAATTTCGAAGACGAATTCAAATCTTTGACTCAAGGAAAGATCGACCTCTTCTATGACAATGTCGGCGGGCAGGTCCTCGACTTGGCCCTTGTCTGCGCCAGGAAAAATGCTCGATTCGTCATGTGTGGTGGAGTCAGTCAATTCAATGAGCCTGATGTGCAGGGCCCAAAGAATTACCAAATGATATGGAGAATGCGAATTCGCATGGAAGGCTTTATCGTCTTTGACCATATGGACCGAGCTCTCGAAGTCAGACAGAAGCTCAGCCAGTGGCTAGCAGAGGGCCAACTGAAGCAGAGGGAGACCATTGTGCGTGGTGGTGTACGACAAGCGGAAACGGCCTTGACGAAATTGTATCAGGGGTTAAACATAGGTATGTTTTTTATCCCCTTTCTCTTTTGTTTATTTTATCCCTTCTCCGTCACCAAATATACGCTCAGTATCCCATTAAGATATTGGCACTAAATAGTTCTGTACAGGAAAACTTCTTGTTGAGGTTAAAGCTCCGTGAAGGGAGTTAGAAGACCATGACGAGGCTCTGTCGATACTCCAGTGTCCCTGTCTGAAAATGCTATCCAATAGAAGCGTTGAATATATATTCGCCTTAAGAGGCGTTGCATCATTTCAGGGTACGAAGATGGCCATAGTGTATTTAAGCAACGATAGCAGCTCAATGCTTTCATTTGTTCTCATACAGCAATAAGGATCAAATCTAGTATGGTGGTACAACTCTGTTTTTCAATATAGGACAGTCGACAGTACCCTGATTATGCAATTGGCAAATGTTATCAACAGCCGGGATGCTAATAACCTAACTTCTCATTTGTGTCATTAATATGACGCTGAATGCCACACAATTGGCACCAGTCTTAACCTCGTCAGGGAAACTATAGGCAGTATTCATTACTTTGGAATGGACCGCAGTTGTAAAGTATAGGCATCGCTAAACCAAAGGGTCAGTTTGATGAGACGAGATTGCAGGCTCGGCTTTGCATGCTTTATCTGGCTTTCTTGTTGGAGTGCAGTGATTTTAGCCTAATTAATCAGGACAGGCCCCTGAATCATTCATGATAACTCCAAAATCGCTCCAGTGCCGTTCCCTGATCACTCTGGGTATGCACTATCTTGCTCCAGATACGCTCCGGGCCGCTCAGTGAGTCAAAAGCAGCGTGAAGTTAGACCAAAAACAGGAAGGGAAGGCCCCCAGTTTTCCGCAGAAATCATGTACAGTAGTCGCGACATTACATAGTATGCGACATTGGCAAAGGATGCAACGCGATTTCTCGTATATTGCGTGTTTTCAAGGACGCTTAAACGACCTGATCCTGATGTAGTTATTCGAATATATCATTAAATTAACTACAATTGGTCTATCATTCAAAACTTCACCCACAATGCCCAATTCCGACAAACCCCCCTCGCAACAATAAACGCCACTGTCGCTGCCAGATACATCACGCCCCCGAAGATAATCAATCCCTGGTAACCGCCATGATCCCGTTCCTGAATCGCACCTGCAATCGGAATCCCAGTGAGTGTCCCGATACTTGAGATCGCAAACGTCGTGCCATTCCGTTTTCCCAGATCCTCTGTCTTGCATACTTGCGAGATGCACACCGGCGTCAAACTGATCGCTGCACCGCTCCAGAAGCCGAAGAGTACTGCATAGCAGATTATCGCTGCTGTGTTGTCGCCTGCTTTGAGCCAGAATGCTAGTGTTAGGATTGAGCATACTAGAGCTGTGGCGATCATGACGTTGAATCGGCCCAACTTGTCTGCTAGTAAGCCCGGGAGGAACCGGCCGGGTATAGCACCCAGGTTCAAAAATGCGATTAATGCATAAGCAAGCGTATCGTTCATGCCAATATGGACGGCATACGACGCGATGTAGGTGATGGGAATGAAGACGGCAAACTCCACCAGAAAGACGGCCACAGTTGTTGATGCATAATGCACATCTTTGAGGGCTTTCAAATCGACTGCGACACCGGCCTTTTTGTTCAAAGGAAATCGTGTCTTGATCAAGAAACAAGCTGCTAAGCACAGTATGGCGCTGACTAGCGCAATAATCCGGATGGCCCAGGGAAAGCCAATCTTAGGCGCGGCGAAGAGGATGATGATCGGGAACATCACACCCCCAAGGCCACCTGCAGTACAGGCGATGCCGGTTGCTAGTCCCCGACGGACGTTAAACCAGTGTCCGACAGAAGCTATGGCGGGTGTAAACAGCAAGCAGGCAGAGAGGCCTCCGAGTACACTAAACGAGAGGAAGATTTGGTAGTATTCTGCTGCAGTTAGACATGTGTATATTGCATGAGCCAGTGGATATGACGACGCACCCTTGCTAAAGCTGAGGCAGATCATGGCAGCAACCATGCCAATTGATCCGGGAATGATAACATAGTTCGGCCCGTAAGCATCGAAAACCGGGCCTACATATAAGTTGGTAACAGCATTCTAGAAACACCGGACCACGAGTCACTCACCCACTTGAGCTGATCCAATGTATAAAAAGAAGCTATACGCCCCGTAAATCCAGCCAATGCTAGACTCAGAGTAATCTTTCAGTTGATGGCCCGCAGTCCAGGCATGCAAGATCCCTAGGCTGTTCAAAAGTCCCATGGACGGGATCATGGCACACCACGACCCCAGCACGACCAGCCATGCTCGCAGGCCTCCTTCAGGATATTTATCGCTTTCATTGGCTGGCCCAGAAGCCTCCGTAGGAGTCGACTCGCATTCTTTCGTAGTCATTGTGCAAGATGTTGCTGAGTACGAGAACATTCAAAACCAAGCTCTCAAGAACATATATATATATAACCCATCCCGACTGACAGCACTATGGCGTGACCGTTGATTAGAAATACACTATCCTGATTATCAAGGATATTGCAGTTGGATTGCAGCTCTTTGCAGTTTCTAACCCTGAGTAGAAAAGATTTCCTTCCTAGGATGTCATTTCTTGGCGCCGGATCACCCATTTGTTGACGATACCGAGACCACTTCGGCGATAAGTTCGGCGAACCTCCCAATCGCCTGGATGCTGATATTGGATAGCCCACGCTGCTCTTAGCTGAACCATTGAGGTGAACTAGACCGCATTAGCAGTCATAATGCCACTTTAGATTTTTGCATGTCAGCTGACATCCAGCCAATCAGAATTCAGACAAACGGAAGCACAATAGGGCTGCTGATAAGGTTATCGATAAGCGATAAGATAGGCCGATACAGTTGATCCTTGAGTCTTGACTTGACTTCAATGTTCTCTCTTACTCTTCCTGGACACGTCTTAAAGGACATTCCAGTACGTAACCCAATTTGGCTACTTCGAAGATCACCACATTACGCCGAAGACATGCGTCTGGGTATAGGAAACCTAGCTGATTGCGGGTGCTCACCCCGACATTTGGTGACGATGGATCAAATTTTTACCATCCTGCCTATTTCGATTGGCGGTTCTAGAATATCGGAGTAGCGACTGAATATCTCGGTCTCTTCTTCTACCGATGGTGCCATTGTTGGCAACGTATAAGGCCAGCTCCACTCCGCGCCCTCCGGCGGCACAAACAACGACTTCGCCGAACTTCTTAACTTTAATACACGATTTCGCCGTTGTTCGGCGGCAGTTCATCATGGATTATTCACGTCCTTATCGCTCAAAGCGTCACCCCCCATGCGATCAATGCCGTCGCAAGAAATTACGGTGCGATAGGAACGCAGAAAATACTTGCCAGCGATGTCTACAGCGCAACACACCCTGTTCATTTAATCAGTCTCAACCAATCGAGCCATCTCCATCGACTGTACTTCCGGGTCCTGTTCCTCATCCAGCACCAGACCCAGCTCCGACCCCAGCTCCTGCTCCTGCATCAGTTCCGTCTGTTTTCAGTGACTCTCCTCTGTTTCCTATCGGAACTTCAATCGATCTCCCTTTCATCACTGAATCCACGCCCGGGCGATTTGGCCAGACTATACAGACCCTTGATCAACTTCCGGGTTTTTCAACTCAGGTAATCGGCGCGTCAGGTGAATCTGATCCTTGGCTACTGCGACATTGCCGGTTTGATGATCGTGGATTTCTCCGGTTTCATCAGGTTCATTTTCGCAATGCTGGAGGAGTTCCTCTTGACGAAAAGATCCCGGTGCATTTCTTGGTGACGGCAGAAGGGCTGTATGATGCTTCCAAGGAAGCCGCGGGGTTTTCCAAGAGGGCACTTGCTCGGGAGGAGCTAGAGGCATTGGTTCCGGGTGAGTGTGGACAACGGCTTGTGGCGCTGTATGCATTCACCCCGTGCACACAAACTGATCAGATACTAACATCAACCAAAGCTTCGTCAAGTTCGTCTATCCAACACTCCCGGTCATTTCAAGATCGCAGTTTGGAATCTCGCCCTTGCAACCTATCCCCGATCAGCAAGTTCTTCGCAACACTCCTGTCCATCTCTTAGCAGCCATCTACGCGTCCGCTCAACCATTTCTCAAATTCGACGAGTACCTGTGCTTCGTCAACGCCTACACTCAATCACCAACAGAAAAACTTTGGCGCATGGTCCTGGAGCTGCTGCTGGAAGAGATCCACACTCCTCATTTGTCTGTGATACAGGCTGGTCTTCTCTACCTGCACAAACCATTGAAAAACAACGAAAGCGCTCTCGCAGATAGTCCCTTTACCTGGTCGTTTGTCGGTCTGTTAGTCGGTCTGGCAACGTCATTGGGACTAACACTAGAGTGCCGTCCAATGGGATTACCGGCATGGGAGAAACGCGTGCGTCGTAGACTCTGGTGGGCGATATATAGCGAAGACAAATGGCGCTGTCTGCTTATGGGTAGACCGCCATATATCCGACACGATGAATGGGATGTGACGGACTTAGATGACCAGGATTTTATCTTGGACCGATTGTCTGACGACCAAGCACGGCAGGCCGGCCTTCCTTTTCAGCAATTTAGCCGGCTATCGTGTATAGCAGATGAAGTGCAGCATGCATTATTGTAAGTCACTAACTCATTCATACCAAGAGCCAAACCTAACACGGACAGCTCCCTGCGATCATCACAGCGCCTTTCATCAAACTTCTCCGAGTCCCTCCATGTTGCTCGCGCTCTTCTCCAGAAGCTCAAATGCTGGTATTCAGTTTTACCACCGCAACTCAAAACACACACAGGGCACTTCACCATCGACGACCCAACACCACAATCTACCTCCACCAGCCTACACTTTGCTTATATCCTCCTTGAAATATTCATATTTCGCGCTCTACTACGACCCCTGGTCCGTTCTGCAACGCCACCACCACTCTTCGAAGAGGGCTCAGAACCACTACCAACAATGGAAATGCATGACCCGGAGAGCTTCAACCTCATCGACGACTATATTTCGGAGATCGTCGAAGCGGAAGAAATCGAACCCGTGCCCGCTATTGAAATGACGCGCGAGATGGGTATCGGGACAGTCAAGGCCGCGGAAAACTGTGCGGCCATCATGCTGCGGTTGGTTATGCGGATGGTGTGTAGTGACTTGGCTGGGTTTTGGTATTCTTGTACGTTGTTCCCCATTATCTTCATCTACTTATGCGAATCGTGTACTAACGCAACCAGGGAGTCGAATCGGCTTCGCCACCGTCTCCAGCTTCATGCTTCTCTTAGTCGTGCAAGCTTCGTCTAGGGATCATGCAATCCGTGCAAGACGACTGGTATACATGTGGCGACAGGCATTACGCAGCCAGAGCAAAGGTTGTGACTTGATGGACCTGGCTCTCGTTCGGTTGGATGGGATACATTGGACGGGGATAAGCCGGAATTTCTATCTGCCTAGACATGTTGAGGAGGCGCTTAATACGGACTGACCTTGGGCGAGTGGTAATCAGTCGCAGAAGTGATTGGTTTAGTCGCAAAGTTATCCCATCCGATTGATCAGGATACCCACGGTAAGACATGTGAGCATGCATGCAAGTGTGCATATAGAAAAGAGGATGTGACCATGCGGGTCGGACACTTGCTGAATTTGGCATCCAATATGCCAGTTGGGCGTGCGCTGAGTCAGATACTTGTTCAAGTCCACAAGATCTTATCAAATACATGAATCAGTCTTTCGGCCGTGCAAATCCGTGTTCGCATCGGGAGTTGACCCTACGGCTGCACGGTCCACCATCTTATCACATTTGGTTACTTTCCTGGCTTTGCCACCAGTTACTGGATCATTATATACTTGTACTGCGCACGGATATCATGCATGAAATCGCGTCAGTCACATTAATTTCGGAAGCGAACTGTGGGATTTGCATCCGTTCTATGCAGATAAACGCCCATATATACTTTTTTAAATGTGATGAACCACACTGCTCTGATATTTATATAAAAATACGAATGTGAATTCACATCTACCTACGACTGCATCCTGCATGACATCACATCAATATCCCGGGTCTCGCACTTCATCATCCAACCATATCCACCAACAAAGCATCTTCAATCAACTCCTGTCCGGACCTTGCCGTCAAGGAAGCCACATCGGCACCTCCAACGGCTCCCTCTGATGAACACGCATTGTATCCGCATACCCCGACACATGTCCCTCAACCTTTGGCTTCCTCGTAAAAACCACCAACATATCCCTAACCGCAACCCTCTCCTCGTCGACCGCATAAACCGACGTAACACTATGCTTAAAATCATGATCCACAAACACCAATGTATCCAGGAAACCGCGATGCTGTACACGCGCCCTGATGAGCGTGGGGTTCGTTTGACTCAGCGCCACGCCCGTCGTTTCTTGGTTGTCGTGCATGAACGTCACGGCGCTATCGGGGCGCATGTTGTCGCTGCCCAGGAAGACAGTCATGGTGTGGTCGGAGCCGTCAGAGTGGACACCTTCGAGGGCGGGTTCGCCTTGGAGCCCGGCTCGTGCGTCTGTGTGCGTGCGTGCGTTGAATAGTGTAGTTATCCAGTTAGGAGCGGAGTAATCCAGGTGATCGCGCGGAGTGACGGGAATGTCTTGGAAGATTAGAGCCTTGAATAAGAGCAGCGCCTGCACAACTGTATTACCCTGCATTTCCGCTGGAGTCTCGTCGAATATCCTAGGGACCCCGGAGTCATGGCGACGGTAGTCCTCCTGCACGGTGAGTGTATAAGGCTGCTGCTCGAGGCGCTGGATGCTGCGCGAGGCAAAATCGATGCTATAACGCCCATGGGTGACGGTGCGGTAGTCAAGCGTTGGGTCGGGGCCTGTTAGATCGCTTACAAGCTGGACGTAGTCAAAATCCTCGTTTGTGGCCCCAAGGCCTTTGAGGATGGGAATCATGTCTTCTCCCCGGACGAAGATGAAGCGGTTTTTGAGATATGTTTGGCGCAGGGCCATTATGCTGGCTATGGCTGAGTAGAAGTGGGCATTGTAGCGTTGGTCGTGGATATTTAGGGTGTGGGGTTTTCGTTGGCAGGGGGTTCTGGGGCCATTGGCTGTTGTCGTGGTGGTCATGGTTGAATAGAATCGAGCTGATGGTTGGGGAGGAGGTTCTCTTTTGTATTTTTATAGCACCGATGTCGAAATCCTTGCAATGATGATCGTAGATCAGCTCCAACTGATCTTCTAACGATGAATCAAGACAGTCAATTAGATTGGGCAGTCTTCCCTGAATGTGTGACGGGCAAATATCCCATCTCAGGAAAGCACTAGACAGTTGCAGCATGTGAGTATGATTCAGGACTGGGCGCTCTTTCAGCTCCCCCCTTTACGTATTCACGTATTTAGGTGTCTTTGTCTTTGTTCAGCCTCGTATAGGGCAATATGCGCCTTATCTGACCTTCTTTGTATGCGCTATTTTCCATCCCTGATCCGCGCAGGCTCAATGCCATCCGGAGGCCTTGTGCACAGGCCGGGATACTTGCAGCTTCTAGGGAACTGGACGGTATGTGATGAGCATGGAAGAGCCCTCGTCTCGTCGGCTTTTTCTCGGAACAGAAACACTTTGCAGAAATTGGTCTTTGGCGTAGCGTTGAGGAGGCACAGTTAATGCTAAAAATAAGTTCTGCTTCTTTCCTATCTCTTCGATGCCTTACATTGTAAGGTACCATTATGGTCGACAGCTGTTGTGGTGAGCTAGGCCCAGGCTCTGCGCAACTCCACAGCCATCCCTTCTGAATGCCTGATCTGTTCTGCCGACGTGTCAATTTTCCCGTAGGCTTAAATACGACAGGAATACCTTACCACAGCGGCATGTAGCTGGTCATTGTGTAGATACGGACCCAAGCCAGGTCCGCAATATTGCAATTTGCCACGTCTTCGTCACAGGCGGAAGAGCACTTACCATCTTTTTTAGGTGGTCTTTGAGCTCACCAGTCCCTCATACGGTTCCTCGCGGATCCTGAGGTTGTCTAACTGATAGAACTACCTCGATCGGCCTCTAAGATAATTGGTACAGTTCAACCGATGTCCGGAACTGGGCGTCGGGCCTCGTTGACTGGACATTGACGATGGGTGTGCCGCTGTTGGCCGGTGACGGGTTCAACTGCCCGAGAAAACCTTACACAGAAATATGCGTCCAGAAAGGCATCTCTATAGATGAATTTTCGGTACTCGTCGTGCATAGTGCTTTCTAGAGTAACATTCATACTCCGTGAACCATTCGGTACCATTATTGGGCATCGGCAGTGACAGCGGGTCTTTGCCGATGAACAGTGGGGATCCGCTGAGTTTATCTCGAACTGCAGAAAGCTGTTTCCTGATTCGGAACCGTGAATAGCAGGTGACACCACTAAGGATTGCCAAGGTCGGGGTGCATCTTGGTAGTCTCCCCTAGTATACGGGGTAGGCAACGTCCAAGGGTTGTCTTCGGCTCCTTCCAGAACAGCGGCCAATCGATTGAGGGCTTGGAACACATGGCATATCGGAGTACCCCTGGCACGGATGTGTTATCGGCAACCGGCTTGTGGCATTACTCCGACTTTCTCCCACCATGATCTCCGACATGGGTGACGTATAAGTCGGGCCGGATCCCAGTAGTAATCATTTTTTTCAACACATACAAAGGCAATGGCAATGGCAATGACATCTGGATCGTTGTTATTAGGTCTTTTGGCACAGCAGGCTGCTGGACAGCTCCTTGTTCCTCATTCTCCACCTGCAGGTGCCAGTGAACCTGTGCCGAAGGGCGCCTCCTCGTTTTCGATTGAGTTCTCATCAGTTGTCGACTACTTTGGTAACACGACGCATCCTAATGAGTATTCACAAAATCTACTATTCAACCTAAAGAATGCCACCGGTGCATTCCCGAAGATCCGGATCGGTGGAACTACACAGTAAGTCTATCGCGTCTATATGTCCTACATCATCTAACAAACATTAGAGACCGCGCATTCTACAACCCCAACCAAAACGCAGCTATCAACCTAACCTACGAAACCCCCACCGATGACCAACCCATCAAAGTAACTTACGGCCCCGACTTCTTTCAGTCTTACCACGCCATCCCAGGTCTTGAATTCTCCTATGGCCTCAACCTTGCCTACAATGGCTCCGACCAATCCACCCAGCTCTCCTCCGCCGCAGCAGCTGCCTGCAAGAATATGGGCTCGGCCCTCAGCCTCTCGGAGCTGGGCAACGAGCCGGATTTCTACCCGGGATACCCGAGTTACAATCGCCCGCCGAACTGGACGATGACGGAGTATATTCGGGAGTGGAACTGGAAGACTGGGGTTGTGACCAAGGCTATGGAGAAGGAGTGTCCAGGAGTTAATGTGAGGTTTGTGGCGCCGAGCTTTATCTGGAGTAATTGGTCGGGAAGGGCGCCGTGGGATCCACAGGACGTGTTTAAGATGGGGTTGGACAGGAAGTTTATCCGGGAGATTGCTATGCATAAGTGAGTTGCGCCCCTGTAAACGACGATATGGTGTTGATGCTAATGGTTGCAGCTACATGGACACGGACTGCGAGGAGCGTTACGGACTCACAGACTTATCAATGCAAAGTCTCCTTATGAATCACACTGGTGTCGTAGGCTCACTAGCCGTCCACCTAGACGCTGCCCGTGACCTCTCCTATCTCGGACTCCCATACACCCTGAGCGAAGTCAACGGCATGGCCCTCCAGGGAGGCGCCTGGACCTGGAGCATGGGCAGCGCACTCTGGGTTGTTGACTTTGCCCTATGGTCTACGACAAACGTAAGCATCATCCATCACATTCATCAGCCGACACTGACAAAACGAAATAGAACATCAAACGGATCAACTTTCACCAAGGCACCGGCTACCGCTACGTAGCATGGCAACCTGTCCCTGTTGACGGCGCAGAACCAAACACCCGTCCTCCATACTATGGGCAGATTATGGTTGCCCACGCTCTGGGCAATTCCAACTCCACCCGTCTCGCCAACATCCCTCTCCCCAGCGACACGGAATCCGCGTACGCGGTCTACCACAATGAACTCCTCTCCCGCCTCGTGGCTCTCAACCTGGAGGCATGGTATGCCAACTCAACCACCACACGCCCGAGCAAGGAATACACCTTCCGCATTCCGGGTCGGTATACCACAGCCAATGTGCTGCGCTTTATGGGACCTGGGGCGGACGCGCGCTCGAACCTGACGTTTGACGGCGTGTCGTATGATTATGAGCTCGGTGGTGGGAAACCAGTGGTTGTTGATGAGATGGGGAAGAAGGAGAGAGTTCATGTTAAGGATGGAATGGTTAGGATTGAGGTGCCGGCTTCCTCGGGAGCGATTTTGGTTTTGAGGTAATCTGCTAAATATGGACGTTTTTGTACATTGCTGTGTGTTTATTGTTCTGACCTCGACCTTACTATGGAATATAACAATCAATGTGATCTGTTCATCTGATTGGTCAAATCTGAGGACAGTTTAGCAAACGAAACTGTAACTCTTCCCCTGAAATGTAGTCTCATAAACATTTCACTATTTTGTTATTGATGCCTCATCTCATATATCTTTCTTCAATTATCGACAGGAAAAAGGTAGAGAAATGTACATCTCCGCAAAAAAGATTATACCAACCCGACGCATGGACTACGACGACGCCCTTTGGGACCAAAGCGACCAGGTTTTCGAACCCTGGAAGAACAAGATCTTCGAACACGAAACTCTCCGCGAAATAGGAAACTTCATCGACAAGCACAGAGGAGGTCTCCCCGACGAGCTTTTTTCGCCAGAACGGGGCGCCTTTAATCTTATATTCAAAATGCGCTTCAAAGATGGTGGCTCAGCTGTGATCCGGTTCCCGTGCCCTGGCGCTTCGATGTTTCCAGAGGAGAAGGTGCAGCGTGAAGTTGCGGTTATGCAGTTTTTTGGAATTTTATACCAGTTTGCGTATACCACATGTATTGCACTATGGAGATGAGGAGGAGAGTCCATATGGTTTAGGGCCATTTATTATCATGGAGCATATCGGCAATGAGGGAAATTTGACTGGTTCTCTTAATATACCCGGCCGCTCAAGTCAGGAGAGGCCGATTCTGGATCCGTACATCTCGCAGGGTTTACTCGAATGTGTTTATGGTTACATGGCCGATATCATGCTTCAAGTTTCGAGGCATTCTTTTACCGAGATTGGGTGTATTGCAAAGGCGAATGAAGACGACGAGTTTGACGATACATGGGTGGTAAAGCACCGTCCGCTGACGTTTAACCTGAATGAGCTCGTCAAGTTGGGCGGAGTAACGCCAGAACAGCTTCCCAGGGGATCATTCAAAACAGCCTCATCATACTACCAAGCATTAGCCGAAATGCACATGATTCATCTGGCATCTCAGCGCAACGACGGCATTGAGTCTCCAGAAGACTGTCGACAGAAGTATATCGCAAGATGTCTCTTCCGCAAAATCACCCGTGAATATCTTCTTTGCAGAAATGACGATGGCCCATTTAAGCTTTTCTGTGATGACCTCCGACCAGGCAATGTCCTCGCAGGTGTTAATCATCAGATGACTGGTGTCATTGATTGGGAATTCACATACGCGGCTCCGGTTGCATTTGCGCACAGCCCTCCATTCTGGCTCTTGCTTGAATTGCCAGAGTTCTGGGACGGTGGTCTAGACGATTGGACTCAGAAGTACGAGAAGGTTCTTCCCACATTCCTGAAAGTTATTCAAGAAAGAGAACAAACTGCCATTGACCGGGGTGTCTTGAAAGAAACCGACCGACTATCTGAACATATGTTAGAAAGTTGGGAGAGCGGTAATTTTTGGGTGAGTTATGCTGCGAGAAAAAGTTGGGCGTTTGATATGGTATACTGGGCGAAGATTGACAGGAGGTTTTTTGGGGATGGTAACCTGGAGGATAGGGTGAAGCTTTTGACGCCGGAGGAAATGGAGGAAATGGAGGAAATGGAGGGGCTTGTTCGTATGAAGATGCAGGCTAAAGAAAAAGGCAACTAGGCTAACTGGGGTGATGTGAAAAATGCATTGCTAGTCTAGTGAGGACAATATAGAGGCTAGTGACAGCGAAAATTAGGTTGCTCTTGTGGGTGGGTGTCTAAGCGGTGCCATGATACTGTTAAAGATAGGAGAAGCGTATTGCTAAGTGGGAGTTTTTATCATGTTCCGGCTGTTCTAGGGTATAAAGTCATCAATTACACATAGTTAGATGCTTCTCTAATTAGTCAACCTCATATCCCACCCTAGAATACCCTGCTGTTGGTCACTTGTCAATTCAATGCCAAAATACTCCTTCAAAGCTTGCAATCGTCCCTTCTCGGAATCAAAAGAGCGAACAATCTCGGTCTTCCCGCCTAAGTTAACCTTAACCACATCATTAACAAGCATAACCTTCCCAACAATCCCGACATCCGCTGTAGAAAGCCCCCATTCCCCTCTCTCACTAAACAATGAACAGTCCGCTTCTCTTAGAAATCGCACCACCAAAACCGTCCACCTGTGCAAGGTCCTCGCACTAGCAAACCAATTCATTACTTCAAAGTCCTCTTGGAAGAACTCGAGCTCTGCGAAACTATAGAATGAGTTCCATTCCCTATCGGGCCCATTGCGATATTGATATATCCAGAGTTTTGTTGTCTCGAGTTGCTGTTTGGGGATTGTATCTTGGATGAGACGGACCTGCTGAGGGCCGATGTTGGGAACAGCGGTTCTTGAACCTTCCAGAAGAAGGGGGGTTATGGGTCCATCTCCTCCGAAGGCGACATCGAGTGCGAATTTCTCGCCTAATGGGAGGTGCACGATGTTTACTATATGGGTCCTATAAAAGCTTGTCAGTGAGTTTATAACTTGTAGACGAAAAAGGTCGTAATGACCATCCTTGATACTCTCCACTGGGAATTCCGTTAGTTCTCGCTCGGTTCCGGACACCCGTCATGTAAACGAAGAACCCTAATCCACGTAACATGTGGTGGAAGAATATGCTCAATTCCATGCAATAGCCACCGCGCTTTCGGTTATCTGGGCCCATCATCTTTTCGTATAGGGCCTCTGGACATATATCCACGAGATGCGTGGGGGAATAGTGCACAGAAAGGTTCTCGTAAGGGAATGTGGTGATTTGACATCTCATAAGGATACGTAGCGATTCGGCTGTTTTGGGAAATTTTTCGGGGCATTGTGTATATCGATGGAAGGTTTGAGGAAGGTTTAGGCTTTCGAGCCAATTTGTAACTTGTTCTGTTGAATAAGAAGATGTTTGAGTACGGTTTTGGAGAACCATAGTGCTGAGTCTCGGTAAGCAACACTGATGTTCCTGAAAACATTCTACCCTCGGAATACGTTCAATATATTATTCTGTGTGTTTACTTGCCGATCCGATTGAAGTAGTAGGCCGAGTGATTCACCCGATTAGGTTCGGCGCATTGTTCGGAGACATAGCGTATGACGAGATCTCGGCGTTGGTGTCGAATCACACATGCGGGTTCCTAATGGACTGGAAGTGCCTAATGTGTATATAAAAGGCCATTTAACGTCCATTTTCTCACCAATCCTTAAGCAAATTCAAACATCATTGTCATTTCAACCATGGCGTCCGCACGACCACTAGGCCCACCAATCTCCTACACCCCGGCCTCGCTACCATCAAACAAAACCCTCGCAGGCCGAACTATCCACCTCGAGAAACTCGGTCCAGACCATGCCATCTCCCTCTTTCCTCTCCTCGTCGGAACATACCCCTCCATCACACCGCTATGGGACTACATGCTCGACGGCCCATACCCCGACCTCCCCACATTCCAAGCCGCCATAACCACCAAATCAGCCTCCAGCGACCCCTTCTTTTACGCCATAATCGATGCCCGCAAGAACACTCCCACCTCCGGCAAACCAATTGGCTACTTATCGCTCATGCGCATCACACCCGCCCACCTAACAATCGAAGTCGGGAACGTCATGTTCTCGGCCGCTTTGCAGCGCACGACCGGTGCGACGGAGGCAATTTATCTCCTGATGAAGTATGCGTTTGAGGATTTGGGGTATCGGAGGGTGGAGTGGAAGTGTGACGCGTTGAATGGGCCGTCGAGACGGGCAGCGATCAGGCTGGGATTTACGTTTGAGGGCGTGTTTCGGCAGCATATGGTTGTTAAGGGGAGGAGTAGGGATACGGCGTGGTTTTCGGTATTGAGGGATGAGTGGGAGGGGGGAGTTGGTGTGGGGTTGGAGAGGTGGTTGGAAGAGGGGAATTTTGGGGAGGATGGAGGGCAGATGAGGAGTTTGGAGAAGGTGAGGGGTGAGGTTATTCATGTATAGTTGCTATTTTGCGTTGCTTGCCGGAGCAGAAGTACCATCAGGGTGTTGAAACCTTTGAATCGGGATAAACATTAAACAAACTCAAGCATAAATTAACATAACATCTTATCTCGTCCCCACCGGTACAATCACCGTGGCATATACATATGCACCTGCTGCGCCGATGCCGCCCCCTGGGGAAATGAATACCTCAGCTGCTCCTGCTGCTGCGAATACACCATACTATGATACGACCTCAGCGAAGAGTTACAGTCCTCCTCGTTCGTCTCTCCTTCGTCTCCGCCTGCTTCCAGGACCTTCTGTGGCGGACTGATATGCACATGGTGCCATTTCCGGAAGCACAGAAGAACACCGGCATAAATTCCTATGGTGCAGAAGAACTCGATGACGGTCCTGGCGGCGTCGAGGTAGTCTGGGGCCATGTTTTGCTCGAGGACGTAGATAATTTGTAAGATGGCTAGGACGAAGTTGACGAGAAAAAAGAAGAAGCTTCCCACGGACAGGGAAACGAGTCCGGCCTGTTTTTTTTTTTTTTTTCTTTTAGCATCTTATTGATTAAGGACTGGATAGTATAAAGACGTACCCTTCGGTCAGGTGCAGCGCTGACGAAAACAAAGATAATCCAGCAAAAAGCCTCCAACGAAGCAATCCAACAGAAGATACTCAGGGCTGCAGAGACTTTGTTATACTCATATGCAAGCTTCATGTACCTTTCACCCACATTGATACCTTTGACAACAAAGGCAATGTAAAGCGCACATTCTACAGCTGAGAGCACGGACAAAACTCCCAATAGGACCCAGTGGGCGATGGCCATGGGAGCAAAGGCCTTGCTTGGCTTGTCTTCTGCCAGCCGCTCGAGAAGCTTCTGTATGAGCTTCCAGAAAACGTAGAATCCCAGCATTACGGCAATGAGGTAGAAGATTTGGTTCAGCATAGAAACGATAACGTAGCTCTGCTGAACGTTGGCTTTGAAAATGCCCAGGAAGAGAGTTATGATGTTCATCATTCTCGCGCTATTCACTGTTAGTACACATATCATTTTGCTCAGAGAAGTACTTGCATTGCATAGCTCAGAATAGACGCAATAACTGCCTTTATAGGCAGCGGTTTCTTCGGGTCACCCCGTGGCTGTCTGATAAAGCACGACCACACGAGAAACCCAAGCAGCGCAACAAGACATAAAGCCTCAAAGATGAGCCAGACCTTGGGATAGGCCTCGTCGAAGCCGTAAGCCGTTACCTGGACTTTTTGCTGCCATGGTGACTGGGCGTTGGATGATGAGTGGGCATTCATTTGCGATTTCATATTGCGCTCAATAGTATGTGTTTTTCTAAACAAAATAAAGACAGCTTCTAAAGAAAAAGTGGTCCGTCGTGCAGATTCGGGCGATTTTGTAGTAGTTGCGACGAAGAGAAATCCGCCCCAGGCTGAGAGCAGTACAATTGGGGCCAAAACGAGGCGGATTCGTATTGACGCTGAGAACTCTCTCGGTTCGTCTCATGTTATCTCTGTCTCATCATAGCTCGATTGTCTTGGGTTTCTTGTTGATCTGGAGCCTGACAGTCTGCCAGTGTTGTTGATGTTGCGATGCCCCCCCCCCCCGATGAATGAACCGAACGACGATCGCACCGCCACAATCCCTTGTATGAGAGACAATGGCGTTAAATATAGACAGACATTAGTCATTCACAGCGAGTCTTGGGAAGTTTTGAACATAGTGAAGGCGTGTATTACTCCAAGGCATCGAATTGCCTAATCGGGCCTGTATGGCTTCATCTTTCTCCGAAGCGGCAGCCGGCATTCTCACCACAACCACCACAACCACCACAACCACCACCACGGTCATGAACCAGAACCACAAGACCGGAGTTCAAGGAAGATCTCCGCTTACTTCTCCTATTTCGAGTACATATGTACTCCCATCTGGGACCCGTGATCCCTGCGCCTGCGCCTGGCTGCAGGTGAATTGGCAATTCTCATTCGGATCCTGCCCAGTGCTGGTTCAGCTCGGCTAGTGGCGATGTACTCTGACGGTCATGATCCGAGATAGATTCCTATGATCAGCCCATCTCTTGGTCTATTGTTACAATGAATTGCTTTCAGGAACTGTTCGGACATTGGGCAAATTCCAAGAAATGCACGACCAACGCATCAAGAAAGGACCGCCACGGGCAAAAAGAGCGAGAAACCGCGAATGAGAGGGACAGGAAGAATGGAATAAAGAAATAAATGCAAATTATTTGCTTGATTTGCCAATGTTTGCCGTCAGCGCTGTGGCTGGTCTTTTTTTTTTTTTTTTTTTTTTTCCTTTTCTTCGGGGACAGGGGCAAGTGCAGCTTTATATAGCTTTACTTGCTCTTTTTTCGCATTATTCTTTCATTAAAAGACTGCTATTTCTATGTTCCCGCACCTCGATTTAGTTAACAGTGTCCATCCTGGTCTCCTATTCCAACGTCGGAATACTACAGCTCGGGATCCCGTTAAAAGCCGATACAAGCGTTAGGATAGCAATAAAATACGCGATCCAGAAAGGCCTCGTCTTCGGTATGATAGCTTCCCTTCGAAGCACAACGCATGCTAATTCATCATAGTGGTGATTCATCCGGACCCCATTGCAACGCTGTCGCCCTTGCTTGCGCAGAGTCGCATCCTTGAATAATCGGCCTGAACCGGGTCAATTCAAACGTCAGCAGACTTTCAAACTTCAATCCAAGAATATACCAGCCAAACGACTCGAAGAGAAGCCAGTATAGCAAAATGCCTCCCGACGGCTCCTCATTCACACCACTAAATCTCCCGTCTACATTCTCGCTCCCGCAATGCATGGAGTACTTCTCTTTCACAGCCGGCCCCAACACCAACCTCTGGCGCAAACCCCCAACAGGCGACATCGCAACCGCGCCCATCGTCTTTACCTCCCTCCGGAATTCATTCGTCGTCGCCGAAGTCACCGTCAGCGCTGACATGGAGATGGAATGGGATCAAGGCGGCCTCGTTATCTTCACCGGCGCGACACCCGAATCGTTATCCCTTTCTTCTCCGGCGGGCCGTCGGACAACGTCGGCAATGCGACCACGCCTCGAACCCGCCCGGACTTGTAAATGGGTTAAAGCCGGGATAGAATTCTGCTCGGGGGCCGTTCATGCTTCATCGGTCAGTGCTACAGCTGATGGCGCGGATTGGTGTCTAGCCCCGTTAGATCTGCCCGACGGCGCGACAACACCGGCTCTCCACTCGCTACGCATAAAGTTAGAGCGCATCGGCCACTCGCTCTGGATCTGGTACCAGGTGCCCTCGGTATCACCGTATGCGCGCACACCGGGAGCTGTCTCTGGGACGTGGAAGAAACTTCGCGAAGTGACCTGGTTCTTCTACGGAGTTGATGATAAATTCGTGCATGTCGGGGTATATGCCAGTCGACCTAACAACTCGCCGAACGATACTGCATGGTTTGGGTCTGGTCTTGGGAGGTCATCGGATGGGTTGGTGGTTGAGTTTGAGGATTTAGAGATTTTCTAACCTGTTCCCTCTTGATTTGCTTTTGCGCACTATTCCCCGGCGTTGGTTGTGATTGCAACTCACGAGTCATGATGTGTTACCCGTTCTCTATATCTTATACCAATACACTTAACCATTAATCATAATGCTACACAATAGATACAGTGATAAGAATGCATAAGCCATCCTGTTACACTCATGTCACTTTCCTTTCTGGGATGGACATCCCGAATAGGTATAGCGCATGATGGGCGATAAGGTTCCGGATCGTGCCGGGTTAGTATGCTTCCGATTTAGGAAGGGTGTCTACTATACCGTGACCTGACTCAGTAATAAACGCCTATCCGAGCTGGATAGGAAGCGGAATCGTTCCAGGTACGAGGAGCTCCGGCGTGCAGTGATTAGCAAAGTATGTAACAAAGAGCGGGATGATGTGGGGCTCAGGTATGGATGTGCTGTACAACGGTGATCGGGTCCTATGTTAGCTATAGGATAATATTGAACTCGACGAGGTTCAAAAGAGAGAATCATCTCTCCTCTTCTTCGTGCTTGAGGTGGGGGAAAAGATGGTGTGTCTGGTATCCTGGGAGACCTCCAACCAAAGCTTTTCCCACTCGGAAAAGCAAAAGCTTGCGCGGGAGCTCCAGTATTATGGACGGATTTGTTTATCGACTGATGGCAACCCGTTTCACGCGTCGAGGTGCATAGACTTGTTACGGGACTTGTTTTCCTGGACGTATGGAACTCGTGAAGGGGTGGATGCTGATGAGAGGCATGGTTGCTATGATCGATGGTGCCCAACTCCGCTTATTTTCTTTGGTGATATGCTTAACGAGTGGATTGGTAAGGGATATTAGATAAATACCCGTATGAACTATCTGGGTACTTCTGGGTGCCTTGTGCGGAAGTTGGATGTCCCAGTCCATAGCCGTTGAGACAGCCGATTGATCGTCGATGAATTAGATAAGTGACTCAGCAATGGGGTGAAGAGGGGTATTTGCGTTGAGATAGAATGCACCAAACTACTATCAATCATGCCTAGCAATTTAGGTCGCCCGTTTGGCTGTGACCAGTGCCCGAAAGTTTTCACTCGGAGTGTGAGCATCTGTTTCCACCTGGTTGTGACGAGAACTGATTTGGCGTAGGAGAACCTACAGCGGCATAAGCGTGCACGTAAGTGTTGATGGGTATCGTCGAGATAAACGAGAGTTGACGATGTGGAAGGCCATGGTGGTGCTTCGCTCAAGGATTTCCAATGCGCTGGATGTCAGGCTCGATTCTCCAGAAGGTCTGTCAGTCAGTCTCGATCTTTGTTATAGATTACGGCTCTGACAAATTGCAGAGACGTATATAAACGGCACAGTGGCCGTTGCCGCGCATTGCTATCTTCGGGTCAAGAATCCCAGCCGGAGGTTCCATGGGAACCTACCCCGCAGATAGATGTTGATATAGCGCCGTCTCTAGTAGTCATGGATCAGAGCTCGATGAATCCGGTCATGATCACTCAGGCCTTTACCTATGCCACTGAGTTACTTCAATACTCATCTCCATCATCGGCGTATGCTACCCCTCGCCTGACGGAACTCTCGTGTATATTGACGGACATCTGACAGAACTCACAGCGACAGTGAAGAAAGACACATCAAGGCCTACTTTGAGCATTTCTACCCCTCCGTTCCTCTGCTACATCGACCCACGTTTGCCTTATTTTCGACGCCTAGGCTACTGGTGAAAGCCACGGCTGTCATTGGCAGTTTGCTTTCAAGTCAACCAGAAGATTGCGCACACTGGCGTCAAGAGACGTGGGAAAGTGGTCAAAATGAGCTTCGGCATATGGTAATCAACCAGACCCCTCACCTGCGCGTCTTAGTCTGATTGATATCGAGATAGGTTTCCTATGACTTGAGTGAGATTCGTCAGCTCTGGGTCCTGCAAGCGTGGCTTCTACACATAATTTATGGCGCATACGCAAGCGACACAGTCCAATTCAAAACAGCGAAACAGATGCTGCGGCAGCTTGTTGATGTTAGTATCCATTTACTCACTGTATCTCGATTTGGGCTTACTCTTAAATAGGCTGTACGTGAAATTGGTTTATCGCAGCAGGAAATCGCCATGCCAGATTCCCAGTCTTGGGTGTATCAATGTGATTTGAACTCCCCCGTTGATGACTCGAAAACACTATATGCACGGTGGATATCCTATATAAACGTAGAATCGACTAGGCTGTCCCTGTATACGTTATTTTTCCTGGACTCGCAGACATTCACCTCTTGTAATGCTCGACCATTGATGTCGCCGATGGAGCTTGGTTGGGAGCTTCCCTTTCCTAGCGGTCTATGGGAAGCCAGAGATTCCCAGATATGGCTACAAAGAGTCAATGAGCATCTTGGACACTCAACTTATACAATGCCTAATGATTTCCTACACGGGCCTCGCGGTCCGGCAACGACTTCTCTGTCAATAGCTACACAGCAACTTATGACGGAGGCGCCAAGCCCAGAACTTTTAGCGGCACTGGAGGCATCTCCATTTGCTGCATTCTGCGTGCTGGCGAATTTAAATGCTTTGGTCAGGGATTTTACGCGGTGTTACTATCAAATGCCACCGAGTGCGTCCGATCCGTTCGCATTCCATATCCTCACTCAATCCCAGAATAAACAGATTCACACAGCAATACGAGCAATTGCGAGAATTGTCAAGGGCCAGGCATATACCAGCGACAGCTCCCAGTTCCACCTGTGGAGGATGATCGAACTCTTTATCTCTTCTCTCAGGATAAGCCTATGCCGCCCAGATCAGCTCTTCATAGGAGGTATCGTGGACAACAGCTTGATTTCTGGGATGGCCGCTTCTACCCATCTGACGCAAAGAAACTACGTCGCGATCCGACGATCGGTATCTATTGTACCGCAACACCTTGGCGCGGATGAAGGCATTCTGGCTCTTCTCAATGATCTGTCCGGTGCACTGTCCCGTATCTCCGGTGAAAACCAGGAACAGGTAATCTATGAAACGCCGTGGACTACCGTTACCAGCTACGGGATTCTGCTGTGTATTTGGGGAGCGTTGAGACGCGCGACGACTGATATCCGTCACCACCTGGACACGTTCAACGAACTCCCAAGAACATCAGAATCCTGCATGTTGATCTTTAACTCCCTCATGGAGTCTGCCCTCCTCAGTTTATCCGCTGAGAATGATCGAACACCCCGGGATCCCCGTCTCTGGCGCACGGATCGAAGCGTTTTCACCAGTCTGCTCGAGGGGGGCGAGTCGTTTTTCATTGGTTTGATGAAGAGATTCTGTGTGCGAAGATGCCCGTGGGGAATTGGATCTTCCATGCTAGCTGTGTTGGGTGAAATCCCAGACCCTAGTCCCGTTGCGAGGGCAGATTAACATATGCGGAGTTCACTTATCTGAGGGGGTGGAGGGCATCCCAGCACTAAGTGGAGCTCCACTAGACCTATTCGACCTCACTTGATTTGGTCGACACAGAATGTCTTATAATTTTTATCATGAATTCAGCAATAGAGCTCGAGAAAAGCTTCTAGGTTCAGCAATCGCACATACACAGTCAGAATAATGTCTACGTCGAGAGTCGGCTGGGTATGTTGTATTCGTTTACTTGGTTCTCTGCATACTAATCGGAAGCCAACAGTTTGGTCTCGGATCTATGGGACTGGGCATGTCTCTGAATCTTCAAAAGCACCTGCAGGCGGACAGTTGGTCGTCACTCCGTTATAGCAACCGCACTCTATCAAAAGGACAACCTCTTCAAGATGCGGGAGCTATTCCCGAAGATAACTTCGAAAAGGCCATCCAGAATTCGGACATCATATTTACAATGGTGAGAGAAGTCGTAGTCCTCTGACCATGTGCGATGAACTGACAGAAAAGATCTCCGAGGACGATATACTGATCGAGTTACTGGATCAAGCTCTATCTGCAGGTAGACTATTGAAAGGCAAGATATTTGAGGACACGTCTACTGTTTATCCTGATACATCTGAGCTAGCTGCACGGCGTCTGAGCATGGTGCAACATTCATCGCTGCTCCCGTGTTCGGTGCTAGTCCTGTGGCAGCCGCTGGGAAGCTGATATTCGCGGTAGCCGGGCCTGCCAATGCAGTTGAAACAATCAGACCTCTCATCATGAACGTGATGGGACGGAGCATCAAAGAAATGGGCGAGGACGTACGAAAATCCAGCCTCTTAAAACTTTCCGGGTAAATCCCTTCAGTTTTTCCTCCCACCATCATCAATCTCAATCTAATCAACCCCCCTCAGCAACATTCTCGTTATAAGCTTCATGGAAGTAATCGCCGAAGCCCAAGTCCTCGCCCAGCTGACCAACCTCGGTACACAACAACTAGAAGAATTCATCGGCAACATGTTCGGCCCAGTCCTCGAAAGCTACTCCAAACGCATAACGACAGGCGCCTATGCACCACCCCTTGATTCGAAACCCGGGTTCGCAGCAGCGCTCGCATGCAAGGGTATGAGGCATGCTCTTTCTATTGCGGCTGGTCATGGGACTCGTCTTCCGACGGTGGAACTTGCGTTGGGGAGGTTAAATTCGGCTAGGGAGGTTGCCGGGGAGTGGCTAGATAGTGCAGGTGGTTATGAGACGGCCAGGGTCGAGGGAGGGTTGCCGTTTTGGAGTGGAAATAGTCGACAGGAATGATTTTGTTTTTGTGCTTGTACTTCCTCTTATCTTCGGGATTTCTGAGTCTCCCTAGTCACTATTTTACAGATATTTGCCGTCTTTCAAGTTTCTTGCCGTAAATTCAGTAGAATGAAAAACAGACCCGACTATTCATCCGTTCCAAAACGAACTTTTCAATGAGTACTTGCTTTCGTAAGGTATTGCCAGAAATAGAAATAACAAATCTTAACAAAACTTCAAGGATTTGGAGATAGGCCAGCAATCACTTTACATAACGAAAGTACGTCTGTTCAAAGTCAGTTAAGTCCATAAACTTAAACCGCTCAACAGCCTGACGAGTCTCTTCATTATCCATATTAGCACCCTCTTCCGCCTGAACTCTGTCCCGACGCTTGTTCTCACGAATATTCACCCAACGCACAACCACCAATACAATAGCACTCAACCCATACATAATAGCCACCAGAGACTTTCCGCGCTTGTACCCCGGTGCATCGTCAGCCCGAAAGGTCTGTAGACTGATCCACTTACCCATCGCGTATGCAATGATCTGGAAGGCATTAACGGTAACTTTCTTGGTATACCCCAGAGTACACTCCCTCCACCTCCACCTCAAAGTACACTGCGCAGTATATCTACACGGTGGTGCTCCACCGAACGATCCCTGTCCTGTCATTCTGCATTTGGCCGAGAATGAACGGGTTTGTTATTTAGCACCCGCCGAGTGCGGGCTCTTATAAGACAATAGTGTTTCGAACAGAACAAGTATAACCAATGGCTTCCAGTATCACGGCTATGCTTCCCAAGTGGGTTCCACCCGAAGCTACAAAGGAGGCTTCTATGTTCTCCCCTTGACCCCGCCTTCCGTTCGTGTGGAGAAACTCAGGGTAATCTAGTACAATGCATTGCAGTGATGCGAATCTTTCTTGCAAGTCTACTCGGCTCCTCGATAATCTGATAGGGCGCATTGTGTGTGTCACCATTTACGGAGCCGTTCAATCCATTGAAATGAAGTTCTTGCATACCGATCGATCCCATTTTGGCCTTCTAAGTCTTCGGTGTGATATAATCCAAGTAAGAAAGGTATCAAGGGTCTGTAAAGATCAAATCCAGTAATTTGTACAACTATTTCCCTTTTCTATCCCAATCCGAATGGCTGAAGTCCCGCCTATTTAGGGTTAGACACTCGCCGGTGGAGCTCCACCTCCACCCTCCGCCCTCCACCATCCATATCCTCCACACCTCTTATCAGTGGGGCTTAGAGGATAGAAGTACAGCCGAGTTAACACAGCTAGGATTCCAATAAACATGGACTGGTTTCGCTGAAGTCGAAATCATCGAACGTCTTACCATTCAATACTCACCGTGCCTGCTATTGATTCCCACCGGCCGTTGCGGATCTCAATCGGTGAGTTGTCGTCCGTAGGCAATACATTATTGTACTGATCAATTATCAGACAGAGGTGGGACCTTTACGGACTGCATCTGCAAGTCACAGGCCAAGAGGAGGACATCGTGGAGAAAATTCTCTCTGTAGATAACAAGAACTATCCCGATGCCCCGACAGAAGCGATCCGTCGGGTGCTAGAGAAGTATTATTGACAACCAATTCCTCGAGGTACTACCTTGGACCTCAGAGATATGGGTAAGGATGAACCATTCCCAGTCAGGCGCATACTGGTGCTGACAGTGTCTTAGAATGGATTCGAATGGGCACAACCGTTGCGACAAACGCTCTCCTTGAGCGCAAGGGTGAGCGCACCGCGTTCCTAATCACAGCTGGATTCAAAGATATTCTGCAAATTGGAGACCAATCCCGACCGTATATGTTTGATTTGACCATTCGACGACCACAACCACTGTATTCCGACGTGTTCGAAGTCGACGAGCAAGTTGTGCTCGAGCGCTGCAGTGATTCCAATTTGCGATCTCTGGAACTTCAGCATCCAAAACCACTACAGACTGTTGTGGGCACTCCTGGAGAAAAAGTGCACATCATCAAGCCATTAGATGTAGAAGCCACACGTACGTATCTGCAAAGAATCTACGCCGAAGGCTTTCGATCCATTGCTGTCTGTCTTATGCATTCCTACATCTTCCCGGACCATGAGCTTCAGGTCAAAGAATTGGCAAGGGAAGTGAAATTCGAGCATATATCTGTGTCGCACCTGGTGTTCCAGCGGCCAAAGATCGTCCCGAGAGGAAATTCCACCGTTATTGATTCCTACCTCACCCCAACAATTGAAGGATACCTCTCGCAGCTCAGTGCCAGTTTCCCTAGTTTCGACAATGGGCACACCAAACTGGAGTTCATGCAATCGGATGGAGCTCTAGTGCCGGCTTCCAAATTATCGGAATTGCATGCCATTCTTTCCGGACCAGCAGGTGGAGTTGTGGGTTATGCGCGAACCTCGTATGATGCAGAGTCGAAGATCCCCATCATCGGGTTCGACATGGGAGGCACAAGCACCGATGTTAGTCGGTACGACGGGCAATTCGATCACATATTCGAGACCACGGCAGCCGGTATCCCAATCCAAGCCCCCCAACTCAACGTAAACACCATTGCGGCTGGAGGCGGAAGTATTCTTGCTTGGAAGGATTCTCTGATGGCTGTTGGTCCCGAAAGTGCCTCCTCGCATCTTGGCCCCGCGTGTTATAGAAAAGGGGGGCCCTTGACGGTGACTGACGCGAACCTGGCGCTTGGAAGACTGGTTCCAGAGCATTTTCCTTCAGTTTTCGGACCCAACGAAGATGAGCCGCTGGACTGTGAGATCGTGCTTGTGAAATTTCAAGAACTCGCGGAGATCATAAACTGCGACATCGGCAAGTCACTCACATGGGCTGAGGTGGCAGACGGGTGAGTATCAAGGGATCCTGGAAATTATTTCTTCCACAGGCTAACCAAATTTGTGCAGCTTCCTACAGGTCGCGAATACGGCCATGTGTGGCCCGATACGCCAGTTGACCGAAGGAAGAGGGCATGATGCTGCGAAACATCATCTAGCTTCCTTTGGTGGTGCTGGTGGACAGCACGCCTGTGCCATTGCTGAAGCTCTCGGGATTCGACGTGTGCTAATCCATAAACATTCATCTGTTTTGTCTGCATATGGTATTGGCTTGGCCGATGTCGTCCATGACGAGGAGAGACTATACGTAAAAGTATTCGATAATTCAACCAAAGACTGCATCTATGCGGATCTTGAGAACTTGTCACAAGTGGCACAGAGCCATCCGTCGCTGTACCACTTCTCCCATGTCGACGGCTACAAATTCCTGTTCATGCGATATGATGGTAGTGAGACCGCGATAATGGTCCCCGTTAAGGACGGCGCCGACCCCAAACAGGAGTTTATCGATGTTCACCATCAACAGTTTGGATTCAGCCCAGCAGATCGCAGAATCTTCGTCGACAATATCCGTGTACGGGCTGTGGCGCGAAGTAATTTTGGCGGCGACACACCACCAAACCTGGCAAAATCACAGGATATCAGCAAGAAGCTTCCTCCCCCAACGCCCGCTTCGACCAAGTCTGTCTACTTCGGGTCTCTTAAATGGGTGGACATGCCTGTATATCTGCTAGGATCTCTACCAGCGGGTATTACCATTCAAGGCCCAGCTCTAGTAGTCGATAAAACACAAACCATCGTGATCGATCCTCACTGCTCTGCGACTGCAACCAAGGATCTCTTAATACTAGATGTTGGTTCCCAGAAGAAGCTAGTCAGTGCCACTGCTATAGACCCTGTTCAACTGTCAGTATTCCGACATCGGTTTTACGGAGTAGCCGAGCAAATGGGACGGGTTCTTCAAAAGATCAGCGTGAGCGCAAACATCAAAGAACGATTGGATTTTAGTTGTGCGATCTTCTCTCCGGACGGCTCGCTGGTCGCGAATGCTCCTAGCGGGTTGCTCGCGTTTTCTGCAAAGTACTCAATATCCTTAATGGTATTTCTCGTATGTGTCTCTCCCATTGACGAGCTGCAATTCCCACTTCTGTCAGCCATCTGTGTGAAGCCAGTCCAGTAATTGCTCGCGAGTGGGGGATATGGGCTAGGGCAGCAAGAACATCTAGAATTGTTGTCTAAGTAAATCCACATTCTCTTCCAGAAAGGGTCAGAATACCTGAGCTGACAAAACACTTTTGCCGTACATCCAGTGAGGTCAAGGTGAAAAAGTGTATACAATCACGACTTGAAATGACTGTCCTGAGCAGACAAACGGGAGTATTTTAGATTGTTTGGCTACAGCATGCGATACATCGAGCTCTGATGATGGGATTATTGACATCTCGAGGGTGAGATTTCTTCGAAAGGGGCGCATGTAACATGGCTGGCTGCCAAAGAGGCACGTATCGAGTAGTTTAAGCGTTGCCCAATTCCAATTTGATATCAAATTGGCCAAATGTATACTGCATCGGGTGACGGAATTGTAGCAAATCTCTGATAAATACGAATAATCTATTGAACATGATTTCAAAGCATACCCAGAATTTCAGCTTAGATTATTTGTATCTTTGAGAAGTGATTACTGTCCAATTCGCATTTGCGTACAGCTTGTGGACTTACTGACCATGAGGCCGTTCACAAAGCAGACAGCAACTACAAAGTCACATGTCCCACATAGAACAACATCAACATTCTCTGGCTTGTCAAGTCCCAAGATATAAGCCAGTCCAATGCCCCTGCTAGCCCTCCCCAGCGAACTCCTCACGGAGATAGTTAGCTACTTCAGACATAACAGGATACACATGCTCTCATGCGCGCCAATGCCCGACTATACCGCCTACCAAGCACTTATCTCTATCAACACAATACTCGCTATTTCGGTAGATCAGCTCTGTCATGGGCGGTTAGGAGTGGGGATTTGGCAGATGCTCGCAATGCTGTTGAGGCGGGGGCTTGGGGGAAAGGAAGTCAATTATTTGACAGTGAGCTGCTCCATTTGGCTATAAATTTTGGGAATGAGGAGATTGTGGGCCTGTTTTTGGAGAGTTATATGAGATCAGGACCTAATAGGTTGCTTTTGCTGATTTCAGAATGTGGAAGGGAAAGTGATAGCGAAGGCGAAAGCGAAGTCGAAGACCAAGGCAAGGGCGGGGACAAGGACAAACAACAATACCGATTCCATCGTGGGTCATCTTTGGCCATGGCACTAATGCATGACAACGAGGCTGTGGTGCGAGTTCTGATAAAGCACATTAAAACGTCACTAGAACAAAAGCGCCGCGTATCAACACAGTTCCACATCTCGGAAAATGATGAAACGCCCTTGCAACAGCTGCATAGACTGGGTATCATCCTAAAAAGGACGGGGCACGAAAACTGCTCGAAATGCAGCTGCCGAAGGCAATCTTGCCACTGTGAAGTTATTCAAAGAGCACTTCCCAGTCGGATCATACAACAATAAAACATGGCCTTTTGGAAAAAGAACGCCTTTAGTCCAAGCAGCAATTAACGGCAAGGTGGAAGTCTTGAAATACTTGCTCGGCGCCGGCCTTGACCCCAACTCTGATTGCTCCTCGCTAGACAAAACCCCCTTGTACTATGCAGTGCGCTACAATAAAATAGAAACTGCTCAGTTTTTTCTGGACCATGGTGCCTGTGCTGATCTTGCTCTAAGGAATTCTGGGCATACCCTTAGACTCTTGGACACAGCTGGCAGAAGAGGCTTCATGGGGATGACGAAGCTTCTTCTGAAGCATATTGATGTGAACAGCAAGGTTTCAGGTAACTACCATGAGCATGACTCTCGCATGGTCACAGCAGCAGCCTGCGGGATTACAGACCTTCTTCAGTTGGTCCTTGACAAAGACCCCGGCAGTTATTCAGGCATCCCCTGGGGCAAGAGACGCTTCATCTCAGACCAACGAACCTCATTGTTGCTCAAGTCCGTAAGAAGCGGCCATAAAGGCGTTGTTGCCCTATTGATATATTATGGCACCGAACCATATGGCACCGTGAGCCAAAACCCACTCCTCGAAGCCGTCCCAAGAAACCATGCAGACATCGTGCAACTGTTCCTAGACAGAGGACGCAATTTCAAACTCAAGAACCATGGTCATTTTTCCTTCTTTGGTCGTCGCATGTTCTATAAAGACCTGTGCTCAATTGGCATGGTCGCTCTATTCCATGTTATTAAGACTCCGTCGATTTTCCGCTTATTACTCGACAGAGGCATCTATATCAGCTCTGAATCAACAGCTACAATAGTCCTTAGGACAGAAAACGCACGTTCGGGCAGTAAGGAACTATCTGGAATGCTGCGGGAGAAAAGCTACCTGGTTGAAACACCCGAAGAGCACCATGCCTACACCTCACTCTCTGCAGGGGTTCCAGAAGCGGATAACCTGCGACTGATTTCTTCTTTCAACCCAACGGCGCCATACGTGATGGACATACTACTATGTGCCATTCACGTGGCGATTTAGGAACAGTCACCTACCTCCTCGAACGCGGCTGATGCAAACCTAGTGGGTCTTACACAACCAGATGACCCATCAAACATCGAACTAGCAGTGAGAGCTTCAGATCCAGAAACCGCGGCAGCAATGCTCGTCATCCTACTGCGTCACGGCGCCAATATAAATGCTCTGAAAGGAAGTTCTGGGCCTGAATGGCGGGCGTGCAGTAGGGACGAGCAGCATCAAACTGCTATTCGGCTTCTTATTGAGCGAGGCGCGAGGACGGACTCAATAAACGGCAACTTGGTTGAGAATACCCTCCTGCATTGTGGGTATTACGTTCATTCCAGGGCTATGCAATATTTGTTGCGGGTTATGTGTGATAGGACGAGTTCCAGGTATATAAAGGGAGTATTGACGAGCAAGCAGGAGGCTGCCATTTTTGGAGTATGGAGGGTTTTGAAAAACATTTACTGGAGGATAAGATGCCCTGTACCATAAATCATCATGCTATTGTCTCAGCTTCGCTTTGGCTATGTTGGTGGATGGCTACACGGAAGCATAACACTGAATGCAGATATCCCAATTCTCTCATGATAGATCAATACCCTTATAAGCAGCACCTAAATAATAACACAAGACCCATGCATATAAACTCCAAGATGACAAGATGACAATGAGAGTAGACAAGACACGCGAAAATGCAACCCCAGAAGACAAAATGCAGAAACCTATAGCACACTATAATTTAAACAATCTCGGTCTGGGTTCCGAGAAGACAATCTCTTCCAACCACCACGCAATAATCTCATTGACTTCTTTAGGTCTCTCCCAAAGTGCCCAGTGAGATGTGTTGATTTGCTGGTGGGTGAGATGGGGGATGGTTCGGGTCATTCCTGCGCCGAGATGGGCGGGGAGGGCTGAATCTCGTTGGGCTTGGATGAAGAGGACGGGGGCGGTGATGTGTTGGTTTAGGATGGATAGTTCGTCTTTATAATTGATGTCGCGGGTGCGGTACCAGTTTACTGTTTTTGTTAGCCTTGTATTTCTTTGGTGAGGGGGACGAGACGTACATGGACCGGCAAGACCATTTCGAGAGAATTCCTGCGCGTAATAGTCGAGTTCCTGTAGCTGTTAGTACGAACAACCTGATTTTGGGTGAGATGATACTAACCTCCTCACTCAATAATTTTGACGGTCGCAACCGAAGCAGGTTCTGCAGAATGACACCCTCCTCCACGTAAAAACCCACCTGCCCATCATCCGTCCTACCTCCGTACAGCGCAGACAGGAATTTCTTCATGTCTTCCTCGGTACGGATAGCGTCTTCCAGCTGCCGACTCCGGAACTGCAGTTGATAGGCGAAATGTGGTGCAATTGTGGCGACAAAGTCTTCAAGAGGCGTGTATCTCCGTGTTGGAGCAGCGAATGGTACGCAGAGAGTGATTAAGTGAGTGACGAGTTCGGGGTGCCAGAGGGCAACGCGGTATGCCAGTGCAGCGCCCCTGCATGGTGTTAGAATCGTTTATTGGAGCAAGACAGCTATGGGGACGTACCAGTCATGTCCTGCGAGGATGATCTTATGTACTCCGAGTTGGCGGACGAGCTCTTTGATATCGTCTGCGCAGCGTCTGTGGGAATATTGTGTTAAATCCCTGGGGGCGTCCTGTTCGAGTTAGCTTATTAGTCTGTATGCATTTGCATAGACAATACTCACTGTCCTCCCGTATCCGAGACAATCTGGTGCAATCACCCGGAGACCCATTTCCAGCAACATGGGGATCTGATAACGCCATCCCATTGACAAGTCGGGGAAGCCATGAAGCTATCGTCATGTTAGCATCCGATATTCCCAGTTGAACAACCCGGTAAAGGAGACTAACAAGAACAATTGTCCCCCGATTCTCCCCTGATTCCGGTTGACTGTACAGATATCCTATAGCTGGTTAGCATTGATTCGTTGGACTGCCCCCTTACTGCTATATTCTCCTATACTCCGTCCACCAGGTCCGACCTACCATATTGTTTGCCATTGACATATGCGGATCGCTGCTCGACCCGAGGATCCCCTAATACATCAATTTTGTCCACGATCATGATTGAAGAATGCGAAAGAACAACAACAATGGATATGGAAAAAGAGAGTATCCAAGAGGGCAAAAAACAGCGAAGAGAACAAAAACCGGTCAAGAAACGCTGTTCACCACCGACTTTTGGCGTATTTATAGCAAAAAGAGCAACTTGGAAAGATGACGCCCCCGCCAGCTGTCGATCACGTGAATACGTCAGGCAGACGATACATACGAATTAAAAAGTACTGCACTGTCCAGGGCGAATCACGGTGATTAGTGGTAAAGTGTAAAATAACAGGGCTGTATATTATGCATCGGAATTGGTCCATAACGGGAAGGGGGAATGTGATGTGACAATTTTAAGGCAACGTGAGGCGTTGTTGGGAATGAATACTACGGCCTGATATGCCTCGGTTATGGGTATTACATATGGCCTGGTCGGGTATGCAGCTTGCTACGGAGTACAGAGTACTGGTACAGTAGGGATGCATGATTTTCTCTGCAGTATACTAATACATACTACTACTTGTAGAATCAATAAATCACCGTGTCCTCATTATCCTCCTCGACTACCTCACCGCCGTCGTCCGGATGGTCGGCTTCGCTAGGATCAGGTTGTGGCTCATGGTCTGTTCTAGCGTGTTGATTATTGTCTTCAAAGCTTTGATCGCGGTTAGTTTCAGCATCCACCCTGTCTGATGCTTCATGCGTTGTCTCCTGGGGCTCCCTGGTCTCGTTCTTGTGTTCTGATTCGACCTCGGGCACTGGGGCCGGGTGGTCCGCCGGTTTGTCCTCCTCCACTTCTTTCCCTACCTGGGGTTTCGGTTTTGTTTCTGGCGGATTCTCCTCTTCGGTCTGCTGTGGCGGTGGATAACGGGCTTCGAATTCGGCAACTTCTCGGGCGACCGTATTCTCTGTATCTTCGATTTGATCCTGGATGATATCTTCGTCCTCGCGTCGTAATTCCCATGGTTTGTAGTACTGAAGACGAGATATGTCAGAATCCGAACATGTACCATTGCGGTGTGCTGAATCCCATGATACATACCAATACCGGTTCTGTCCTGGTCTTTAGAAAACGAGCCATTGCTGTCAAATTCGAATGCCGGGTGCGCATCTGAAAAGCAAATATCGTCAGTAATCCGTATGAAAGGCAAAACAAGAGAAAAAAAAAAAGAACCTACCGCTTCCTCCTCATAAAGCTTCTGCTCCTTCTTCCGAATCACTAGTCTCTCCTCCCTCCGCTTCTTCTTCAGCTCATCATACTCCTCATCCTGCACCTTGAGCTTATCCTGCTGTCTCCGCTCAATATCCGCGCGCCGCCTCTGAGCAGTTGAATTCGAGCTCTGAGAAAGCGTCCCCAGCAACGCGCCGAATAACCGTTGACCGCGTTTCCGCTCTTCGTCCGGTCGTCCTCTTCGTTGTTTCTGCTCCCTCCTCTTGTCTTGCTCTTCATCTTTCTCTGGGGCGGGTTTATCTGTTACTGTCTCGGTTTCAGTTGTCCCCACCCCTGCAGATGGTCTGCGCTCCTTCTCGTTTGCGCTTGATTCGAAGTTCTCTTTCTCGTGGTCATTCGGATTCACATCGTTGGAGGGGTTGTCGTGGGAGCTTAACCGGCGACGTTTCGCGTCGGGATCGGTGATCGACGACTTGCGCTTCAAGGTGGGTTCTGCCGGAGGGGAGGAGACGGTGTCTTGGTCGGGGAGAGAGACGGCTGATGCGAGTCTATGCCATGCAGGCACTAATTAGCTAGCTGTTCGTAGACGGGAAGTGAAATGACGAACCCTTCAGTCATATTGATTAGTACAAGCAGTATCAATGGCAATAGGCGACAGAGACAATAGAGAGAGCCTGTAGAATCGAAGAAAGCTAGAAAGAAAATGCCGTGGGAGCTGTCGGGAGTCGGAGTATGTCCAACTAACTTCCGTCGCATCCAAAAAGAGCCGCGCACGGGCCATTCACCGTTCTGCTTCCTTTTTTCAACGTCTCTTCTTCACTCTCCCTCTCTCTACAGACACCTCTATATTCCCCTCCATTGAATATCTCTCTTCTCTTATAACCAGACATAAACAGACAGTTCCAACAAACAACAAAATGTCCCGCCACCACCCCGACCTCGTCATGTGCCGCAAGCAACCAGGCATCTCCATCGGCCGTCTCTGCGACAAATGCGATGGCAAATGCCCTGTCTGTGATTCCTACGTGCGCCCAACCACCCTCGTCCGCATCTGTGACGAATGCTCTTTCGGAAACTACCAAAATAAGTGCATTGTCTGCGGTGGCGAGGGAATCAGCGATGCCTTCTATTGCTTCGAGTGTACGCGTCTGGAGAAGGATCGGGATGGGTGTCCAAAGATTATAAACCTGGGAAGTTCGAGGACAGATTTGTTTTATCAGAAAAAGAGTTTTCGGAATCAGTGACCTTGGCCCTTGTCTTGGTTCCGTTTTGTTGGGTCTTGCGGTGTCGAGCGGTGTCGAGAGATGTGTCAAATCGAATCGATCGAGCGAGTCGAGTCGAGTCTAGTATTTGCAGCGCGTCGCTGTGGGGAGGATTTGTCACAAATTTACGGTTTCTTTTCTGCGTTATACCCCATAGCTAGTGCAGTGCGGTTCGGAGTTATGTATAGGTGACTACAGAATCTACGGGCGTCTTCCACAACGATACGAGATATGCAATTCACGGTCCACTCCCATGTTATCTATGAGACAAGTCGATTCGCCTTTACCTTCCGGGTCTCTTAGGTCTGGCGAACCCGCGCTTGGGTCCTTCGTCCTGTGGCGGGAAAACTTCCTCACGCAGTCGATCTCCAGAGATCTCATCGGGACCGAATGCCTCGATCTGTGACTTGTCAGAAATACTGTTCATATTTAACGATGCAGGTTTAATACATACCTTTTTAGCGATCTTCAGTCCCTGTTCGCCAGCAATGACAAGGGCATTGTTACGGGAACTGGCAAACAACATGCGTTCCTTGATCTTCGAACCTGACGGACAGGTATAGATGAAGATGACCGCATCCGAGTCAGGGTAGTGATAATAGGTGTACTGCGGCGAAGATGGCGAGATATGAGACTGAACGGAGTTGGGGTCGACGCCGGATTCCGAACCGACCAGCTTGAGCGTCTCGGTTTTCACATCAACAACCTGTATCGATTAGTTTATTTGTCACAAAAAAAATATTGCCAACAGAATATCATGTCTTACCAACTGCACAAGACCACCAGCCTGCAACTCCGTAAGCGCAGCCTTAGCCTCCTCATCCGCAGGCATCTGAACTCTCATACTACTCGGAATGCCACCCCCAACAGACACAGACCCCCCGATCCCAATATCTCTACCCAAAGTCCCACTCCTCGCCTCCTCCTCAGCCCTCCGCACCAACTCCAACTCCCTCTCCTTGTCACCCATCAAATCCTCACGGCTATACCCATTCCCGCCGCCCTTCCCACTCTTCTCCGCATCCCGATCCTTCCAAGCGCTCTCGCTGATAACCTCATCTTCCTCGGTAGCGAAGACGCTCGTTCCGAACTTCTCGCTGCCCAGTTCCCGGACTAAGGTCGCCCGCGTCGAAGCGAAAAGCGTCTTTGCACGGACGGGTGCGTTGGAGGGGATGTAGGTCAGCGCGACGAGGGTGTTGTCATCGCGGCGGAGGAGCAGGTAGATCGGGGTTTGGGGTTTGAGGATGGTGGAGAGCTGCGAGAGCGAAGAGGAGAATGAGGACGAGGAGGGGATTGTAGGGAGGGGCGTTAGGCTTTCGGAGGTGATGGTAATGGGGAGACAGAAGAGGGAGGGGTCGGTGGTGAAGGTGGTGAAGGCGTCGTGGAGTTCGGGGGTGACTGCGTTGCTAGATTAGTATATTGCATATAGAGAGAAGAGGAAAACTCACCAGAGATTCCGGACTGCATCTTGACGGTTCCTGGCAGTCTGCAGTGCAATGCAGTGTTCCTACTACTGTCTCTGTCTGCGTGGTTGTCGGAGGTCAAGCGGTGAGGAGGAATCAGCGGGGTAAATATACCTCTGGGGTTTTCAGGAGTTGAACTTGACACTTGTTCGGACACGAGTATCAGTACCCATACATAGCAGAGGCAATTGTTACCTGAATCAAATACTGCTGCTCTATTGCTCTACTAAAAGCCCATATAATGCTGAAAACCGCTGACTACAGAAGCAGTGAATCCAATATCCAAGTTGACCCTATGGTACACAAACAAGAAACGAAGTATATACAAAATTGGATCTGATGCCTCTAAATCAAGCATATCCTCACAAATCGAGGCACAATATATATGCAGTCAGATCGCAATCGAGAACGCCACCATGCTCAATGGTATCAAATGCTCGAAAGACACACCCACACCTTTTTTTTTTTTTTCGTGATTTATTTCTTTATTTCATTGAAGGAGTAAAGAAATTACTCCTCATATGTGTTCCTCACAAGCGACCAATTCGACTTCTCCAGCTTTTCTTTCAGGTACTCATACACGGTGAAAGTGACGGCCTGACCAGGAGCCACACGCATCACACGGGGGGTAATACCCTTGTAGAATGCCGAAGCACCCTCCGTCTTGAACATGTCCTTGGCAATCACCAAGATACGGCTCACAGCAGACTGCCCAGGTGTACCGGGAGTACGCTGGAGACGGGTCTTGATAGTGTCAATGGGGGCGTTGGAGAAGGGACCGACAGCACCGGAGACCAATCCGATCATGGTGGTCTGATACGAGGGGAGCTGCGTGTTGCTGTATTCAGGCTGTAAGCGCTGCAGGAGAGACTTGAGCTCGGAGTAGGCCGTGAAGTTGGCGGCCTGGTTGGTTCCTTGTCGGAGGGCGGTTAAAGAGACACCGCGGTAGAGGACGCTGAAGCCTTCTTCCTTGATGACGGTGAAGAGGGCGTGCGGGGCGCTGCGGTACTTGGGGGCATCAAGGGGGTCGGCAAGACTGTGGTGTTGGGCTTGCAGACGGATCTTGACGACTTCCATGGGGTTGACGATGGCCACGGCTTCCGTCACACCGGCGGCGAGACCAGCTAGAGGGGTCAGCATAGTTCACTTTATGAAAATGCGCGTGACCACTTACCAAGGAATGTGGATTTACTGGTGACATGACCAGTCTCCTTGTTTGCCAACAGCTGCTTGTACCATTCGTACGAGGTGAACCGGATGGCCATCTTGGGAATGATACCACCCAGCACGGCTCCGAGACCCTTGTACAGACCGAGCGCAGTCTCCTTCTTCACGATGTCAACACCGGTAGTGACGAACCCGCGGGGTTTCGCCTGCGCAAAGATCGTCAGCATTGCCAATTGACAGAAATAGCTATGCAGCACTCACCCCAGGAGCCTTGGCCCGCCGCGAAAGCTGCATCCGGACCTTAATGGTATCTAAAGGATGGCAGACGAGAGCTTCCATCATACCGGCACCACCACCAGCTGTTATCCGTTAGCATGTCGTCTATTGCTTCACTGCGCGGGGTATATCCACCGATCAAGTTTACGGCGGGCGAGGTTGGCTTCTTGCCAGGACCCCCCTGTGCGTTTTTTGCAGACATATTCAAGGTTGTGTATTATTCAATTGCGCAATTGCTTGCTCTATGGAGCTCCGAAGCGCAGAGCTAGAGGTCGCAGGGACTGGAATGACGGAATTTCAAGAGAAAAGGGACAAGAGACAAGAGACGGCAATGCCAACTGCGAACCGATTTCTTTTAGACAAGAAGAGCAAAAAAGGGATAATAGTAAAGCAGTTCCACGTCCGGAGGAATACGGAAGTATAAGATATGACTTGTCCCTCGGCAGACAGCAAGATGTATAGAAACGGAAAAGTATAAGAAAGGAATCGGAGGACCCGGAGAACAGAGAAAAAGAAAAAGTAGCGAAAAGTGACCCCTCCAATCTTCACAGGATAGTGCCCTTATACTAATAACCAGCGCATTTCGGGAATGAGGATCATAGACCAGCGGCTTCTCGGTTCCAGTGGCGGATGTGCTCTGCGGAGAGGGAGACGGGGAAGCGGAGGCCCGCTGGCTGGACGAGCGGAAGCCCAGGGTGTGAAGATTTACCCGATGCACCTGAGATAGTCATTTTACAGTAGCTTTTATATAAAGCGCTGTCCTGTCCTGTCCTCCGCGTGTACTCTGTTGTGTACTGTACAACTCTGTAGTTCCTGTACTCTGTACAAATGTAAACCGGGCAGTAGGAAATAGCATACACCATGCACCTCGGCAGAGCAATTACCATATCATTCAATCATAGGATGGCTCCAGAATAGAGTCTGGCGCATCCATAGTTTCCATCCTGTGTTCCGTACTGTCCACCTCCGGAGTCAGTATGAGTTCACATGCCACATACCCCCCTCCTACAGGGCTATGCACAGCACATAGTACGACGACAGAATACAGTACCCCGTAACTACAAGAGCAGCTGACTCAATTCCGTGATTCCATATTTCCAGAACCCACTGATCTCCGGCGTTGGATCTCTGCGAAAACGGAAGATTCCGGTCATTGGGTAAAGATTCATTTCCCTGGGTTGATTTTCAACCGAGGTAGAGCGAGAAAGTGCCGATGGCTGCCATGGATGGGGACGGCGACTGAGACTGTGAGTCACGGTTTTACGGGATGGATTTGGTGTAGAGTATGGTCTAGGATTTGAGGATATTTCTGGATGTCTTGAGGGGATCAAAGTAATAATCCCTCGGTGGGTTGCTAAGAGTTTTGTGGTGTTCGTCTTGTTGGTTGGTTTATAGAGTATGGGGTACGGGGTAGTTTTATTCCGGGTATAGTTGAATAGTAGCAATAGCTATAACCACTACAGAGCTACTATGTATTTTTCTCCAGTAAAACAGATACAGATATCTGCAGTACTCTGTATAGATACAGTCCGATATCGCATTTTCACCTGCATTCACATGAAATCAGCTGCCAGGCGCATTAGCACATGATGATGACGATGTACTACTGCAGAATGCCCCGAATTGGGCATATAGCATTGTCTCTTTAGAATTTTGGTAAGAATCTCTGTACAATGATAATATGAAGAAGGCAATAGGGATTTTCTTATGTGGGGATGGAAGGCATGATATCATCTACTAAAGTACTGAGCCCCGGTCCGAGCACTTCGTCCTCTGGACTCCTGTAGTTCGAGTGATAAGACGTAGCAGTAGTATCGCAATTCTTCTCAAATTCCCATATTATCTGTTTCTATTTATTTAGCCAGGCTATGTTATAGTATCTCTCCAATTATGCCAGGGAACTCTGCCTTAGATGAGGTATACCGGCGAAGCTCCGTGATGGAAGACCGTACTGTTTCCAGGTCCCATTCGAGTTTCTGCATAATGCGAGAAAGACAGCTGGGCTTTGAATCCGGTGACCTATGGGAGGGGCCTGGAATTGAGCAGCCCTTCAAGAAAGATAGCGACGAGGCGGATTTTATTAGCAGGTCCAAGATTGAAATGTGCGTTGCTGCTAGGAAGAAGCAACTAGAAGAGGGAAACACCACATACCAATTCTTAGACTACAGAGGCGTTTCGGGGGGGGGGGGGGGGGGGGGGGGGGGGGGGAGTTTGAGGAGTCGGTCAAGAATCGCACAGCAGCATTATATTCGTATAATCACGCGACTGGCGACCTAGCCATCAAAGTTGTGCCCAGTACGGCCCACGACCTCAGCCTCGGGTGTCACACAAGACACAACTGGAAGTCAAATCACTACGATAAATCTCAGGGATCGGCTCGGTACCCTCTACATCTCTACAGTCCAGTTTGGCTAATGGACTAAGCAAGCTGTTTGTAGCTGGGGCCGCGAGAACAACGGTCCTACTGCTGTGGTCGAAACGGGACTAGGTGAATCTACCACCAGATTGATAGGCAATGCGAGAGATTGAATCGAAAGTGCTGGCTCTGTTGTCAATATCGCAATCACCGTCGATATTGACATGCGCTAGCCTTTTATTACAATATGCAAGTGGGTGCATGGCGCACGACAATCATCTGTTGAACTACGACCCGCCAGACAAGCTTCCCCCCGGCAGCGATCCGAACTGCTGCTTACCTCTTCAACCGCTAGCAAAACACTATCCGTTTTGCTGGAACGGATTGGAGTGGAGTCGACCTGCAATGACCAACCAGCTCGTGCTGGATTTCAAGTCAGTTGTTGGCCATGATCCCAACGCATTAGTGGAAGTTGGTTTCATCATAAGCAGGCTGGATATGGAGTTACCAGAAAGGCTTGGCAGAGACAGAGGTTTTGGTGGCGTAGGGCAACTTAGCTAGCATGTGATACGCAAGGCTGGGCGTTAATATGGCGTTTGTTCAATCGGTATTTCAAGTGGGTAGCGTTAATTCTTCAAGACTGATAATGATAAAATACTACTAGAGAGCCGTTTATACATACAAAGGAAACATTAGACATACCATACCACTCCATCCCATCTCATCCCTCTATCAACGCATCAGATATAGCTCACCTTGACACCCATCCCAATTGTCCCCTTGACCTTCTGCCAACCAGCCCCGGTCATGCGCCGGATGCGTTCCCGCACATCCTGCCTGCTCAGTGCCATTACAATTCCCAGCACAAATAATACCAGACGAGCAAGTGATAGCGGGCTGCCGGAGACCATCCGTGAGATGTACTGCACCAGGTTGCGCAGGATATTTCCAATGGCCCGTCTGGGTGCCCGAGACTCCGACTTTTCGGGTTTCTTGAGGTTTTTGGATCCCGAAGGTGGAGAGAAGGCGGTTCGCCCTGACGAGCTGCCGGTTTTGCTGGTAGATTGTCGGTCCGTTGCGCGGGTTCCTTTGCCTCCTTTAGATGCGCGGTTTGTGTTCTTCTTTTCGACGCCGTAGTCTACCTCGCTGGGGGTTTGTTTGTGGTCGTTTTGCTCGGCACGCTCGGCGGCTGCTTCCTCGGCTTGTCGGCGTTCGGTGTCGCGCATTTTTCGCTCCAGCTCGGCGTCTTTTTCGCGTTGTAGTGCTGCTGCGCGTAGCTCTCCTTGTTCTTTTTCTTCTTTAAGATTGTCTAGGGTTTGCAGGAAGACCTCTTTGTTCTCCTCATCGAGAACCTCGCTCAGGTTGATAAACTCTGCCGCATACTCCCACTCCTCGTTTCGGGGAAGTATGTGTAGAGTGAACAACTCGATGATCCTCACCCTGACGTTTAGGTCTTTCGGGGTATCCGTTCCACCACTAGGTCGGATTGTGCGATGGTCGGAACCATTGCGTAGATGACCTTCAACATCCAGGTTTGGCTGGCCATACGACGACAGATAGGTTTCGAGACGCTGTTGGTTGAGCGCTTGCGAGGGAGAGTGGCTCAGTAACAGCGTAGCCCTGGAAACCACAGTCAGCACTAAAAAAATGCAAGTGTTTATCTTCTTTTGACACTCACAGGTTATAAACAACCTCCGCATCCACCGATCCCTCAAGCCCCTTATATCCCGTCTGCACAACCGTCTCCCAAATCCCCCCATCACGAACCTGCGACGAGATAGCCTTCCATTCCTTCTGCCCAAACAACTTCCTCCCCTCCTCAGGCCCCAACTCAACTATTGCGCTCAGCAGTGTGATATACAAGTTCCAGACCTTAATCCTCCAGGTACTCGGGGCGGCCGCAATCGGCGGTGTCGAGGCGTCGCCGTTTACGTATGAGTCATCTGGGACCTGCGAGGGCGTGATGACAGGTTCCAGGGCCGTCAGCGATTCGTGTAACCGTCGCGTCAGGTACAGTTGTGAGGCTTTTTTGTAGGTTCGGGAGCAGAGCTTCGACGGGGATAGCGACGAGGCGGAAGAGGATGAGGATGAGAGCTGCGACTGGGAAGCCGACAGGTGGGTAGCGTCGTCGGCCATTATGTGGATGATTAAATTAGAGTAGTATAGGGGGAGTAGTTGTTCAATTCTAGAGGAAAATAACACAATCAGAGAAAAGAAGCATGGATCGCGACGGTGAACGTGTCCGCCCAGGTCGGGATTGGTTTGCTTTCGTTTTCCCTCGGCTCGGGTTAGTCTGGGGTCTGATGTCACGAGACTGACTACTGAACACTACGATATCGAACAAGTACAGGGATGTTAACAGAGTAAGTAGAAGGTATTTGGATATATCAAGAACTAACTAACTGAAATAACTGAAAGAGGTCATGGCTACGGTTCAACTCCGGACGCGAAACTGTCACTATCAAACATCCCCAGCCTCCGCATGATCTTGTCAATACTACTACTCTCGAATATTGTTATCCTCAATAGAGCATAGCGCACAAAATGGATGTCACTGCAGAGAATTTCGCGTACCATCTCCCCCGGATCCTGGATGACTTGGCCCACTGCTGCTTTGTCTCGCTGGACTTTGAGTTCTCCGGTATCTCATATGGCATCACATCAAAAAGAACAGCTCAGGGACCACAGTCATTGCAGGATCGCTATTCGGAGGTCAAAAATGCAGCTGATAAATTTCGGATTCTACAAATTGGGTTCACGATTTGCCTTGAAGATGCTACGACTGGTAGGTCCAGAAGATGTCGCAACTGGGCTTGGCCTAACTGTTACAGGATTATACACCCTTAAGCCGTATAATATGTATCTCAGCCCGGCTATCGATCATAGATTGGAAGTGGAAAGGAATATCACCTTTCAGAGCAGTGGTAAGTTCATCAATAGCAGTTTCATTGACAGTACTGATGCCGAACAGCGGCCGATTTCCTTTTGGAAAACAACTTCAGCATGGACGCGTACTTCAAGAATGGAGTAAAGTATCTCTCCCGGGACGAGGAGAAAGAGGCCACAACCAGAGCTACGGAACGGCGTGATCGTCAGGTGGTACGTCGTCTCGAGATAGACGTCAAAGAAGAAGATCACGAGTCGCTCGAATTCTTGGAAGCCGTTCGAAAACTGGTTAACGATTGGCTTGCTCTTGGTGATGTAGACATGCCGTTTCCATTCTCCAATGGCATCCAATTCTGACTGTTTTGACAGGGCCGTGATGGTTATCTGAACATTCCACCACCAACCCGCATGAACGACCCCAAGCCTAGGGGTTTCTTTCCCACAACCCTGAACAGGTTCCAAAAGAGACTTATCCACCAGCTGATCGAAACGGAATATCCTTTCTTGGTGACAGTCGGCAAGCCTGCGTTCGTCCAGATTCTAGAGTTTGACGAAGCACGTGAAAAGGCCGTCCGAGAACAGCGGATGAGATACCAAGAAGAGAGAATGATGAAACAGACAGGATTCCGGTGGATCGCAGAAGCGCTGGCTGGGAATGGCTTGTCGAATCTAGACCCAGGCTGCTTCATGGGCGTCATGGCGAATTCTCCCGCGGGAGCAGGGCTTTCTCTGAAAGAATTCGCGAACAAACTGAAACAGCGGTTGAGAACTCACCGGCCTGTCATTGTTGGTCACAATTTGTTTACCGACTTGATTTACTTTTACAGATGCTTTTTCGGGCCATTGCCGGATCGTGTCGAGGATTTTCAGGCCGCGGCTCATGAGATGTTTCCTGTTTTGATGGATACCAAGTATATGGCTACGCATGACTGTGGATCGATCAACCCGATATCATCTTTGGCAGAGATCAATGACAGTTTGCTGAAGACGTCGATACCCAGAATGAGTGAGTTGCCCTCTTCTACCGTCGTCACTTGATACTGACTAGACAGCCGTACACCCCCAACACTCCAAATATCACGACCAGAAGGTTGACCATGAAGCGGGATACGACAGTTTATTGACTGCGCAGATATTCGTCAAGCTCTCCGCTCAACTTCGTCACGGAGGTACCTCGAGGTATCTGGGAATTGCCCCGTTGACACCTCAACCGGCAGAGTCCAGAGAGTCTACAAACCTGCGCACAAGGTTCGGTCTTCTTCAATGCGAAGAGACCGCCGATACCTTTAGCAATAGCATCCCAGCAGCCACGAATCCCAAGACCCGGAAAATGGTGAACAATGGCGAATTGATCCCCCGATTAGACGCGGAATTCTGGAAAACGTACGGCAATCGGCTGCGCGTTTTTGGCACCGAAGAACGAATGTGCATAATTGGATAGAAACACGCCGTTCCATAGGCGCGCTACGAATGTCATGATAGACCATAAACCGTAATACTACAGCGAGGCAACGAAATGTGCGCAGCATCTATCTAACAGTACGCCTTGGCTGTAAAGAAGGTACCGCTAGCGAAATAGCCGCAAACGTAGACTAAGTACTCAATCTGAGCACCGCTAAATGATCACTTGGGCGTAGAAATATCTCTCTCCAGTGATGATAAGGAATGGGTGCTGGAAAAGAAAAAGAAGAAGAGGAAAACTCTAGTCGGAATTTTTTCGAAGATAAAGGCCGGCGGTCATGGCACACTAGCCTGTTCGGGAATAGTGCCGTAAACAGGTGACCGCCCAACTTTTCTGAGCGAACCTCAATTATCGGCGTTGAACTGGGAGAAGAAAGTCCGGCCAATTCTGCACCACTATAGACAAATAACATGTCTTCGGGATCCAATGGTGCCCGGCGCATAGCGTCGGCTCTGCGTACGTTATAATACCTCCCATTCTGCACATCCGCTTGGAAAACTTTTGCGCGGGGGACTGACCATCATTTTAGGGCCCTCTGTGGTCGACTCGAGAGTATGCAGAAGCTGTCAACAGACCCTCGTCCGCCGTGACTACACCTCAGCCGCAGCAACACCGCTAGAACCCACCTCCTCAACAACCAATTCCTCTCCCGTTCACCCCGTCGTGCCCGCCAGCCACATCATCAACGCCGGCGTGCTCCTCTCCCGCCCGCCCCAGATCACCCGCGACCTAACCCCCTTCGAAAAGTCCTACTTCTTCTACCAGAAACGCCTGAACGAGCGTCTCGCCCTCCCCTTTACGAAATATTTCTACTTCAAGCCTGGAACCCCCGCTGACGAGGACTGGAAGCGGCGGGTGCGTGAGCGCCAGACCCCCGCGCGGGACATTGGCAAGTACAATGCGTACTCGAAGGACGCGTGGAATGACGAGTTGCTGGTTGGGTCCAAGGAGGCGGAACCGGAGTATATGGTCGAAGCGCTGGTGAAGGATGCCGAGGAGACAGCCAATGCTACTTCGCAAGATACGAGTAAGAAGGAGGAGATTCCGCGACCGTTCCCGCGCGTGACGGAGGCGGATACCAAGGGTGACCAGCAGAGCTTGAATCGGTTGTTGCAGAGGACGCTGTATCTGCTTGTGCAGCATAAGGATGGGTACTGGAAGTTGCCTAGTTCTCCTGTGGAGGCGGGTGAGGATCTTCGAGCTGTGAGTTCTCCAGCTAACTAGCCAATGAAGGTACCTTATCTAACATTCATACTTTATAGGCCGCTCAGCGTACCCTCGCGCAATCTGCCGGCGTCAACATGAACACCTGGATGGTTGGCTACCACCCCGTCGGCCACCACGTCTACAACGCCCGACAACCAAAGCCCGACCAGACCGGCCGAACAATCCTTGGTGAAAAGACCTTCTTCATGAAGGGCCGCATCATGACAGGACAGGCCAACTTGAGCGGAAATGTCCAGAACCTTAAGGACTTCAAGTGGGTGGCCAAGGACGAGATTCCGAAGTTCGTACTGCGGGATTACTGGAGCAACATCAGAGACATGCTGGCCGAACGATAATGCTTAAATATCGGTGAAACGGCTGTGTTGATAGAACTGTGATTGTTTCACTTGCCTAGTGGCTGTTTTCGTTTGGCGATGGTCACTGAATGCATATAGTGCTATTATGGAGTATGACATGTATAACTAGTTTTTTACACGCAAAATTCAATTCAATCCTGCTATGCCGGCAGTCCCCTTGTAGACTCCAAACGCCATGCCATATGCCAAAAGATGTCAAATAAACAAGTAAATGGTAGGCGCATCACTTCAAGTTGAATTTTTGCCCTTGAACAATCGGCTGTTCTTTGGAAGACTTTGCGGCCAAACTCTTTCCGCACATCGGACAGGCTGTGCATAGCATATTAGCATTCATCCATAGCAACACCTAAACTAATCCTTAGTTATGGGGACATACAATTCTTCTGGTAAGCACACCGCTGACAAAACTTCTTCCCCTGCTCCGTCTTCGTCTTGCACGATTCACACGAAGACGAATAAGCAGCATACGGATTCTTCGCCTTGGAGCTCAACAATTTATTCTATTACCATTAATATCACCTTCTATTACAGCCACACGCATATCGAGAAAAAAAAGTGACATACCTTCGAAACACCCGTACTCCCCAACGTCGATTTAGAACTGCCACTTGTCGCGGGCGAGCCATAGTACATTTCGTTCTTGCGTTTTACGCCGGGAGTCGCAAGTTCGGTAGATTTGAGCTTTTTCTGGCATTTTGAGCAGACCATTTTGTTTGTTTTGTATGTTCGTTCTGGAGGGTTATGGGTAGAGAGAAAGAGAGGAAGTGAAGTTGTGGTAGTTATCTAGAATGCGATTCGGGTGAGTATGACGCCACCGCTTTTTACTGCCTCAATTAGGAGAGCCACCACTTGTATTTGCATATAACACTACTGCATAGAAACTAACACAAATAAATAGCTCATATCGAGGACATATAAAGCAACCAACTCTAGACAAGTCCACCTCATGGAATAGGGTATTTCGTCTGCCAAAAAGCGTTTTCCCAAAACCCTCGTGACGCGCCAGTCCTTGCGAATCGTTTGCTTTTTGATAGCTTCCAGCTGTACACTTAGCTCTTTCAAAGAGATCCCTCGCGTGCATATGCTCTGCAGCAGATACTGAAGGGTTCTCACATGAGGGACACTGGCATGCACCGACCCGTGAAAGAGTTCCTAATTTATTCGCTAGACTTTGGATCCGTGTTGGCGCCTCGCTCAACAAGGAGCCGGGCAGAGGTCAGATGTCTTCCGTCTTCTTCCTCCATGTTGTTGTATTTCCAGCCCGGTTGGTAGATTGTCCTGAGTGCGTCCATATCAGCTCCGTGGTGTAGCAGGACGTCAAATGTTGCCCCTGCCGCTTTGGGATCGTTTGCTCTCAATGCAAGTTCCAGGCTTGTCGCATTGTTGGGTCGTCGGATGTGCTCCAAGCTCGGATCACAGCCTCGTTCAAGCAGGTAATTGATAGTTATTGAATCAGCTCGCATAATGGCATTATGCAAGACCGTCACAACGTGTGGCGAAAATGGTCTTGTCGACACAATAAGCCGCAAGGGTGGAGATCCATCGTTCCCTTCTCGATTTGCTACAAGGATGTTGCGCCTGTAGGCTTGACACTCTTCAGGTGTTTCGACCAGGTAGTCTCTCTCTCCCGCAATATATCGGTTATTTTCTTGGTGCCCGAGCGTGCGACCTCTGTCCTCAGGACCAATGCGACTACCAATCTGCGTTGATACGGACCCCTCTGTCAAGGATCAACTGGAATATTGATGGGGATGGGACCGCATGGCACAGAGCAGCCATGCCAAGTGTACATGTGTTTTTGTAGTACAGGGGGCGGCCTGAGAAAGTACATTTGTCCCGGTGGTTTATCTTGACGCCCTTGTCCAAAAACAGCTCCACTATTTCCAGATGCCCTCTTGTGATGGCCTCTAAGAACGGTACCTTTTGTACAGTACCATATGGCTCAGCACCATACTCCAACAACAAAGCGACTATATCCTTATGGCCCCTTTCAACAGCCCTAAGTAGGCAAGAGCCTTGGTAGTATGGGCAAGTAAACTGTCTTTTGCCAAACTGAGTGTTCTGGTATTGCTCTGGGTCGATATCAAGGATGAATTGAAGCATATCTGTGAATCCACAAGCTGATGCAGTAGTCAAGATAAAGGTGCAGTTCCAGAGACTACTGGGCACTTTGTTCTTGAAGTCGCTATGTTTCAACAGAAGCTTTACCACCTCAACATGACCTCTTTCCCCAGCAGCCCCAGGATCCTTAGTGAGTGGTCTCCTTCCTCTGTAAGGCTTTCCCAGGAATTACAAGCCCCATAATCGAGCAGAATTTGAACAATCTCCACATTACCAGAGAGGGCCGCGAAATATAGTGGTGTCTCCTTCGTTGAAGCGCATCCAAGGTTCGGATCAGCCCTAAAGCTGAGCAAGAGTCGCAAAACCTCTACTTGGTCAGATGATGCTGCTAGTATTAACGGTGTTCTGCCGCCAAACATCATGACGCTTCATTGATAAGCGTGGGATACCACTTTGTGATGAATTCCACCATAGCAAGATCACCCCTGCCAGATGCCCCTCTGAGCAGCTCGTGTATTCTGTTTTTATTCACGGCAATCCTGAGTGCACAACAGCTTCTCGAGGGCCGTATCCCCAAAAATGTTCTGTATCTTTCCTCCTCCTTCTCCTCCTCCTCCTCCTCTACTCCCGTCCTTTTGCGTTTGCGGCATCTTCAGATAACTGAGCATGGCCTGTACCCTAGCGTCGTGGCCTTGAACTAGAGCTAAGAACAAGGGATTCTATCTATCAAGTTGGTATTGGTGTTTTTTATCTTTGTTGTCTTGGTCTTCGCTTCTTGGAATCGGTTGGATCCACTTCTCTGGCTCTGCAATGTGGCTCCCCGAACCCAGAAATGCTTTCACAAAGGTGTCATGACCGAATCTATAGCTGTCTCAAAAGGGGTTAGGCCATGCCACTTCGAAATAGATCCCAGAGCCCCGCCTTCGATGGCCTTCTGAGCCGCTGACGCGACGTTATTTTGCACTGCCCATAAAAGAGCCGTTCCCTCGAAATAGCGTGCATTGTGGCGGTAGAGATACGGGTTTAGGAGGTAGTATAGCCGGCCACTGACTTGCATGAGAGCGTTGATGTCACTGTCATATTTGAGATAGCTGATGATCTCTAGGATGAGCTAGTTGGATAGCGTTAGCAGGGTCATTGCTGTTGTTTAGTATGCGTAGAAGATGAGAGGTGTTTACTCTTGGGTATTCACTGGGCTGCGCGAATCATGTGACTTTGTTTGTGGTTGTTCCAATGCAAAAGGTTTATGAATTTACAGAAAGAAATTTCTTACGTTCTGGCTTTTGCTGGTCTATTTCTGAAGACTCACTTGTAACTCATAACAATGGGAGTGAAACAAACACAAAAAGGTATTGACATTTCACAGAAAACTCACAAAAGCATATTAATGGAACATCACATCAAAGGGTCCACCTTGCACCGCAGACCAAACATTAATCGCACCATGTCTGATGCTTGTACTGCTTCTTCTTCTTCACATGAAAACCCTCCTCTGCCGGGGCGTATATAGTCTCAACCAATTCCTCGGATATAGGAGTATTATTCGACTGGGTATAAAGCAGTTACGGAGATCGTTCAGAGGGCTCGCCGGAGGTTCGCCGTAGTCTTTTTCCAGGATCAAGGTTACCATCATGCTTCTGGTTTTCTGGTTGCAGAAGACGCTTGGGTTGTAAATTGCGCTTTATCAGCTCTTCGGTCCACAACCCGAATTCCAGAACCCACATGCTATCGGGCTTGATTTGCTTCATGTTGCGTTCGTAGATGGGGTCGATTATGTCGATGAAAGTGAGGTCCACGAGGTAGCTATATCTCTTAGTAGAGATCTAACCTTAAGCGAGAGGGTAGAGTGTCTTACAGCTTATCATTTTTGACATCGTATTGGAGAAAGTTGGGGTCCTGTTGGAACAGGACATACCCTTCCTGTCGCAAGTACCTACAACAAAGTTATATAATCCGCAAAACGACACCAAACTGCAAGTCAACTCATGACAACTCACTCTAGTATCTCGGTAAGCTGGCAACGAATGCTTTCAAGTTGGGCCTCAGATAAGCCGTCAGATATCTCTCCAAGCCTTTCCCCTGGAACTCGTGACATGACAAGGACATCCACTTCACCCTGAGGATATGGAAGCGTCAGGCCCGCAGGCTGAGTAGCACAGTCGATATAGTCTGGGCCATAGCCGGCCTCCGAAAGGGCGTCAAGGACATCCATTTCGTGGAGAAAATGACTGGAGGTGATTTTTCGTGTTCCTTCGACATGTTCGATGAGTTCGAAATCCTTTGGGTTTAGCCTAAATGGGAGTGAAAGGGATTAATTTCGTGCTCAAAAAATATCATATATGTGAATATACGACATACCCATAGCGAATCTTGACCATAATCGGTTCATCAGTGTCGAGATAGCGTGCCAAAGTCAAGACATGTCGCTGTGCATATGAAGAGAACAGCACCTCAGTGAGCTGCTTCTCGAATTTAACTGGTCTCTTTTTGATATGCCGATTTCGATCAGTAAAATTGTAATTCCAACGAGGATACATGACGATTTTTAAGATATTGAATATGATTCAAGGCAAGCGAATCGATTGGGTATGTTAGCGTTGCATGAGATCAGGTTTTATTATCCAAAAATTTTGATTGAACGTGGTTTGTTCCACAGGCAGATGCCTAAGATATCTTGTGTTACATGGGACAGAGGTCCGACTAGGGTTGGAATTTCCCTTCGCGTGCCCTTTTCTTTCATTCAATGTCTGTGTCACAAGAAGCGGTCCTCGAAAATGCTTGGGATAGGACTATTTTCGGATATTTGCTAACGTGTCTGAGGTGAGCAGGGTTCTATACACGGAATAGAGAGTGATAGAAGATGAAAGAATCAGAAATGCATTGAGCCAGAGGGATCGACAACCTCCGGGGGTGATATCAACTGGCTCAAGGCGTTCAATCTAGGTCTTACCAGGCGTTTCCTGGACTCCATATCGCTCAGTAGTCTTGATCCAAACGTCTGGATGAAGCGCTATCGATGAGTTCTCGGAGGCAGCAGTTGAATCAGCGCCTTATGATATTGGATGAGTGAGCAAACGAATGATGGCAGTAGGCAACCAGAGTCACTTATCTGTTATTATCCCAGCAGACTAAATAACACGCCCGCTAAACCACAATGCATACTGCATATCACCGTCATCATAGTAGTAGTTCATTAGAAGCACTGGCGTTATCATTCAGTTTCCGTAAGCAGATAGAGAGAGAAAAAGCATATATATATAAAGTCTTCGACAGTTGGTTCCTGTTGAGACTGTTTATTCAATCCAACTGCACTTTTTCACCTTCTTGTTGAGCCTTATTATCCTGTCTCCCTCCTTTCAGATCGCCCAAATGTATCTGATCTGGACCGCGCTTTCACGTCTCTTTATGACAGGCAGGCACCATCTCAAGTCTATAAGAAATAGCTTTTATTCGTTTATCAAATTCTGGATATCAAAGTGGGGTGGCTTTGAGGGATAAGTCAGGAAATCCGACCGTGCCTTGACGGGAAACCTAATGCAACATTTTGGTTCAGCTACCCAGAAGAGGATGGTGTTTGATAATGTTTTGCGATAAGGAGGGAGGTTGATATCTTGATAAATTGATTTATCTGTTGCCTGCAGATGGCTGACCACATGTGTGCCTAGCCCTATGCTCGTTTGCCTTGTCTCCAATACATCGTTCTGATGTCCGGGCAGGAATACTTTATCAAAAAATTTGTAGGATATGGTGATTGCCGTAGCTAATAAAGCATTTGCCAGCTCTGAAAGCCGAACAATCCATCACCTGGAACGAACAAACCTGGTTCATCAAGCACATAGCCCACAAGAGCAACTGAAGAGTCGCGTTACACGAATTGCTCATACCATCATGAGGTAAGGGCAGGGGAATCATGGTTTTATGGCATGACTGCATATCTGACTATAGCTAAGAGATATCAAAAGAATACACATAAAGTCATCATTAATAAAAGAATAGAAAAAGACAACAAATAAATCAATTGTCAAAGACTTGCGTCTCAATTCGACATCCCACTTTCTCCAAACGATCCACAAACTCCTGTCCCAACGTAGCCGAGGTCACAATACCACCACGAGAGACTTTTTTCACCTTCTCCTCATTATCCAGAATGGTCATCGCGGCCTCAGCCATAAGAAGTCCAGTGAAGAAATACATCGACCCATCGTACGTCAACTTGCCAAACACCCGCTGCGGAGATGGGACATCCTGGTCTGCCGTTGCGATGGCGCGGTACTCGACGCGGTCGTTAACGGAGTCCTCCTTAGTAGGACCATTGCCGGGAGTGTAGATGTAGCGTTTCAACAAAGTCCGGACCGGAGGCAGGAGGATGAGTGCTATTCCGGCCATGAAGGCTAGGTGGACGGCAGCGCCCACGAATGCGTTTCGCACGCGCAGGAATTGGCGGGAGAAGAAGCTGGGTCCGTAGAATTCGGGCATGAGAGTGCTGCTGCGGTGGATGATGCTCACGTCTGCTGTTCCGGAGGGGCAGGTGGTGAGCGTACCGAGGTCGCGCACGGAACGGATGCCCAGGATTCGGGAAATAAGGGGCTCGTTGGGGATTTGGCGGGATGGTTTAGAAGCTACAAGAGTATAAGGGTCTGCGATTTTCATCAGATCGGAGGCGGGAAGAGATTCAACAATGGTCAAAATAGTGTTGAGAGTGCCACCGCTGGCACCGGATGTTCTAAAAATCAGTTAGTATAGGGAAATTTATTGATCTGTTGACTCGGGAACATACTTCATCTCTTCGATGGCGCTGACCACATCTCTGGGCTGGCAGGAGAGCTTCTCACGAACAGTCTTAACAGTGGACCAGGTCAAGACATCCGCGGGTGCACTTTCAATTCCAACAGAGGGGATAACCTAGAGTATATCAGCACACCTAGTCCACCTATATGAGGTTTCCAACTAACAATAGCGCCATTTGATTTGGCCGTTTCATGATACTTGTCGATAATGGACCTCACCCATGGGGTCTCTCCCGTACTGCATGGATCAGCCATGTCCGAGGTAAATTCGGGATAGCAATCACTTACGCATCAACGTAGTGTGTCCCATTGGAAGCGCAAGCCTCAACAACAGGAGTCGAATACGAATGATAAGGTCCAACGCAGTTGATAACAAGTCTGGTCTTCTGCGCAAGAGGCTGCAATTCCTCGCGGTTTAGCTGAACGGCAATAATCGCTATTACGCGTTAGCAACAAGACCATATGCTCATTAACTGACGAGCAAGTACATACCAGGATCCACGCGGTCAGGGTTCAACTCCTTCAGCTCCTTCGCGACACCCTCAACCTTGGACAAGTTCCGGCCAGCCAAAGCCCAATTAAGGTTCGTAGGGAGGCTCTGAACGATATGCTCCGCGCAGAGCTTACCAGTATACCCAGTAGGGCCCAGAAGCACAATGTCAAATTCCCTGTCAGCAGCCATGTTTTTTCTTGTTTGTTGCCAATGGATGAAATTGTGTTTGAGCTCTGGTTCAGATCACAGGGGGAGACTTCACGGTGTTTCTCCCCGGCGGACATGTAACCATAAACGGCAATGCAAGCCGGCATACTTTGGACATGTGACTCGGACGGCTTGTACGTCATTTTTATGTTTTTGGTTTCTTTTCTACGTGTATTCTGTGCAGGGTTAATACCAAAGAGCGGTTATTTGGCGTATACCTATTTCTTGAAGTATAGAGAATCATTCTTCATCGATAAATGCCTGAGGCACTGGATGGGGCAACAAGTATACGGAGCAGCGGAAGACGCAGGAAGATATACAGGAGTCATTTTGAGTACAGTCTCGGTTAACGAAACAAGAGATTCAGGAAAGAAGACGACAAGTGTGGTTACTTACACTGTCAGGTCAAGCTTGGAATTACTGCGGGAAAGCCTGTGCTACCATATCCACTAATGCGTGGAATGCATTCTGGTTGGCATCTCTGGATCGCCCTCTTCACTGATATGGTACTTTCGAATCAACTTCTAATTGAGATGGCTGGTATCTTCTTCGATTCGATATACTGACTATCTCAAGCATGATAAGGATCGCGTTTCAGAATTAGCCCAACGAGATTAAATTGATTGTCATTAGCTCACCAAAGGAATCCATTACCCGGAGGTGCCCTCTCTGCTCTGGTTCTCTAAAAGCCTCACTTCTGATCATATGTGGTAAACATATCTTACTCAACATGGGCAAACCCTGATGGAGATGCCGGGTCGATACCGGCGGGTAACGTACCTCCGGTAGTATCCTGAGGCACATCACTACAGTACCAGCTGGAAGTCGTCCATGTATTGGATGACCTGTCCCGTTACTGGTTAGCCTCATTTGAAGACAGGATCTCCAGGTAAGCCATACCAAGGCGCTGTTCCAGGACGTTTCCGCTTTCTTCGGGTCGACGGCCCAATTGACCTTGGTACAAGATGCCCAAGTTTTCGATCAATGTGAAATAAGATCGGGATAAAGATCATTTTTATCGATAATGGCACTCGAGAAGCCCGCAAAGCGAAGATCCGTTCTCAGAAATTTGAATATTGTCAACCTTCCCTATTTCCAACCAACCCCGTCTGGACTGCTTCCTCATTTCCGTGGCGAAGTCCTCTCCCCCTGGCAAAGCCTTTACCCAGGTGTTATCCAGTTGCATGCCTCACTTTGCGCATGTTTTCTTCGGAAGGATTTCGGTCATTAGAAGCACATTTTCTGATATGGGATTCGTGTTGCGGCCCAAGGACTGGGTGCAACAACCGGGTGTGACCAAAGCCCCGATAGGATTGTTGTTGGAAGTCTCTTTGAAAGGACTCTCCAAGGGTTTCCAGCTGGCTGCGCTCGCCTTGAGAAATCCTCGATCACGGTACTGAGTAATGCGTCATGGCATTTTTAGTGTGGACGATAAGCATTAAACTGTGACGTCATATCTCACATCAACATATCTCAGCAATAGACCGACAATTTTCTTAGGGCAGTGAGCAGAGGGTGCCAGAAGAAGACAAATCGCGATTGCATTAATGATACTGAGTGAAGGAGAGAAATCTACTTCGAGCAATGATACAGTGGATGGTCACATGTGACACGTGACATGACCCTTTTCGGCGCGAAAGTCTGAGATTTCGGCGTCGCTACAGATAACAGGTTATAGACATTTTGAATGGTTATTTATATTAAATTTGATGGCAGCATTTATGTGTGATATCCACTAAAAATGAATAATTTTCAGTCATTCATGGTTTTCTTGCTCGACCATAGCACAAAGTAAAGATCTCGGGTGGGTCTCACGTGACGCGGAGCCCTAAGCGAGCGCACCCACAACGACTCTCAAAGCGGCCGCCTCGAATTCCTAACCGCACTGTTTCCATCTTCGCTCAACAGCCGCACAGAGACAAGATGACGAAGCGCACCAAGAGTAAGTCTTTCTTACAGAAGATAACGATGCTCTATTTGAAGAGAAGAGAATTTTTTTATAAAAAAAAAAATGCTAACTTGAATTTCAGAGGTCGGAATCACGGGTAAATATGGTACCAGGTAGGCTTTTGCTCCAGACGACCCCTCTGCAACGAAATTCGGTGTCGGATGTCGGTTCGAAAAATTTTCCCTTTGGAATCGAATGAACGAGTCAACGATTTGAAAGAACCGAGATTTCGAAACGAGGAAAACCCGAAGTGAACAGTTTCGTTGACACGATGGCTCGATAACAGATACGGTGCCTCCCTGCGTAAGCAGGTGAAGAAGATGGAAATCCAGCAGCACGCCCGCTACGTCTGCACCTTCTGCGGAAAGAACACCGTCAAGCGCAAGGCTGTTGGTATCTGGGAGTGCAAGGGTTGCAACAAGACTACCGCCGGTGGTGCCTACACTGTTTCGTAAGTGAATTCACGGGACACGATATGGCGATTCTCCTGCGTTGTTGCGGTCGGGATACTACTTGGGTTCGGGACTTCGCTTGAACTAGGATATCACGACAATCGACACGCAGAAGAATACACCATTTCTACTTACTGAATTATTACTGACCGATGATGTTTCTGCAGGACACCCGCCGCCGCTGCCACCCGCTCGACCATCCGTCGTCTGAGAGAAATCGCGGAGGTTTAAACGTGACCATGGGATCATTTTCTTTAGTTCTTACGTTTAAAAATTCAAAAGATTCTGGGCATCTGAAGAATCTGTCATGAACTGCGCCTTTTACCGAGTAGTCGACGGTTCCCCTTCGCATCATCGAGGTACTAGACATGAATTGATTACCATTTGTGAACCACGAATCTTCGGATAAAATGAGTTTTATTCTACCACCCGATGGGATAATGTGCGTTCAAGTCACCGGGAGTCCATCGCTTACTGTGCGCCCCGGAAGCATGAGGTATAGGCCATCTGACTGGCGTAATATTTTGCTGGCGATCGCTACAACGTCAGCTGTTCCTTTACATCCTTCTATTCTGTCCTATGATGGTGCGTAGAATAATTCATTTCTTTTCAGGTGCCTTGTCCATCTTACGAGGTCCCCGGCTATCCACCAGATACTCCCTGTTGCGCAGCAATCTGGCCCTTCAATTCACTGGACTTGGCTGCAAGGGCAACCCACCACGTACGTATATATGTAGGTTATTTACCGAACTTATACTTGTATGTGTGTGTCCCTCACTGAGTGTACCCTGAGTATGCATTCCTCTTGATGGTCACCGCCACGGCGTCATCTACTGGTCGGTCACGTTGCCGCCCAGACTGTTTTGAGTTAGACTGGATTCACGCTCCACCTTCAAAAAGCCCGGCTGCTTTCTCCCCACACCCTTCTCTCTCTCCTCTCCTCGGCCTTATTTCTTCTCCCTCCCCCTCTCCTTTTATCGCCTCGTTGCTCTTCATGCCTCCTTTCGCCTCCTCTGCAGACAACCTCGGCTCGTATCCTTCCGTCAATGTCCGACACCTGTATTGTCTGTTTAGGAGACCTTGGCGAAAGCGCCAGCAGCGATCCTCGTACCATCACCCCAGAACCCGTGCCAAAACCTGATCTCGAAGGAAAGGATAATTCCAACGATGTGATCAAGGCAGACAATATTGGCGATGGTATCGAGGATCCTGGTCAGATCGCCCAGTTGCTCCCTTGCGGGCATATCCTGCACAACAACTGTTTGAAGCCGTGGGTTGAACGTGCCAATAGTTGTCCGATATGTCGTCGCAGCTTCAATGTCGTGCAGTTGAGTGACCGTCCTGGAGGTACGTTGATAGGATATCATATAGGTGATGGCAGATGCTAATCGTTGGTTGTGTAGGTTCCGTGCAATCGTCCTACGCGGTCGAGGACCGAGTCCAAGTCCCCGAAATCGATCCCTCAATGATTGTCGATTATGTCGACGATGACGTTGCGGAATTCCAGCCGTGTCCGGTCTGTGGAGACTCTGATAATGAAGAGTTGTTGCTTCTCTGCGATTGCTGCGATGTCCCTTCCCACACCTACTGTGTCGGGCTCGATGCCGTGCCGTCGACACCGTGGTTCTGCAATCAGTGTGAAGAACAGGGCGCTGTCGGTGTTTTTGCTGATTCGTCAGTAATATCGCCACGAGGACAGGAGAGTCGAGGTCGTCGCACGAGGGCACAACTCCGGAGATTGCAGACCAGGAACCACATGAACTCTCTTCACTGGGCTCGCGTGTGGCAATCTGTCTGGGATCATCTCAACTTGGACCTCGATTTCCCGTTTGATGATGATAGAGCTGCACAGCGTGCTCTACAGCAACAGCGAAGGGAGGAGGCCAACCAACGAGAGTTTCGGGCATGGCAGCGTCGGTTCGAGGTTGCAGAACGTCAAGGTGGTAGCCACCGGTTCAGAGACACTGCTGCTCTACTCGATATCGATGCTCCCCGGCCTTCTCGACCCCGCGCGCCCCGAGAGCCTACACCTGAACCCGAGTCTTTGGAGGAGATGAGGGCGTGGAATGCTTTCGAGCGCGCCCGCGAGATTGAAAACGATCCAAGTGCGGCAAGGAAGCGAAAAGAGCCTACAATGTCTCCTTCGCCTGAGCCCACTGAACCCGAACGGAAACTAAAACGTCCACGCACCCGTAGACCACAAGAGTTAGCCGCCTTGGCGTCGCAAAATGGCGAGTCGTCAAGAGCTGCTGGTGCGCAAGTATCTGCCCGAATCAACGCCGAATCTTCGAACGAACCCAGTTTCCTACAATCACTCCTGAAGGAGGTTGATGAATCCTCCACTCCAGGCGGTAGTACTATCTATTATGGACCGTCCGGTCAGATCACAAATGTCGATCATGCCACCTCCGGACCATCCTCACCGTCCCTTTCACCTGCCCCCTCCAACCAGTCTTCCCCTTGTTTATCCACTACCAGCCCACCGCCATATGCCCGGAGTCGGCCCATATCGCCGCTCCAACTCTCATCCCCCGCTGGCCCTTCGTCTCCACCATTCTCGCCAGATGTCTCCCCATCCACTTCCGGAAACAATGATCTACCCGAGCCGACTCCATCTCGCGCAGGCACTGGCCGATCCCGGTCGCGGATACCACGAGCAGCGCAGGAACTACTGAAAGCACGGTCGCTAAGCAATTCCCCGACTCGGCCCGGGCCATCCTTGGGTGTGAAGTCAGACATCCAGAGGCTTGTGGGAAAGGCATTAAAACCATACTATCATCGGGATTACGTTTCGAAGGACGAATATACGGACATCAATCGATCTATCTCGCGGATGTTGTACGAACGAGCGGGGGATTCAGAAACCCTCGAAAACGATGCGAAAGCGGACCTTGCAACTGTTGCGAAAGAAGAAGTGCAAAAAGCGATTTCCTCCTTGAGGAAGAAAAAGCAGAAGGACGAATCTAGTGCAGATGGTAGTTCATGAAACAGTTTCTATTGCATTAAATGGTGTTT